TTTGAATAAAATTAGATACAATTGTTTTATTTCAAATATTAATTTACAAATATATACTATTTTAGTGGAATTTAAAATTAAAAAAACAAAAAGTAAATCAAAAGTATCTAAAAATTAATAACAACAGAATTATGTTAGGCGATAAAATTGAAGAAATTCATTCTTAAAAAAAAACTGCAAATATTGTAAAAAAAAATTAAATAATCTTCGCGAGTGATATAATAGAATTTGAGTGACGCAAATGCGCGTCGCCGAAGATTTTCGCGACGAATGTATTTCGCGACTCTGTTTTCTCCTTCGCATACCGTGAATGTTTCTCGTCGGCGTCGGCGAATTGGAAGTGACCAATCGCCGGCCAAGGATAATGGAGCGGGTGAGTTGGAAAGAATCGATATCGGTACATTGGCCACGGTAAATTCTCCGGGTAATTGCCAGCGAGGCAAGACCCATGGATAACGCAAAGTCGCGGGAACATAATGGGCGACGCATAACGCACTCATGCACACGATGAATACTCTAATTGCAACACGAAGGAACATCCTGGGATACTGATACGCGCGATGTCTTACAGGACCATCACAATGGTGAAAGCACAGTAATGAAATCTGATATAAAAAACAATATGATTAGTTTGACAGGGACGATTTGTAAGATCTCGTTTGTACATAAATTTTGGCGATTGAAAAAGATTAAGAAGTTAGCTTGAGTGGAAAAGTTGCTGAGCCTCTTTTATTATAAAGTAATCAGTTGTAAGGCGATCAGTGTGTTCAATTTTGTTCCTGATTACAGGCGCACCGCATTTCTTTTAATGGAATATGGACCGAGAACGTAATAAAAGAGATGGCTGCGGCATGATGTGTACATGCATCTCGCGGTAAATTCTCCCGGTAATTGCGACGCATATATACGCATACGCATTTACCAGCGGAATCCTTAGAGAAGGATAATAATAGCCGGGAAGCGCTTTCAGCAACATAAACGGATAAAGATTGCATTATTTCTCCCTATACATGGCGTGTATCTATTTTCTCAGACTAGAAAATGAGAAAGAAAGAGGAAGAATCTCAATAGCTTAACTCTGTAAGAAGAATCCCAATAGCTTAATTCTCCACTTCTGTGCGCGATTATTAAATCGTTGCGTCATTGATTCGCCGTAACTCACACATCTCTGCGATTACTAATTTAATGGACTTCTTTAATTAAACAGAAACGTGTGTGTTCTTCGTCCGCTCAAGAAATTGATCAGAAAATATCATGATTCAAATCAATAGTAGAGTTGCCCTGTGTTTATGTGTGACAAGTCATAGTGTCCTATTTTCTGAGCCAATATCGTGTGATCGCAAGTCATTTGCGCTCGTGGTAAATTTTCTTTAGTAATTGCAATGTGACGTGGTTGCGTGGGTGTTGATAAAATCTTGGGTGCAGGACAATGAACCGGGATCTATTGTCAATAGAAGTGGCATTCCTTCTAAACCAAAAACGTAAATTTGCATACAGACATCAAATCACTCTCTCCTTCTCCATTTGTTTTCTCTCTTCTTTCTCCCTTTCCTTCTTTCACTAATTGTAGGTTAATCAATTATGCAATAGATGTGTTTATCTTTGTTTTGAATTGTAATTGAATTTGATTTCCACTTCTTGAGAATATCAATTTAACAAGTAGAAAACCGTACGTGCGTATGTAATTTTAAATTTTGAAATCAATATGATTGTTACAGTTTTGATTATCGTTTTTACATTTATAATTAATACACATACAAATTTCTTCTTCCTTATGCGAACGCACTTAAGAAATTTATGTTCCGCAGTAAATAAACCGCATTTCTTTCCTCCTCGCATTCTGAATTGCGAATATTTCCATTTCAAAATGACGATAGTTGGAATGTAGTAATTTTCTCATGTCTACGGATAAAACGTTCGAGGGCTGCTCAGTAATGCAACGTACATGCGTCGCCAGTAAATTCTCTTGATAATTCCGAAGTGCGGCGGACCGCGCGCGGGTGTTCTCAAGAATCCTGAAGAAAGGATAATAGCCGAGAGAAGCGGTTTTCAAGCGCAGAGCTCTGAATATCGCTCGCGTACTCGCTAGAGTACCGGAGACAGGGAGTCGCAAACTTGCGGATTTAGAGCTGCGGATTTTATTGTGCTATATATACGATCACGTGGTTGCGTCCGCGTTCGGGGTTGTTCGAGAATATAGCATCCTGCGTGGGTTAGGAAATATTAAAGTCGTAATTTATCCAGCTGAAAAATAGATGATTTACGATCGCGCATACGCGATGGACGTACTCGCTTATGGATTGATTGATACGCGTTGTGTAAATTTTATTGGCTTTATTTACTAGCGCTCGTCGATGTCGACGAACAATAAGTGAAGTTAAGTAAGGGATAAAAAATTTCATGTGAGCGAGAATTCAAATCAAAATTAAATTGGTAAAATAAGTACAGTTTAAGTTTGGAAAGAATTTATATAATCCAGAAAACAAAAAATTGATTTCGCTCGAGCGTGTCATTGCGTGCGTCATATTTTTTCACTCTCAGGGTTGTAATTCACAATTTAAAAAAAAAAAAGATAATGCGGGCACTTAGAGCGGCTGTCCGCAATCTCCGGAACCCTTGACACTAAGATAAGCCGGCAACATATAAATTATGAGACGTAGACTGCATTCCGGTTGTTAAATTACTTTTCTGTGATACGAGCCAGCAGTACAGCGCAAAACAGTCCGCCCACGCAGTCAAATCAAGTTTGCTTCTCTTACATTACGAGTACCTATACATACACACATATATATATATATATATATATATATATACTGCTTCCCAAAAGAATAACGAGCAACCTAAGAATCGAATTCTGATGTATTACTTTCCCATGATAAAATTTGCGAATGCTACAAATTTTCCGATAGTCGCGTATTCTCGATTTCGCAAATCTCTCTTGACGAAATATCGGTGCACTCAGTCGACTCTATCTGAGCACGGCCGCCACCTCGGTAAAGTTTCGCAAATCGCTTGTTTCGTATGCGAAACCGACCTACCGTGCTACCATGATTGCAAAAGTTCTTTCCTCCTTCCCAAACAGAAGAAGACACAAACGCGTAGAAATCACCCGCGGCAGATTCCTACATTTGGAAATGTTAAATCACCATCACATGTATGTCGCGTTGGGAAGAAGCCTCTTTCTCCTTCTTTTCTCACGGATGTAACTATGTATTATGTACACTTTTAACTGCTTGGATTCTTCGGATATCTTAACCCACGTTATTGTGAAGTAACAGCGAGATTAATTATAACGATCCGATTAATTTTGCTACCCATTACAGATGTTTCGTGCAAATTGCACTGCAAAGTTAAACATTCTTTTTAATTGTCTGAAAAAAGTAGTTTCTCGTAGTTTCTTGCGCGCTAATCCAATTCCAGTTTTAAAAAACAGATATATATTACATTATAATTTTGAGAAAATCAAAGAAAGATATATTAAAAGTAACTATTCAATTTTTTTCTTCAATAAATACGAAAATAAAATCACTTATAGTTTATTTTAAGGCGTGAAATATTTCCCGCGATCTGAACATCACGGAAAATAACAAAAGAAAAGACTTTTATACAAAAGCATATATTGATCAGAATATATCCTTCGAATCCTTCGTTCCTTTGAATTTTTTTGATAAAAATAAAAGGCAAAAATCCCCAAAAAATTATCTAATCACGCACACATACACACCCAACTCTCAATATATTAGAAAATAATTTTTCTTTAAATTTGTATGACTTTTTTAACTAATACTATATTTTTCATACATCTTTAAAAAGTTCTTTAGAAAAACATGTGTTTGACTTTCACGTAACAGCTGATTTGACAGTACGCTCGTGTATTTCGATTTGCGCAATATTTTGATCACTCATGCGGGACATTCCTGTCAGCCAAGAGGGCAAAGCGAGCGGAGAAAGAAAAAAATCTTTAAAGCACAGCACATTACCCTCGAGCGCACCCCGAAGGACCGTATTCGATATAGCTTGATTTCCGCGTGTGTGCCAGTTATTCAACGGCGCGGACATTACATAAACTGACATTTTCGCGAGACTAATATGAGCGAGCGAGCGAGCGAGCATGCGATTCCAGCTCATGAGCCAACGAGTTCGCTGAACGATAACGACAACTCCTTTCCCGCGTTGCAAATGTTTTTAAAAATGCACCTCGATAAATCCGATTGCGCGAAAACATGCAATTTAATTTTTCGTCTGATCGATTTGCAATATTTGTCGTTGTCATAATTACGCGCGCGCAAATTGCGTATTAAAGGAAATCCGCGTTGATTAACAAGTAATATTAATGTGACCGTATGTTATATTTAATATTATGTGATTGAAAAGTGATAAGACAAAATTTATATTTTCGTAGCTCTAAATGCAAATTCCAATCCGCTAGAGCGAACAGATTAATAGTGAGTATATGTTTAGTATCTTGCTTACAAAAATATCATGGAATAAAATCAGAGTCAAATTGATTTGAAGAACAATTGCAAGTCGGCTTTTTTAATTTGCTTCATTATTTTTAAGTCGCATTTCGCATTTTTGTAATATTAAAATGGCACAGATAATACACTCAACAAGAGCAAGCAGACATATGTAAATGCAAAAGAATAGAAAACAAAATATAAGAACGTTCAATTTTAGATGTTCGATATTTTTAATTCGATAATTGATTCTAATTGAAAAATTAATTAACTGCGTTTTCTAAATATAATTCTTTAACACACACTTTGCTGCCAACTTCATGATTGACGAATAAGATGTATTATATACATTTAGTTAAAATATTGAACGTATATTGAAGATACAGATAAATAAATTATTTAGTTGCATCTACTAAATATATTTCTTTTTCGACGGATATATTTTGGTTAGGTTAGGTTAGGTATACGTTCTTTTTCGTGCTTGACGAAGAGAAAGAAAGTTGGCGCAACAATTCGGATATGTATAATATCTGTCAAACTCACCGACTCTTGACACAATCGCCAAAATCAGCAACACGCTGCTCACGATTATCATCTTTTCTCGTCGTCGATGCTCGTTTGGCGCCGAATCTGAACGCTGATCCCGGGAAAACAGAAAGGGGTTGGTATTATTATAATTCTTCTTCTTCTCCTTCTTCTATATGCGACTCCTTCTTATACATGCGACCGCACGACACGCGAAGAGAAACCGGCGCGGTTCTTGACGGTGAAATTGAAATTTGTTCCCGAGTTTTCGCGCGCGCTATCCTCCGAATTCGATCGCGCGATCGATTTTCACGGGCCGATTTTCGGGCGATTGCCACTCGGTTTTTTTTTTTTTTCTTCCTCCAACGCGTCGAACGCGGAGCCTTACGAAAGTTGCGGCGGCGATGCAGCGCCGATTATTCAGAGCCGCGAGTGAGCCGCCATGGGCATCGGTGGAACATATGCTACGGTCACGAGGAGAGAAAGGTGACTGTGGGTATATTGCGAGTAGCGTACTTGATACCTCCTGGTCTTCTCGGCATAGTTACCTTTCTAGCGGAGCGGCAACAAAGAAGGGGAGTCTTGGTGCTACGCCACCACCGTGTGTCGGCCACCACTTCTTCCCGGTCGGTCCCGGCGTTCACGATCACCGGGAGTGGGGATACTCGATGGTGGACCCTGGCGGCTACTCAAAAATCCACCTCCCCTTTTTTCCACCTCGCTGCACATTGTTAACCCTGAAATCGTTCTCGTGTTCTCCCGCGATCGAGATGGGAGAGGGTTGCACGGCGATGAGTCCGACCCGAGGGGGCCGCGGACTCGCCCGCGGAATCTTGTACGATCTCTGATGGAATATCTAGAAAAAAAGAACTTTGGAGAAGAAACAAAACAGCACTCTCTCGTTCGCATTACTCGTAGACAAAGACTCGCGGTTGTTGAATGCGAGTGCAATAAGTGTAATAGATTTACACCAATTACATCATAACAATCGGCGCGTAATATTCAAATTATTGTATAGTGATTGTGTATCATGCATTATTACGTGAATAAAGATGATTAACATTGTAATTAGCGTAAATATTTTGTGAAAAAAAAGAACCAATGTCCAGAATTTGTAATATAGTGACGAAACATTTTGTACAAAACAGTTTATTTGTTTTTCCCCATATAAAATGACTAATACTACCTTCTTACGTTACGTTATTTTTGCGCAGTACAATTACATGGAAAGTGTTTAACAGATCGGAATTATCGTTTCATGACAGATAGAATAAAAATATCTACGGTTGCCACGATAAAACTCTTTTTTTTTTTTCTTGTACGAAAATTATGCTCGCCTTCACAGTGACCAACAATTGGAACATATTTATAAATTGTTCACCGAGGAATAAAAAAAAAATGGATTGTGTTACCAGGTTCTATGTACATCTAGGTACTAATTTACAAATGTTTATAAATAGATGCAAATCCAAGATAATTATAAAGTAGACATCTAACCAATTACTGAAACCAGATCAGTGATCCGATCTACACAATGATTGCAATATTACGGATAACAAGTGTAATAAAGGCTTTCAATTAATTCGCTTTTGATTCTAACGCATATGCACTCCTTAAATTGCAGAAATATATTATGCATAAAAATTATAGAGCTTCTTTAATATTCTCAGATTATTATAAAACACACAATAATTGAAAACATATCACATACATAGATTGTTTTCGTCTTTAAAACGCACAGACGAATACAAAGATGCCACGTTGCAGTCCTTCTAACCGAGGAATTACATATTATTATTTTTTTCTTCTATCGTGTAACAACATATATCGGTGTGAAACGACTAGATATTGTTGCGACGCCTTAACAAAGAAATTTTTCTGTCCTTTTTTTTAAACAGTTCCTGAGAACTCGGCAGTATTGAAATAGATATGCTGAACAGTAAGACTCGAAATGCGCTAGACTCGTAGATCAAGTGCAATTCGTAAAACACTGGTGGTCATAAAATAATATACGAGATATGCGACAATATGCGCTAAAAATATCGTGCACAGTTAGATAAATTGATAGAATCTCTCTCTTCGCGTTGATGCTCGGTCGAATATATAAACTGTAAAAATTTTCTCTAAAAAAAAAAAAAGAGGAAAAAAGTTAGTAACGCAATGCTAAAAATCACATAATATTAAGATTATTGTATAACAGAAAGATTGACCCGTTAATAATTTCATTAAGCTATAATTTTACAATTACTTTAAATACAAACGAATCCTGCTTTTGTAATTCCTTGATAAATATCGACTCCCATATCATTACAAAAGCACTTGTAGTCTACTCTAGACTTTACCAATTTCTTACACGTTTCTCGAATCTAGAAGAATTACGTGAAATATATTTATTCGGATAGAAAAACATTTGCAGATCTCTGTGATTAAAAATATCATTATACATACACAAACGAGACCATTTTGCTTCTTTTTATTTTAATCATTAGATGATAATCATTATACGAAAGCACGCGCGTCAGAAAAATTTGATTCTTTCCCTTTCTTTTTTTTTTATCAAACCGCTTAAATGATTTCAATGACCGGTGTGAAAAGTCCAAGTGTTTGTTAAATAACTTCGTTTTATTAATAACTATGAAAAGATTTGTATGTACATCAATAATGCTGTCTCTCAGCAAGCCCACAGCTTGCTGCATGAAATATATCAAATGGAAACGGCATCGTTACGACTCTACAATTTGTACAAAATTACTCCCAAATAAATCGCAGGATATCACCATGCGTCCTTATTAGATAACGGACTTTGATTTACTGCCCGATGACACCGATAACTTAATATGGCGTAATTCGCAAAAGTTCTCCGTACATTTACACTCGCATATTTGCAAGATGACAATAGATCTATGCCTTTTAAGCTAACGCTAAACTATGCGCATATTTGCATATTCGTGATTTTATAGTAATTCGCTGTTCATCAGTGTAAATGTTCTACATTAAATGATATTTCGGCAGTCATTTTATTTCACTCTCATTTCGATTAGATTGATTAGAAGAGTAAGATATATGGTCAAGCATGATGCATAGTGCTGGACGCAAAAGAACACGAATCAGTCAATATTTCCGTCACATTACTTAAATTTGATATAATTCATGAATCACAAATGTGCGCATAGTATGACGCTGGCTTGCAGTCCTACATTCGCACGTTTGCATGAGAATGACAATAGGTCTGTTCTTTTTAACAGTACTTTAGTATTTTTGCACAATTTCTTCTTTTTTCCTCCTTTACAGTCTTAAATATATATATATATATATACATATATATATATATATATATATTTTTTTTGTTTTAAATAAAAAGGATATGTTTGAAAAAGAAAATGAAAAAAAACAGATCTAATGTCATGTGACGCAAAGGTCGCGTTAGGTGCGCTTGAAAAATTAAATAGTTGCGCGTAATTAAGCAGTATGTACAATTCTAGTTGCTAACTAGTTCAATTTGTCTATACTTCTTGCGCAGATTGCTCACGGAATCTTTGAACAGAACGGGGTCCAACCGCATGTTCGATCGTAACAGCGGCATATATCCGAAGACAGCGACAAACGTATTCATGCATGTCTGTCGTTGTATGAAATGATCTGGATCATTCCACGGGGATCTGTAACCCAACGGCACGTGATTAGAAATAGAATAATGATACGTGATTGCGACGTAAGTGCGAGTAAATGAGAGAGACCCACCTAATTCCGGCTACCGCGGTATCTTTATATAGCTTGCGCTGCGTCACCTTGATGGGCGGTCTTCGTGTGACGTGACTCACTAGGAAGTTCATGAGTATGTCCTCGCAATTCTGCGATTGCTCCACAGTTTTGTGGAGAGTTGAGCTTAATAATTCGGTGTACAAAGTATTGTAGTAGCGGTGATAGAATGCGGCACCGGTGAGTATGATACTGTAGTCGTTTGTCCATTTACTCGTGTAACCCCAGGAACGCTTGAAACGCAAAAAGAAAATCGAGGTGATTCAGTCGCGAAATATTTACCAATTGAATCGAAATCATATATCGCGTATACTGCTCAATATTTACCTTTGAGTCATCCCAATAATGAGATCTCGCTGGATATCCTACTATCCGCTCAGGAAATGAACGCCAAACCGTAAAAGCAAAGTCAATCTCGTCGGTATTTAAAGTAGCGTCTTCGTCGAGCGACAATATGGCACTAGTTTTGATTAACGAATGAGGATAAAAACGTTGGGAGATTCCGTCAACCGCGACAACGTGGATTGACGCCTTAATACCTTGCCAACGTGGTTTCCTTGGCACCGGAATGTCCGAGTTCCACATAAGTATTATCTTGAACAAAAGGATATATTATAATATATTGAAAAGTTATCGTGCAAGGAGATACAGCAAGAAAAATTGATAATTCAAGAATTTAATCTAAAGATAAATAATCTTACCTTATCTAGGTATTTGCTTTTCGAGAGACTCTTAAGTAGGCGATAAAGAACAGCAGTGGATCCCAATTGCGAATAAATTATGGCAGTGAAAGTATTACCAGGGTTACTGTTCGAAAAGGGAAGTTCTTGCTGACTGTCAGCAAATTGCGGTATAATCGTCAATGCTCCGGGATTCGTATTCCAGACAATTCTTTCCCGCGCACCTTCCCACGGCAAACGCTCTCGAATATTCTAAATTGATAATTATGATTAATGGAAGATAAAAGACAAAAGTTCTAATAAATATTACCATAGACAATTACCTCAAACACAGTAAATACAATTTTCTCAATGGATGAAAAATATTTCTCCCATAAAAACTGCGTTTGCTGTCGCAATTTGAGGATTTGTACATTGGATACGGACCGTACTATATCTGGAATCTGTGGAGTTCACAAAAAATTTGATTATCTAGTGTAAAGAAAATATAATTCATGATACACTCAAGTATATTTGTACTTTAACTTACTTGCAGCAACAATCTCTCGTCAGAGAATATGACAGCTTGAGTCCAATCAATGCGCTCGTGAAAGGGAAGAGCCCATCCATTACTTAAAATAACTGGAATACATCCCGTCTTCAAAGCTTCTAGAAAACGAAAGCTGCCTAGCCGTCGTCCTCGCGGAACCAAACAAAATGTGGCATTCATTAATAAAATCTCATAGTCGTACCTGTGAAGAAATGTACGATTCCATTTTAGTCTCAAGTGACATTTATATATGTGTAATTCAAATGATTTGAATATTTCTACTCACGTATCATATTCCTGATTATCCTGCTGACAATGTTCATCCTGGAATTCTCTCCAAGCTTTCCCGTGACGACAAGTCGTAACAAATACCAAATCTTTGCCGTTGTGCAGATGATAGAGAGCATTTCTCGTCTCAGATCCAATACCATGCACATATCGTTTTCCCTTAAAAGCTGCCACATATTTCTTACTGTTAGGGAAGTTATTCTCTAATGCTTGTCCAGCTTCTCCACCACGTTCCGGATGTTGTTTGCCAAATAGAGGTATCGATATATCAAAATCTGGTCTGTGTCTAAAGATGGACATGCTGGCTTTGGCCAGCATAGCATAACCCACATCAAAGGCGAGTGATTCCTCTGCATAATCAGGCCACGTGCCAGAATATAAGTTAAATATGAGATGGTTTCTTCCATTATTCCAATATGGCAGATGCAACAATTTCAAGGGAAGATTGTGTACAAATTCAGTAGATAAGGGATCTCTATCTAACGTATCCAGAGCTAAGACAAATATACATGCCCGTGTTGGGTCAGAAGTATAATATCTCGATTCAGTGATAACGTTTAATATTTTTTGGTATAATGGACTTATCACATCTTCGACTGGATACACATACACTGTGAAACCTTGCTTGCATTTAGTAAAGTCAAAGCAGGTTTCCATGCGACAATGCCTTGTACGTTGAGACATCGCCAAGGATCCAATGGATGTCTTTAAATCTTTGTCATAAAACTCTTCGTTTAGACTTAAATATGAAGGCAATCGCTCATAAGGCAACTGAGATTTGCCTGTCCATTTTTCACTTTTTAAACGATATCCACCAAAATAACAGTAACCAAGAAACGCACATGTTACAAACAATAATAAATAGCGTTTCTTGGCTTGCATTTTTAATACAGTCAGGTTATACAAAGATATATAATGATTCTAAGCATTATTTTTCCCTAATGTAAAAGATCAATATTTAGTCACAAGCACATTGTAACAATTAATTATGGCTCAAAAGTTCTTCCAAAATGTAATCACTCTTGCCGTTTTGTGCAGCTGTAACACAAAATTCCAAAAATTCAAAAATTCTATTTCTCAATTTCAATCAAGTTATTTGGTTATTTTAATACAGTTACACATTTGCAATGAACATATATATAGCATCACGTTATTATTACACAACTCCTCCGACAAATTGCAATTGTAATACGATCAAAGCGAGCGTTTTTACGGGTAAAGAAAAAAATAATGACACAAAAAATTAGAGGAAAGTCATTTACCTGCTTGGAACTAAGATCAAGAGTAACCATGGGCAGGAAAAGCTCAAATGACACAATCTTCACAAAATACATGACGGACTGGCAAACTGATATACCGTTGATAAATTTCACGCCGCTTACACGCGTTACACAGCAGTGCACGATGCGTCGTGTGTAGAATGTGAAACGGATCGTGCTGACTGCGCGATACAGCGATCCTAACCGAATATAACCTATAAGCAGTGCGATCCGGAGCTCGCACGGTCGACGATCACGTCAAGATTCCACGTCGCTATTAAATGGCACGTATTGAAGTCACAATTCATGACGATCCTCGGACGATCCACTTATTTACGAGTGCACCGCATTGACGCATCATCCTTCTAGGTTAATTACGATACACGTCGATTTCGTCGAGGCTGCCGGCGATTTTACGCCCACTTGCATTTTTCGGCCGGTCTTGGTGGACCCGCGTGACATTGATCGGCAAACGCCCACAAGTGCAAAATCATTGCACACCGCGGTGCATTAAATAATTGGTTTGAAAAGCAACGCGAATTATGCAGTGACGTTGAAACGATTAGACTGACAAATCGCCTGCTTAGACTGACGTGCGTCTCGCGAGAGCGGCGACAACTGTCACGGTGAATGTCACGGCGCGGCACGCGGGCCGCATAAATCGTGCGCTTAATACATTAAAGGAAAACAATCCAGTTATCAAAATTTTAATTATAAATCAAGTAAATCTTAGAATAAATATTTTAGATGAGAATAGTACAAATAAATTCCGATATTACGTGCATTTTCGACTGCAGAAACTAAATTTGCCTATGTCGCACGCATGCGTGAGTGTTGTGCATTGTTAAAAAAGGACCAAAACTACTACATATGGTTTAAAATTATCTTTAAAAAAATCTCTTAATTAGCTTTTATTAAAAGATTTTTTTTCCTCAACGCCTGGATGTCGTTGAATATATTGATTCTCTTGTCGCAACTCCCTATTATAATATATTGATTTCTATATGTTAGACTTTACGCTCTGAGAACACTTGCAGTTAATTATAAAACTTACCTTTTGACAATTATCGAACTTCGCTTATTGGTTTTACCATGTGCTAATAATCTAAATAATATTCAAAAGCAACGTTAAAAAATTGCAGATTCCAATATTCTCATTGCGATATGAATTTATATAAATATGTTTGCACATACAATGTATAATATAACAAAAAAAATTGAAAAATTTCGATAAACAATATTGAGGCAAGGAAAAGAATTTCTACTCACTCTAACTTTGTGCCACAATGGTATTAGAATGATGTTCATCATCAGATCCCTTATTTAGTATCGTAAAAAAGCGGATGTAGGCAATTCACAATTTAATAACTAATTTTCTTTAATACGAACAATGAAAAGCGAAATATAATTTCAGATACCGTATATCGCACACAGAATACTGCACGCAGCGAGAATCGAGAACGTGTGTCGTCTTCAAGAATTTTATCGAACACTTCCTGAGATAATTAAGCTTCAGAATTATTTCCTCGATAAATCGCAAAAACTCTAATAGATCCTTTAATAGACCAATTCTTACTGCTGAAGCTGAATCAGTGTATCTAAGAAATCAATATGATCGTGGATCAATATTTCTGAATTAATTTATAAGTGAATTAACATATCAATATATACGATTCAAAATTCTCTTTCATAAAATTCGATAATTATCTATTATTGTGCAAGTACTTATTTCAAACTGATCGAAGCAGTGGTTTCTCTTTATTTATTGTATTTTCAATTACAAATATTATAATGAGAACGCATAAAGACATTTAAATAATACGAAATTGCAAGAAGATGACTTAAACAAAATAAAAGCGTAAGAGAAATCTAAAAGATTAGGAAAGTTTTACGTATTTTAATGTCTCTTAGTATTTAAACGTTTGTTTGAAAAGCCAAGTGCGTTTTCGTCAACTTCTCGATGTCAATCACGTTGCACAAATTATGCATTGACAAGTGTAGACGTCATCGCGACAAAGAAGGAATTACGAAATTCTTACCTTGACCACAGCGTATTCATGACACTTATGCATACTACTTATTAAACGTCTGTGAAGAAAATTGTTTTTTTGCTAATATGAGAAATTTGTACTTTGGCACGATACGTTGTTATGCAATCGAAAAAACCACTGAGATTTAATTTTTTGCGCTCGCTCTTTGTACCAGAATTAATAGAATCTTTTTTTGGCAGTCAAGTTTGACGAAAGAAGTAATAATAAGGAACTCTAGTTACAAATAACGTGCGTAAGCGCGTCATTCCAACGCAAATGGTTAATGCACGAAAGAAGCGGATGTTCCTCGCACAAAATTATGGAATTTGCAGCTACTGCTAACCAAGAGATTGCATGCAACGCAATTTCACCACATTTGATGCGTATGATATGCTCGGTCTGTCCGTTCGTGCAAGAGAGTGTTTTACGAGTGCGAGACGAAACAATCGCCAAGACAATTGCCTGCAATTGCCGCATCAAGTGTCGAGAAACATAGGTTTGATTTATCCCATTCAAAGTGGAACGAATTATTGCCAGCAATTACATAATTATTAACAAAAGATTTATGAGCTAGCTATCATTAATACCTTACACTTTCAGTCTATGTCTTTTTGCTACAAATTTAGTTTTTGATTTATTAAATATTTAACTTATTAATATTCAGACACTTTATCCAAATATATCTGAACCAGAAGTGTAGTTAATTTTATTTTATTTCAAAGGTGAAGCTATATATATATATATCTCTATTATATTAATAGAATGATATGTTCCATTTTCTTAAATCTGCGTTTGAAAACGCTACGATTATTTTAGTATATATAGCTCAGTGTAAATGCCAATTATTAAACACACTTTTGAGTCACATAATACACAAATATTTTAAAAACTTGAAAAATTGTTAAACTACAAATATAAGCACTTTGTGCACTGTGCACTTATATAAATAAAAAAATTTTCTAACTCTGAAAAATTCCTAAATAAACAATGCACAAGTAATCGTATTTATATGTACATATATATATAAATTATGATCTAAAAATTTATTTTATTTTTATTTATTGATTTGATAAAAAAGAAATTGACATTACTAGCACTTGATAAAAAAGAAAGTGACATTATTAACACTAGATAAAAAAGAAATTGATACTAACTTTTGCCAAACTAATTTTTAATTCTTGTTGTAGATAACCGATGGCGTTACAATCGTATGATGAGCGGATAATACAAACATAGATGTCGATTAAATGTGTCCTTCAAAAGTAATTTTAATCGTGATACACGACAATTACACGGTATGTACAGGGTATATACAGAAAGTGAACCGTAATATAAAACTATAATCAAGAGATGAGTAACAAATGATGAGTCAGATACTCCTCTTTTTCTGTATTTAATAAGCATATATAGGACAGCGATGTAATTGAAGTAATACAATTACAAAACTGTAAAGAAAAAAATTAAATCATTTTTATATATTATATTTAATCTAATTATTTCGTTACTTTCTATATTTTTCTAAAAAATGTTGTTTTATTTCAGTTATGAAAAAAATGATCCTCTCGCAGTAAATATATCAATTTCTGTTTATTATTGATGCATTGAAATGCAAATATTTTCATACTTCTGTATTTTGACAGTGATATTTAACGATAATAGTATTTGAATAGTTCAATGCAAGTATCAAAATAAAAATGTTTTCAAGGCGCTTAGTGGCAATGAAACGTTCGCGTAACAATCAGTGTACGAAAGTCAACGAGTGCGTCAACTGATTTTATCCTCTCTCTCTCGTTTCCCATCGGATACTCGCGAAAATATTTCGATGGCGCTTTTTCGTTGTCAGATCAGCGATGGTGATTCCCTCCCCCATCCGACCGCCCCGCGATACAGCGACGGACAGCGACGCCTCCGCGTGGCGTCGATCAATAACATTGTCGTCGACGACACCGACGCCGAGAGCGTCGTTGCGTTTGCGAGGGAACGGCGCGACGCAAGGCGTCACGTTATCCGCGAAAGTCGCACCGAGCGTAACTCCGCGATCGGACCAGGAACTCTGCGCGCAGGAATACGACGGGAATGCGACTTAGGACGTCCCTATTGCTCTCATCAGCTGGCGAAAAACGCGCGTCCAGAAGCGAGGAGAAATCAAGCACCGAGTTGCCGAGGTCCCACCCACGACATGGCCAAGGTAAGCCCAGACGCGAAAAGACTACACGTCGAATTTCTCCATCCGATTGTCAAAATTCCGCCAAGAAAGTAAGATTCTCGGTTACTCAAATCAATGGACGATATCGCGAGTTACAAAGGCATTAGACATAAAGCTGTACAGACACGAAGCTAATAACAAAACACCGGCAATGTCAGATAAATAATTCTAACCGGAGTAGCGCCGTATTTTGCAACTCTAATGGAGAGCAGGAAAAAAGCGAAGGCTCTGATAACAAGAATTGTGACAAAAACAATATTTATCAATGACTTGCAGCTACACTTTCTACATATTGCTGAATCGCGGATAGTTGATCGAGTTGGAGCATTATTTTTCGATTTTGAAATGAATTTTGATACGTCATCGAATTTACGCGTCAACTGTGCAAGATGATCATTTGGCTTCGACGTATTAGGCTCTGTGTACCAGCTTAGATGTCGGCAATCGTGATTATTTTGGTTTCGAAAAAAGTGAGCGATAATATTGCGAAATGATCTATACGATTGAGTCGTATGCACGAGCAAAGTATGATGCTACTTTTACATAATTTAGAGCACATTCTGCTGCAACGGCGCAGACGCGAAAAGATAATCTGGACATTGGCGAATTTCCCAGTGCTCCATTTACGATACGCACGCGATATACATATCAACAATTTCCCCATTGTACAAAATAGACACGCGTGATGATAGGTAATAAGCAGTCGAACCTGAGAGGTGTAAGTCTTGCTTTTTAGTTTGACTTAAAAAAATTATAACTTGTAATTTTATTATTATCTGATTTCTAACACGTGAAAAAATATAAAGTTCGTAAAATAATATTAAAATCGCAGCTGAATAAAAATAACAAGCTTACGGTAGATCGCGTTTATGATGTAATAATATAAACGACATACGCAGACACGCTTTACGCGCACGCTTTAGTTCAATCATTAATTTTATTTTAGGAACAGTTTCGCTTTTCAAAATCTGATCTTACATACAAAATCGTCTTTTAACATTGATTTAAGACGCTAATATAGATTTGTTATTGCCAAATAAGGAAATCTCCGCCTTAATTCGCGATTATAAATTTTAAATTCGTGTTTGGGGTGGTCTTAAATGGAAAAAAAAAAACAGACTGAAAATCGCCGGACTGTGAAATCGACTTGTGCCTTCTTACTGTAGCAAAACTAGTATCGAGCGGCATTGGAACCGCTTTACACATAATAATGTGCTTCGGTACGTCGCTCACACGCTCGCTACATACAAAACATATGTCGTACGGTCGGTGCGGCGCACGGATTTACGGATTGATGAATGCAAACAACCACGTGTCCCGACAGAATAGAAGCGATTGTCAGTTCGTCGTCGGCATGCCAGTGCGTAGCGTGCGTATGTTCGCTCGCTAGCTCGCCCGACGACGGTCGCTCCGTTCGTACGCTCGCACACTCGCTCGCTCGCTGGCAAGGCTACGGATATGCGCGAGTGACCAGCGACGGCAGCGGAGGTGGTGGCGCACACAGCAGGTGTAGTTAGCCGGGGATCGCGAAGCGAATCCGGAAAGTTTTATTGTCATACACCGTTCGCGCGTCGGCCGCGACATGGATCGCGGAGCCGGTCGTTAGTGTTATCGATCCTCCGACGCTTCGCGAGCTCACGTTGCGCAATTACCGTGTTTTTTGTTTTTCCTTTCTCCCTTTCTTTCCGTTTCGCCGAGGAAAACCGTAAGCCACGCCGGTGCTTGTGTACACCGTGGAAAATTTTCCATCGAGTCGGTGCCTTGCGAGAAATGCTGATGACACGAGGTATGTTGTTTTTTTTTTCTTCAAATATTAACGTTTCGCGAGTCTTATCGAGGAAAGCGCCGATATTGAGCGAAAGAGCGGGTGATCGCGCATCCACGCATATGGTAATTTGCACGCTTCGCTGGAAAATATTGTATCGATAAGATCTATTGAAATTAATTGGGATTTTACAGCGCGCTTATCTATGAATCTGCATCTTGTAAATTTAAGTGATCAGTATTTCGACCGTGGCGGATGGCTGTTGATCTCGTGAGAAACAGATATTGAGAGAATGTTAACGACAATGTTTGCGATAGCTTATCTACGAAGGTTACATTAACGTGTACACTCTGAAGTGGGACTCGGTGAGGTGCAAATTTCGCCACGTTTCTCGTCGACCGGATGGCAGATACTATTGCGTTCTTCAGAAAGTTTTCTAAGGTTTTCCAAATTCTATTTTCACACAGAAAAACAATTCTTCGCGCGAACAACCGAATAACCTACAATGAATAACAATAATCTTGGAATATTTTTCACTCTTCGGCGCATCGTTGACATTCATACTGATTTAACAATTTGCCTCTTACGTAACGTTAAACGAGCGAGTTATTAATATCGATGTGGAAGAAATGAGACGCTCACAATTCAGATAATTGAGACAAGAGCTATGACTCCAATTGATCGCCTGTTTATTGCCTATAAAGCGGGCGATGAAATGAGAAACGTGAATTGAACTTTTCTATATCCGCGTGTCCTGCTAACTTCAATCTCTTATCGAATTGCGTTGGACTTGATCGCGAACGCATGTCACGTCGGAAAGGACGCGGGAATGTATTCCATTGAAATTATAATAATTGCAGAGACAGTTACACCGCCAATAACTCCGCGCTATAAGTCATGCCGCCTTGCGCATTAGCTTAATTGCACAACACGTGAATCGAGTACCAGCGGCATGGAAATTCCACAATAACGTCTTGCGATTTCTACGCGGAGAGAATGGAAACGAGGAGTAACAAAAAAAAAAGCGTACCATTATTCGGTTCTCTTTGATAACTGAAAAAGAGGAGAAAACATCTTGAATATCTTACGTCCGGAGAGTCGAGTCGTTTTGAAGCGGGACTCGCGTGAACGCTGTTGAAATTAGACTGTATTATAATTTATCCAAGAAGCGCAGTAGGATGCACTTGTACATTGTACAGTTAAAGTAGGCGGTTTCTTCGTCTCTCGTTGTCTCGAAGAGTAACAAACCATGACTGTTGAGCACGCGTGGGCGCGAATTGGCGCAAATTAAACACCGGAGGCTAAGCTCGCTGAATTCGGCCTTTTACCGTCCATCGTCGTAGAATCTCGCGGAATCGCGTAGAATTTATTCGTGTTTCCTTAATTTCATTCACGTTCTCACTTTCCATATTGAATAATCAAAGTCGTACGATCCCGCTCGCTGACTCGTCGCTTTTTTTTTCACCTTGGCATTTTATTACCACGATGACGATCCGTTGTTGGCAGCCGTGCCTACATCTGTCTGCGTAAATTCCGCACTTGCCTAAGAGAAATACATGTTAATGATGCGAACGAAATCTAAGGATGTGTGTGAAAGTCATAGATAGAAAACTGATGCGGCCGTGATGATTGCTGACCCATTACATTACCGTTTCGCGTAGCTTCTGTCGGTGCTGACGAAATACGAGGTAGCAGAGTCATTCGCAGAGAAAATATCACGCGTTACGAACTGCTTGGACAGAAAACTGTGATTTAGTGTTCTTTGCATAAATATATAAAGTTCACCGTAGAGGATCGATAATCCGTGACTGAATTAGAAATAGTATTTTGTTTATAATTTTATTTTATCATGTGCTATGTGACACAAAAAACATTTAAAAAATAAAAAAACACATTCTATACTGATTCTTCAAATGTCTGCTGTTATATAAAATTATGAATAAATCTTCTACCTCGAATTTCGTTGTAAATTGTACATTGAGGAAAAAGTGTGGATTGGAGAAATATTTGTTGATGAAGCTGTTTTAATAAATACGAAATAATGTGAAATTAATCGAACTGAATATTGTTTTAAATTACAAACTCAAATATGTGAACTAAAAGAATGATTGTTAGTTAAACATATTTAATCACTTTAACTACTTTTTTCTCGCCGTAGGTTTTTCTAAAGCGAGCTTTGAAAAAATTTATGTTTCTACGAGCGTCTTTAAACGAACAGATACAAAAATTATCAAAAGTATCAAATTAATTAATCAAAATTATCTGTCACGAATGGGTTGTCTAAAGTGGACTTTATATATTATACGTAATACTGTTGATAATAATAAATAGAACGGTTATCTACCCGCATATTGTTTTCACAGTAAATAATCGGCGATGATTATTTCCAAAAATTCGAATAACACGCAGTCGGCCTGGTTTGGCAATAGAAAAAGGAAACCGCCGGTGATTTACGGTCGGGACACGAACCCGACCCGCGTAGCGGTTCGCAGTAACCTAGTTCTCAGCCTCGGTGTTCCTATCCACGCGTGTAAACGTTCTATCATCTGTAGGAGAACGCACGTATCCCGTTTCTCGTATCAGGAACGGCATCGATGATAACCACCATTGTCTGCAACACGCTAACACAGTTTCTGTTTTCATTTTAATAAGACACTCACACGTGGAAAATAACTAAACGAGTTATCGTGCAATACATACCAGTGCGAACCTGCAAAAAAAGACAAGTTTCGTAATTGATCATTTTCGTTCGCCCGTTGCTTTGTACATAAATAACGCTCGGTGGAAAGAAGAACCGTATGAAATGGGACGATCGGTGCCCGTGCGTGATTAAGAAGAAGCCGCTCTCGAAACACACAGTCACGAGTTAAGATTAAATTAATCGCTTGACAGAGAAGACTTCTGGAACTATTATTTGGAGGCGAGCCAAGGGCAACGGACTCCATCGCGATGCATCGTCGACTCGAACCTTCTGACCTTTGAAAAAAGAGAGAGAGAGAAAAAAAAAGAAGATAACTGCGCCATTACGTGTAATTAAGCGGCAATTAATTCTACAACTCGGAGAAACTCCGTGTTCTATCATTTCCATTGGGATGATTTCCTCGCGTGACTCGTGTGAAATCGCGCACCCACACCTGTACGTGCGTTTGTTCGCAGAACGTGGGGGAGAGTCGGATACCTGTTCCACGGGCGGCGCGGCCGTCCTTCTTTCCGAAATCGAGAGTGCTCGAGGCGTCGAGGCTTCTATCGGGGGGCCGCCGGTCCACGATCTTCTCAGGATGCTTTCAGTTTGTTAACGCCGAGGACGAGTCCCCGACGCCGCGGGAGAAGTTCTCGGGATTCGCGACGTCATCGCCCAACATTCAGGGTATGTTCGTATCTGTAATCACGTGTATTTAATATATATATGTATATATGTGCTCTCATTCGAAACGATTGTATTTCAGCCGACTCGGCGGCTGATAAGACGTTCACGATATCACCTGTATGGGACATCGATAAGAATGATGTGCAGGACTTGGTGCACTTCGGCGAGGAGAAGAACAGCTTGTTCAGGTGTGGATATATTGTTGTGCGATAATTATACCGTGCGGCACATTTCTAAAGTACGTGACAAAAAATTTACAGACGTATTCCGCTAACGATAATTCCAACTTGTTGTCTCAAAATTAAGAAAGATATTCTAATAATCATGGATCCTCGAATCTCCATTTATTTTCGAGATAATGATTGGAATTGTAGCTTGAACACGCAAGACGCAGCAGTGTAAATTCTATTGTAGAATTGTAGGAACGTGTGCAAAGTGCACGCGATATTATCAGATCGGTCGACAGTATTCCAACGCGATACAATCAATAATACGGCATATATCGACGCCTATGGCGAATGGAGGTCACTTTAAAGCATCTGCCGTAATGTAAGTGATTCTTTCATCAAAAGTAACTGTAAAGTATTTAAAAAAAAAAACGAATAGAATACGCCTGTAAATTGTGTGACACTCTTTTTTTACAGTAACATCTGTATAATAGCTACAATAGCCTTATTGCAAAATTAACACTTCTATCGTCTTATACGCTCTTTCGTTGCTCTTAGATTACTCGAGAGTTCTCAGCTGAGCATGATCGAGGATGTCGGCGACACCTGCCTCGTGGAGTCGAACAATTACAATGACACAAGCGCAACGCCGCATTACTTGATGTTCAACAAGCAAAACTCCTTCGAGCACGACGAGAGTCTCGGAATACTGACGCCGGACCAGATGACCGATTTCACAGCGGCGCTGGAGTGCTCGAGGACGCCATCCTGCGAGAACCTCACCGGTTCGGCCGCATCGAAGTTAGCGTTGACGCGGGCATCCGCTTCGACGAGGCCGCTCGTGGACGTGGAACCCGCCGAGGAAGGTTGCACGGAGAGAACGCCTTCGCCGGAGGAGCTGCCGCTCGACCCTAAACCCGTGGAGCCGATCAGGGGTGGCGCCGTGCCGGTGAGCTTCGTCACGTCGGTCACGAGCATAACCAGTCTGGAAGCTGGTTACCAGGGGGACGGCGAGAACTCGCGACCGGCCAGTCGCGGGGCGGATCCGCCGTCTATGGCGGTGCCGCCGGTCAATCTGCCGGCGCCCTGCCGCCAGGACCCGATGACCGACTCGGACTTCTTCACCGAGAGCGACGCCGACGCGCACGAGGAGATTGTGCGAGGCGACAGGAAAGCGCAAGTGATAGACGGCACGCTGTTCTGCGCGCCGGGCGAGCGCGTGTGTCCGAGTTTCACCGGCGAGGAGATGGACTCCAGCGGGATTTACTCGGACCTGGACAAGCTGCAGGCCCCCGGCGAGCAGGAAGTGTCGGAGGAGAACGACGATCGCAGTCCCGACACCGGCGACACCGAGCTCTCGCAAAGGAGCCAACCGTCGCCCGTCATGGCGAACGTCATCATGGATTATCTGCAGGTGCGTTCACGCGTAGGCGAAACTCGGCTATTGCGAGTGATTTTCCTTCTTAGATCTGCCGATTGATGTGTAAAATATTTGCAGAGCTCTCCAAAGACGTCGGACGATACTAGTACCACAAACGAGACAAAGACCTCCGCTGAAGTGACGGCGGTCGAAAAAGTCGAGAGCAGTGAGAACATTAGGCCCAAACCACAAAGCAAGGCCGATACGGTGCCTTTGAAAAAATACAAAATGCCGAAGAGAAACGTCGTCTCGAAAATTAAAGCAATGATCGAGTCGTCTTCGAAAGATGACGCGGAAAAGGAGGCGAGGCGGTCGCAGAGATCAACCAGAAAAGGCGGACGCTGGGACGCCGTGATGAACAAGATAGAGGCCGGCAAGAACGAGCAAAGGACGAGGCCGGCTAGGAAGGAAGTAAAGTCGAGAGTGTCGCAAACCCTCGCCTTGTCACCTTCCACGAGGCCTACGTCGAAGAAAGCTGGCGACGCGAATAACAACAATAATAAGGATAAACGGTGAGTTCTTGAGTGAAATTAGATAAAACTTCTTCTCACGATAATAATTTTTTAAGATCGTTGATCTTTTCCAATTGTGAGTTTTTGATTTATGTTTTTTTGTATCGCAAACCATGTTGGAAATATTGCTGAATTTTAGGAGAATGCGCACTTGGCAGGAAATGAAGTCACCGACGCAGGAAACGGCCAGAAGTTCTGTTCGCAGTTCCATGAGTGATCTCAGCAGCGGTCCAAATAAAGACATGCTAAGTAAGTGGAACATATTTATATTTGAAGAAAATTTGGCGGGAATATGCTAAGTCATGTGGATCAAGGCCTTTAATTAACTCTCCAAAAAAATTCACACAACGTTTCGTAATCTGGCTTTACGCGAGCAGCTCTGATAATAGTATTCCATGTAAATTTCACGAGATGATCTTATTTTGTCACTATTGTGTTACTATATATTGTAACAGAAACTGATTCCGATCAAGATTATGCTTGAAATACATTTTTTTAAATAACAATACGAAGAATATAGAGCCGAAAGGTTAATACATTCGCGACATTGATATTTTCTGGTAGCTGCGGTATATCCAGTTACATTTGTACGTATTTCTGTCTACACTTTTTACGACTGGGTTCAATGCTAATGTATTTTTATAGAGATGTAAGACATGTTGATGTTTTGTGTTGTACTCGTTTCTAAATTAGATGCATTTTCCGAACTGAAATATTTCTACATGTGTCGCGTGTTAAAATTACATAATGAATAAATCTTTCAATAAATTGTATAATATAAACTAACAGAATATGTATACAATTTTTTCACATGTGACTTATTATATTGCTGCAAAAAATTCTTTATACACGAATGCAATCAGGAAAATAGATGCAACACTAGTTTACACGATCTTCAATGTATGCCTGATAGATTTTCACAATAACTAGTATTAGCATTAATTTTTTTACTTAATATAAAAAAAAATGAAATAATTTAAGGCAACTTTTAACAATATTCTAAACAAATATATGAAAAATGGAAAGAAATAACTTCGTTACTTCTTACTGAAGTATGCAAATAAATAAAATGTAATTTTGCGAGATCTTAGAACGAATCGCGTGCTATAAAATTCGATATTTTATCTCTGGAAGAAGAATGCTCAAACAGGAAAGATCTCTCTCTATCTCTCTCTCTCGGTCCTTTATACACGGTTTACCTACTGGAGAGAAAGGCGAGGTCTCTATATCGACCCGCGGCACTCGCACGACCGTAAAAGCTCGGTCGTCGAAGAAGCCGTGGAACTTTATTGGCCCTTTGATCGGCGCCACTGGGGATACAACGTCGTTTTGCTTCCATTATACGAGAGAGGAGGAAGCTGTGTCGAGCGGTGCGCATCGCGCAACTTTACCGCAGTCGCGTTCAGCATCCATCCGGTCGGTAGTCCTCGGCGGGCCTCGTGTCGGATCGTGTGTGCGTGTATATAGAACGTGAGTACGCGCATGTTATCTCCGGTGCATTAGCCGTCCCCCGTCGTCCTTCTCTAACCAAACGCGCACCTATTATCCTCACTCGCTCTCTCGCGAAATCAGGTCATCGGAGAGCAGCGCGCACAGGGAGTTCGTACGCGCGGAAGGGTGAGAAGAGAGCCGTGACAGCCGACGCGTGCACCGTCGCCAGTGGACGAGTCGGCGAGCAACGGAGCGCGCAATATTGTGTCCAGCGGTCGACTCGGGGCATCGATCACCCTGGCGATTCTCGCGCCCGGAGTCTTCGGAATCCGCAAATCTCGTCCTAAATGCGATCGGCTCCTCATCGACGCGAAGTGCGGACGCGAAGAGGAGCGCTCGCCGCCTCTCCTCGGCGTCATCAATTTCCCATCGCGCTCCCTCCATCGTGGTTGCGCACAGCGAGTTCAACACGTGCGAATTGCGTGCAGGTGCGACGCTTGTGACAGCAGTGCGAATTGCTCGTAACGCGAATCTCCGATACCGCCTCGAAGGTTCGCAATTCCTTTCGTTCGGCGAGTCCGGTCAGTAGCCCCGGACGATATTCTCCGACTGTCGGCGGAGATACGCTCGCCGTCGTCCCACCTGTCGCACCGGAATTCGACATTCCCCGTTACGCGGCCGTACCGTGTGATTTGAGGACAATGCGTTCCGCCAGTGCGCCAACCGCACAATCTACCTGCATTCAGGTCTCGCGTTAACGGCACCGCTGCAGCCGACGGCAGCGCACAGGTTAACGCCACTCGCGGTTTATTTCCGACCTCGGGGCCTGCCCTCGTCGTGCTTTCTTTGCGCCTCTCGCTCGCTATGCACCGCCGTGCACCTCCGTCGCTCGGCGGGGATGCCCGCCGCCCTTCGCTCCCCGCAGCCACGTCCCCACCCTCGCCGGCGGCAGGTGTACCCGATCAAGCGACGACCACGTGCGCCACCAAGGTCGACGACTGTCGGTACGCGACTACCGGTCTCTCAATCCGCCCTGCGCGGCCTTACGTAATCAGCGGCTGCTGAGCCCCGCACGTCCGCGCGCGACGATGCGCGCAACGGGCCTCTGAAACGTGCGGCGAAAAGTTATCCGATTAATTCTCCCTCTCGCGCGTTAAATCGCGTCCCGCGCGGTTTTTTTTGTCACCGGCGGTGCCGGAAAAGTACGACGCTGGTCGTCGAAATGTGATCGTATGTGATACAATTGTCACCGATCGGTGTCGGATAGCAAGGTAGGATAATACGGGATACGTGATACAGCTGCAATACAGTCGCGTGATAACTCGTGTGAGCCGAGAAGCCAACAGCGTTTGCACGATCGATCGGCTGCAACCGAAAAGTGGAAGATGCCTGTTGTACGCTTCACGTTGGAGAACGTCGCCGGGATGGCGGCCGGCGCTCGCATACCGGGCGATTCTCACGCTCGGTTCGCAAGATACGGCAGGATAAAGGCGCACAAGCCAGTCGCGTTCCCATCGACGAAGATCACGGATAATTCTGCTTGCGATCTATAATGGCGAGGCGGTGAAAAGGCCGACGATGGGACAGCAAGGATCAAAGGACAGACCTCTCTCGAGAAAGGCGGACTTCGCGCGAGAGTCGGCGAAGATGCGTCTAGGCAGCTTCAAACGAGGTAGAAGGGAACGATTCGAGGTGACCGTATAACGGTGATTCTTCCGGCACGGTGCTATGGTGGTCGGTTTGACGACTACCTCTTTACTTTGTTTGTTTTAATTTCTCAGTGCCGAATCGAAATTTTCCCCCCACTTTCGATCTCGAGGTTTTTCTGTATTTATAGATTTTAGAAAATTACAACGATATTAATTTATATACGAGAAATAATCTCTCACGTTGCATCTGCGACATTAAACTTTCAGCGAAACCAAACACAATTTAGCGATTAAGAACAGAACATTATATTCCGAACATTCGAGGTATTAAAATGAGCGGTTGGAATATTTGAAAATATCGAAAAGTGGGAGAAAGGTTTCGTGGTTCCTTTAAATATAGAGAACAGCGTCGACGCATCTGTTTTCCTAATTATCTAAAATCCGCTTCTGCTTCTTCACCGCGCGATATTCACAATACATATTTTCAGAGAGATCACCGACATCCACAAACCCACCTAGAAGATTTGTCGCGAACGGCCACGCTAATCATCATCCGATCCGTGTGAATAGTTTTGATGTAAAAAAGAACTGCATCGATGTGACGGTCGAACTCGGTAAATATATACCTATCAGATTATTATACGAGATCATTAGGTAACTACGCCCATGCGTGTCGGTTTGACAATCAGAATGAGCGAGAGGGTGGGAGGGGGGGGGGGTGAACGAAGAAGAACGAGAGCACCGTCACGTATTTCCGGTTGGGGAGCCTCATTTGCCACGACGAGCTGCACCGACACGATAAAAAGAGAGAGCGTCTTTCATCTCCGAGACTAACTACTAATCTAACACAACTTCATCTACCGGTTCGCGATTCGTAAATTGCATACTTAAAGTCGCGCGCTAAATAGCAAACACCTAAGTGTCTTTGAAAATTTCTCTCGAGAGCTTTTTTTATTTGCGGCCTTTGATAGAGAGAAAAGAGCTTATGTCAGTTATATGACAAGTTGTGGATGCCCAAGCTCTCCCTACTTTCCCTCAAGATAAAGACACGGTCAAGATTAGAAATTCTCGATGGCTTTACGACGCGAGTTATCGAAATCTTTGACCTCAAAATTTGTCATAGTCATTATTCACGGGCATCGATTGCATTTGTCAAGCCTGTTCTTCCGCACGATTTTAATGCGATTAAGTATACTCTTTACATTAGATTGTGTCATAAAATTGCCGTTTTTGTAGATTAAAATCATTATTCAATTAAAAGATGCATCATTAGCATTAATCGTTGTCTCTCAATCGGATATTAAATAGTACATTTTATTTTTATAAAATTCCACGTTTTGAGACTAAAAATTACTCCAATTTTTTAATTATTGCTTTATGCATATTTCTTTTCTTGTCAAATCATCATCGAATATTCGCTAACAGCGTTTTCTTCGAAATCTATATAAAAAAGTATTCGCAATTCTTTGGAAGATACTCGTTTACTCTTGTGAACAAGAACAAGCAACTCGATAATCAACGAAAATTGAAAAGCACAATACCGTTGTAAATGCTAAATAGCAGAACCGGAAATATATTTTAAGCTTTATTAATCGCGATCAATTTTCAACTGATCAAAAAGCGGCAATTTTACGTGATATAATTAATTAATGGTTTTGAATTGATCTTGAACTCATGTTAAATTATACACTGTAAAAAATTACTGACTGACAATTAAGACAAAAGTGTTTGAAGTTTTCTTACAGTCACATTGTCTGAATTTTTGGACAGAATATTGTCTGAATTTCTAGCCACAGTTGTCTGAATTTCTAAATTTTTCGGACAGACGCGCCATTATTCTGAACTTTCAGAGAAACTACTCTGATAATTAAGACAGATTGTCTGAAATTACTTTCAGGCACCCAGATCTGAAAATTCAGACAAAAATGTGTCTGAATTTTTAGGCAATTTTTTACAGTGTACGTATATTAATTTATATAAAAAAATCCTGTATAGGGATGTAGATATTTTTATATAATACATGAATTTGTTATCTCGCACGAGCGATGAAACGGTTCTCGTCGTACGGTACTCGTACGCTCGCTGGTGCGCGGACTCGAGTACTACTGGTTAGTGCTCAGCATGCTTTCGTTAACGCAACACATTCTCTTTACAGAAAAGAGCCCACCGTCAGCGCGAAAGCCAGCGATAACGAGGAGATTAGCCACCAATGCTTCCGCAAAACAGAAGTCCTCCACGTCGTCGATAAAAGGTACGTTCAAAAATTCTTTTAGCAATCATGCAATTTTTATCCGCTTTAGACAATCTGCAATTCGCGAATCCGAGATGGAAATCTTTATAATTTCACGTGACAGAAAACACAAAAGTCGAATTTGTGTTAACAATGTTTTACATTTTCGATTTAGAATTTGTGCTCTAAATTCAATTTTAAATTGATTAACCAGTCAAGTTATTCAAATGACTCTAGATTTTTGAATCAATAGTTGTACACGAAAATTTAATTCAAAAATGCCTTTCTTCTATTGTACGCTACATGAAATTGCAAAGAAATTTTACATCAATTGTTGCCGCAAATTCTCTAATACGTTTTCCATTATATAAAATTATAGATAGATTTATTATTAGATTCGCAAATTATAGATCGTCTAAAGCGAACTTTATATAGCCGGCGAGCTTATAATAAAACTCTTACTCTATCATCATCTCTTTCATCAATACCAGTCCATCACATTCATCATTTTGCAAATGACAGAATAAAATGAAAACTAATGTTTGCACATTGTGCTTTCCAATCCATTAGTCGTCTCATTACTTTGGCGACTAGTTTCTAAAAAGTTCCCACGATTATTTTGCAGCAACCGTACGTGGACGCCTGCACATTTGTGCGCGCACACACACACAAACGTATACGCGCACGCATACACGCACGCACGTGCGTACACTCAAGTGCATTAATTTGCTCAGTGCAGTAACGCGTCGCACGCGCTCGCTCATTCGTTGCGACCGGAATTGACGCACTCGCTTGTATCTACATACATGCGTGTCGCTCCGTACGAGTCTCGCTGTTTCGAAGAAAGTCGTAGCTTTCTCCCAATAATCCCGAGTGCTAAAACTCTTTTACTTGGTCGTCTTTCCCTTCAAAATTCCGCAAAAATCCACTAGCGCCCGGTCTATCGCCGCGACTGGCGAGAAAGAGAGAGAGAGAGAGAGATCGTTATCAGAAATCGGTGTTCTAAATAATACGCAATGGCGAAAGCAGTTTCCGCGAGCTCTCCGCGAATCGTTCTCGTAGAACGGAAAGAAGGTAAAAAAAAGAAAAAAGAAAAAAAGATACGTTTTGAAAGGGTTCCGTTATCGCCATCGCGTTCATCGCCGTTGCATTCGACATTCATCGCGGATTCTGACGTAAGAGACGTTATTATATACAATCGTCGACCATCGTAGTCCGCAATGCTCGACGACCGTAAGAGTAATCACGAACACGCGCGCGTATATGCGTCTCCTTCCGTCTAAGGGCGACCGATTCCAAATGAGAAAACTCGAGGTTCCCGACGCATGCCGGCTTCACGACTAGTTACGCCGGAAGAACCGCAGAATTTTGCTGAGGGAGATTAACGCGATCTCTGCGTTTAGTGTGTCGATTTGCGCACTCGTTAGATTGTAAATAGAAATGCGTTTCCGCCCTTCGAGCGTGCCAAGACGCATAAGCGGCTAAAAATATTATTTTTTCCAAATTAAAAACAGCGCTAAAAAAATTTTCAAACTGAATCAATCGAGAAAACAATCACAAGTCTACAATAAAATTTCATGTGAATTTTCGTAATCTCAATGTGACGCTCACACACACTTGGTGTTAATTTCACTCCAGAATGTTGCAACTACATTACGTGGACGTATTTTTCTTTCACTCTTTACAAACACGCGCTAGAATACGTAAAGAACACAATTTTCCAGCCTGGTGGCTTCTCAGGAATAGGAAAAATTTCTTATTACGAAATGTGGAAGATTGATATTTCGAAGCAGGCTCGTGCGAAATGCTCGCACTGTTTTTCTTCCTGTTTATTAATTTCGAGGATCCACCTTGCGTCTACGTAGTGGCGACGAGAGCGGCAGAATGAACACGGGGTGGGGGGCATGTAGCTTTCCGAGGTGGCCCGTGGCTCGTGCTAATTCAGTCGGCGCGCGAACTCGGCCAGCAAATTGTTACGAATGACGATTCTGATTAGAAACGCGCGCGCGGTTTTTACGACTTCGTCGTAAAGTGCCTGTCGGAGAAGAAATCGAGCGCCCTTTTTTATCGTTCAAGGTGGATCGACGAACAGTCCCGCTTTAAACGTCCCGCCGCACGGTCGGATCGACGAGGATGCACAATCGTTAGGTTGATATCCGATTCTGTTTACATCGCGCGCTTCTTACGCACGCATCGGTGATAAATGTCTCGATCCACTACTCCACGCAGAAACCCCAAAATACTTGAGGTTTTCTGGCAGATGTGATGGAGGGGGCAGCGGCAGGTACCAAAAGAGGGACGTGTAGGAAGCGAATTTTCTTGGCCACTGATCACGAGCGATAGTCGCCGATGTGTCTTTTGGCAATTTCGCAACTGCGTGCCGTTATGATTGACCTTAACCCGATGTGTCTCTTCATTGAACGACAAGCTCGCATGACAATCGCGCGCTTCGGCCTCTGAGAGAGGAGACCCCGATTTCGCGTTTCGCACAGATCTTCGCGAGAACACTCGTCGCGAGATTGGGACGTGACATAAACGTGCGGAATTCACCGTTTACACGATCGTTCCGTATGTTTGGGTTCGATAAACCACGTGATTTCCCCATGTGCGCGCGTTGTATGTACGTCTATTATGTATCAATAGACCTGACGCTGGTCGAACCCGACGAAGTTAGTACAAGTGAACTGGTTTTCCAATCGACATTTCCTTCGATCCCCGAATTCGATTACACTTGTATATACAGTAACTGTGTTGACGCAAAATTAAGACTGAGCGATCGAACGATTTCTTCGGAATGACACACTGATCTCGCCGTAATAAATTGGGTGGATTACGGGACGGTAAGAGATACAATAAGGACGCCGCGGACATTGCACGCGTATCGAGACACTTGTGTACGATTGACGGCACGTGGGCCGGATTCATTGACACGCCGGAGTGGGTGGGTCAGTTTTTCGACCGACACTCGGGTGCGTTTGTTTTTTTTTTTTTTTTTTGTAGAATAAATATCGAACGGTGATGATGATGGACTCGGTGTCGACGCTAATTGCAGATCGTGAGTCGAAGGAGGCTCACAACACCACCTACGCGGTAAGGACGTTGGAGAAGCGGGATCAGGCCGCGCAAACCACCGTGCCCTATGAGGCTCTACGCGCGGAGCAAGCGGAGCGGGCCGCACAGGCGCTCGCGGTGACTGTACAATATCTGGCGTTCGAGGTACGAGCTTAATTTGTCGCCGCCTGAGGTCAAAAGCGATATTAACGAACGATATGACGGTTCTTTTTTCCCAGCTGGACGCGTTTGCCACGCCTAAACTGAAGAAGGACTTCGAGAAGCTGAAGGCCGAGTGCGAGAAAATGAAGAAGGAACGGTCAGCCGTGCTTTCAGAGATCGATGATCTACGCGCGAGATGCATCGGCATGGAGGAGAAACTCGAGGCGGAGAGGGAGGATCACCGCAAAGCTCTGGATCAGCTTCGCGATGAGCGTAAGCGTCTTGTGTATTTACTTTCTTGAACCCTTGTACGCGGCTTACATCTTCAGTTTAGAATTTTGAGAACTTTTTAATTAGCTGGCACTTTTGTAATCATCGCACGCAAATATCCAGATACGTTCGATACGTGAAATTGCCTAATTGTAAACTTCCGTCGTGTGTGCCTGAAAATTTACGCGCGAAAAATTAATAATTTCGCGAATAAAACGGACTCAAGTTTGCAGTACGCACTTTTTAGAAAAAAAAAACCGTATTTAACAGACACAAAGTATCGCTAATGCCAGCGGATATTATTTCCTGTAGTTATTCATGCACTAACGAATGTAATAGTCCTAATATCAATATGTGAATCGTGCCTGCATGAAGTGGAACAATTGTTAATTAAAGCGAACGATTTAGCAGTGCCTACGCGTAATTCAATGCCTACGCGGTTAATCCTGAATTTGTTTTTTTTTTCTTCTTTTTTTTGTTAGGAGATATTTTGAACTCGCCGAAAGATTTAGTTCTTAACTTAGTTCTCACGTAACGTTCGATGTTTCGATAGGCGCTAATTATAGATTCAATGCGTGCTCCCAGTTTAGCTTTATATACATTTTTGCTTTTCAACTTAATGTCCTCAATATACTGTAACAAAATAAACTTAAATTGGACTGTAAAAACGGAGTAACATTAAAGATGAAACCTTTGTTATGATTATTTGTTTATTTATTAATAGAAACTTTTTTTTGGCACATTGAATATGCGCAATAAACGTAATAACACAGATGATTTAATCATTTTTTGTCACATATTAAATTCGTCTCTATAATAACTATTAAAATATGTCATAAAAAATATATGTTGTTAAAAAAATAAAAATTAACAATCTTATTGAAATAAATGGGAGACACATTAAACAATACATTCTGTTATTTTATATAAAAAGTGACTCGTGATTTCGAAATAAATGATTTTTAGGCCAATAGTTTTTTTATTTAAAATTCTACTTTTAGCAAGAAAATTAAAATTAACATTTTGATGTTTCAGTGGAAACTCACAAGGCGAAACAAGTAGCTGCGCTTGTCGAAACTCTGAAAGAGGAGAGGCGCAAGTACGATGTCAGACTGGAAGAGGTCACGAGGGAACATCGTGCAACAATCGCGAAACTACGCGCCGAGCAGATCAACGAACTGTCCCGCAAGGAGGAGATGAGGAGGTCCGTGGTTCACGACCAAGGCGCCGCACTGATGGCGGAAATCGAGTCTCTGAGATCTGTGCTCGAGCTGAAGAGCCAAGAGAACACGGCTCTTCGGTCGGAGCTGGACAATTATAGACGCGACATCGAGGAGAAGGACGCTTTGCAGATACGGCTCGACATGGCCGAGGCCAGATGCGAGGATCTGAAAGCGCAACTGCAACGGAAGGACTCATTCGAACGGCAGGTGTCGCACGAGAACGAAATGCTTCACGAATCAATTCATCAAGTTTCGAAGCACAACAAACGACTATCTCAGCGCAACGAGGAACTACAGTGGAAGCTACGGAACAAGAACGATTGGGTGAGTGTTCTTGCGAATCAGCTAAACCCGCGGCTAACCCGGTCTACAGGTCCGGAACAGGAACATACTTTTTCGCCTGATAAAAGCGCTCATTCATCATCATCGAATATGAAATTCATGGTTGAGAAGGGCGCCTCCGTATCTTGGACCTTGGAGATCGACGATCTGTCCAAGGGAATGTCTGATTCGTTCAGTACGTTACCGAAAGTAGGTAGATCCTCCGAAAGCGCGACGACAGTTTCCAGGCAAGGATCACTCCGATTGACATCGAACAGGCCCGTCGCGGACACCAGAGCGAGATCGAAAAGCATCTCCGCCACGTGTGATTCGGCGCGAGCCGCAGTGGTAGAGGAGGCATCCGCCGTGTGGTCGCCGTCGTTCAATTCGACGCCAGTCCCGCGACGCCGTCCCAGAAAGGATCAGTCGTCGCCCTGCTCGTCATCGTCTTCGTCGTCTTCCACGTCGTCCGCGGCGTCAACCGTGAATCCCGCGGTGGCCGCCGCGGTGGCCGCCGCAGCCGCCGCCGCGGCAGCGGACGACTGTAGCGTAGGCGGCGGTCAGAGGCCCCAGGAAGCCGGCGGGGAGGCGATGATATCCGAGGAGACGTCGGCGTCTAGCAGCGAGGACGAATCCTTCACCGGCAGCGATATCGCGCGCTTAGGGATACAGTTCGCTTGGGGCAAGCCGATCAAGTAACACTCGAGCGAACAATTATCGCGGCCCGCTGTCACCTGCCTACGCATTCTTTCTCGCGTGTAATGGTGGTTATTTTCGAATCACCGCACAACGGCCGCTATCATTGTTCTTGCCTAACGGTGGAGTTGTTTCTCGGCGTGAATATCTTGCGGATCTTCGTTGCACGTGATCATTCCCTTTCATCCGTTTGCAGACATTTCATGTTGCGTAATGTCCGGCACCGCGTCTTATTTTTTTTTTCCGACTGATGATGCACCTGTCGGGTCGAAAAATTAGAGTGAGAAGAGTGACATTTAAGTTATGTGTTTTTAAGCGAGTGTGCCGCGCGATTAACTCATTCAAGCAATTCCGGAGTATAATGTTGTAAGTTAGTGAGATGTTTAAGGATAAATTCCACGACGTATTTTAACGTTACGACTGTATAAATTAGACTAGTACGATCGTTTCCATGGTTTCTCGATTACGAGGACGTGTCACCTCTCCCAACACACTTTTTCCATTGCGAATTCAGGCAAGCGTGATTTTAATAGGATCGTCGGAATACATTACTCAGTGATTTTTCGATACATACAACGACACATACGACTGCTTCGTTTGCTGCGATCTAAGCAACTGTATTTTTTTTTTTTTAAATAATTTTTGCTAACAAACGTTGATGATACAGGTACAAATCATGCGACATTTTTATTTTCTGAACTTTCGACATTAAAAAAGGGAAATTTAATGTCGCCTGGCTGACAATTTTTATTCCGATTTTTCTCAGAATTTCACAGATACCCAGCCCTCTGGATACTTTTTATATTTAAGTGATCGAGTTTTATAAGCATTATTACTTTTCTTTGGTACAGAGACCATGTAATATTGTAGAAGATATATATAAGAGCATGACAAAACAAAAATATTCCTCATTCGCAATCATGTAGATTTCATATTTGTAACTCAGGTTTTTCTCCTTTTCTTCAACCATTAGACTTTTTGTTTTCTGACGTATTACATTTTAAAATTTCTTACTAATTTAAGCTAATTGCTTATTTTTATTATAAAATTTGGGACAAGATTGTGAATACCATTTTTGTCTGTAACATGTCCTTGTGTATAACAGTGCGAAAATTATGCGTAATTAACTTGGCAAATATAGCAAAGAAAATGAAATTATTAATAACAAACTAGCACATCGCGACAAAGAGTGTTAATTTCACAGTCCGTTCCATAGGCAAGTGGTAGTTTAGATATATAAAAGGGAAACATCTCGACATATAGAAACCAAATATTACTCACTGAGAAAGTATGTTTTTTTCTCATGTGTGCTGATAACATCGATGTATTATATACTTCTCGAATAAATAAGCATCTAAATTGTAGAAATTTGACAAGATTTCTGTTTGTCTTTGTTAATTGCTGTGGCTTAAGCCAAGAGCTCACACTTCAGGTACCTCAATTATATTAATCAATCGCAACTTAAATTGTATTCAAAGCTTAATAAAAATATGTCAGCGATTATTTTGAAAATAAGTTTGAGATCTTTTCCTGAATATAATATGAGATAATGAAGATTTTAAGCTGCGATGTGATCATCGATTAATTTAACTAATTCAAATCGAAATAAAGAGATATGCTTACTGTTATAATCACTATTAATTAGATTACTTGTTGATTATTCATCTGTGATGTCCTCTTTGTTTGAAAATTAATAAAACGTTTTGTTATGTAAATCATTACTTTATTTATTCCGATACTTAAAATATTAAATAAAGGAGAAAATAAATATCTTATTTTGAATGTGTTCATTAGCTCTGACAACCATGAACTACATAGCTACATATATATTGGAATGTGCCTTTCCACATAATCCTTCCCACATAAAACCTGTATCACATGCATCGAAGATTCGAATTCATCCAATTGAATAATCACAATTTTAACCCACTTCATTCTGATAGGTCAAATTTTAATCTTCAATTCATAATTTTTAACCTTAAATGCATAATGTGATACGGACTTTAATGCACAAAACAGAGCAACTGGCTAATCTTATAATTTTCCTTCATAAACACATTGAAAGCCTCAATTTTTAATACTATAATTATTATGAAAAGTCTAACTTCTACCAGCTACTGAACTATGTAAAATAGAATAATTAGTAGAGACTAAACTTTTGATTGTGATTGTACCGTGAAAGAAGAGAGTAACAGAATATCTAATTTTGATACCTTCCTCATTGTCCTGTGCCTTGAGTCACGGCGTGTTCCAGCATATATATAGTTTAATGATCATCTGCTTTTATGCACATCGAAAATGTTAATTTCCACCAAATTACGTTGAACGCAACTTGCACTTGGATGAATAACTAAATAATTGTATAGTTTTCTCTTTATTTCTATTCTTGACACATTGATTTTGAACACATTTTCTATTAACGTATACTCCTTAATTCTCTCTTTTATTCTAAAAAAAAAAATATACAACTGTAAGTCATTTGTATGTAAAAAAAATTTACTTCGGTATGTTATAAAGTTCAAGAAATTGAAAATGTCTTATACTCTTACGTCACGATGATAACGTTGACGTCTCTTTTGATTCCTTTGTTGCACAGGTTTCCAAAATATTCTTCAAAGATTATTAGCGTTTAAACGCGAACTGCGCGAACCAAGGGGTCATCGTGCACTAGTTTAAAGGTATATTCAGATTTACATGCATAACCGCACAATGCACATGACAACGAAACGGACCAATCACGTGTTGTACGGATCCGCGTTCGCAAACTTCATCAGCTGCATCGCCTACGATGGCCGATAGTCGAAGATTTCGATATTTCGGTTGTGGTTAATTTACTGACAAAAATGTAATTTTTAATTGGCCATGTTACCTCTGCACACGGCATGATAACTACTTCACCCGCGTTTATGTTGCTCCTGTTTCTATAAATATCCGCGCGTGCTTTTACTCAAGATCCCCGATCTGACATCGACGCGAAGATGTCTTCTAAAAGGTATTCGATTGTTTTTGCTTTGCGCTTTTCTTTAATACTGGCCGAGTAACTAGATTCCGATTTACTTTAGAAATTATTTTTAGTTGTGATAGAGAAAATATAGACTTCCTGGCAAACTGTCGGCCGGTATCACGTTGACTGACCTAACTCTTTGTCCCTTTGTTAACCTGAAATAAAGATCTGATTCGAGATTATTTATTACATATTTTCTTTGCAACCTTTTACATATTAAAATAATACACTGAATTGTACACTTTGTAAGATATTTTAATCGTAAATGAGAGCAAAATTGATTTAATGGATGAATAAAACTTTCAAGTTCTAAATGATTCTACTAAAATTCATGTCACTTTTAAATAAAAGGAATAAAAAGATTCTGCTGCGACTTTCAGCACAGCATTGATGCGATATTGTAGTTTTGGAGAACAAATTTATATGTATATTTGTATTGTTATTTTTAGTGAATTGAAGAAGTTATCAGAGGAAAGTCTAACAAGACAACCGGAAGAGGTATTTGATATTATATGCAAGTTGGGTGAAGGGTAAGTTTCTAATATTTTTTATAGCGTATAAGATAAAATCTCTTCATTATGTCTAAACATGTATTTCTCTGTGTAGATCTTATGGATCAGTTTACAAAGCTTTGCATAAGGAAAGTGGACAGGTGCTCGCAATTAAGCAAGTACCGGTTGATACTGATTTGCAGGAGATTATTAAAGAAATATCAATTATGCAACAATGCGACTCACCATTTGTTGTTAAATATTATGGAAGTTATTTTAAGAATACAGATTTATGGGTAAATCCGTGCACTATTCTTATATTATAAACAAACGGAACACTTATATGCTACATTGTTAATTGAATGCTTATCGATACAATTTTCAATTCTAGATTGTGATGGAATACTGTGGGGCTGGTTCTGTTAGTGATATTATGAGGTTAAGAAAGAAAACCCTTCAGGAAGATGAAATCGCAACAATCTTGAGTGATACTCTGAAAGGACTGGAATATCTCCATTTGAGAAGAAAAATTCACAGAGACATTAAGGCTGGGAATATCCTCCTTAATAATGAGGGTCATGCGAAATTGGCCGATTTTGGTGTGGCAGGTCAATTAACGGTGAGTTAGAAGATGAGAATCACAGTTCGAATCTAATCACTGTACAATCTAATCTAATCTAATACTCTCTATAGGATACCATGGCTAAACGTAACACAGTCATTGGTACACCATTCTGGATGGCACCAGAAGTGATACAAGAGATTGGTTATGATTGTGTGGCCGACATATGGTCTTTGGGAATAACGGCCTTGGAAATGGCAGAAGGCAAGCCACCGTACGGCGACATACATCCGATGAGAGCGATATTTATGATTCCGACCAAGCCACCTCCTAGTTTTAGGGAACCCGATCAATGGAGTCCAGAGTTTATCCACTTTGTCTGTGGGTGCCTTGTAAAAAATCCCGAAGACAGATCAACCGCAACCGAACTTCTGCAGCATGAATTCATAGGTGAATAAGAGATCGGAGTTTGCATTATGATATTTTATTAATTCATGTGTTATGATTGCAGGTAATGCCAAACAGCCAAGTATTTTGAGCCAAATGATCGCCGAGGCTCATGAAATACGAGAGAAGCAAAGCGCACATAGAGCTCATGTTATAAACAACGTGGCAATTAAGAGTCAAAACCAGGCGGAAGACTCGGTAGCTATTTAAGACCAATCTGCACGTAACCTGATACGTGTGATCGCATGTATACGTAACGTTATTATCTCTGTTGCAAGGATGAGGATGATTGCAGTGGAACGATGAAACCATTACCAGACGACAGTAGGACCTTAGTGCCGAGTCATGATCTTCCAGACACGGGTACCTTAGTTTCGGCAATGTTAGACTTGGGCACAATGGTTATCAATAGCGATACGGATACTGAAGCTACCATGAAGAGTTCGTAGATTTTTCTATTAAAGTTTCGGCAAAAAAAAAAATGATACGCAACTAATATTTACTTCCTTTCTAGGACATAATACTGGCTCTGTAGAATCTGGTAAGAAATATCGACCATTATTCTTAGATCATTTTGATAAGAAAGAAGCACCTGAAATTGGAAAGGTAATATCCTTTTTTTTTATGTTACACATCTAACTCCAAAGATATCGACGATATTGACGATACAATTTATCGCAGGGTAATGGACAAATGTTGAGAATACAAAACTCGGAGAATGCGAATAAATTGGAGGTACAAAGTTCACCCGAATCTCAAAGATTTCAAAGCCATCTACAGCTGCAGTTGCAGAATCAAATATCTCATCCCGTGCCGGAGCAGCCGCATAACAACATATCGAAGTTTCAAAATGTCTTCACGGAACGCGATTTCGATTTTGTAAGCAGAATTTATTTCAAATTTGTAATATTTGAAATAATGCTACAAAAGAACAAATAATTGTCTTTTATAGCGAGGTATAATTAATTAATCTATTTATATTCGTGCATAACTTTCATAATTGATCATTCATATCTGTCAAAGAGAGAGAGAGAGAGAGAGTGAGGAATTATTTAGAGTAATGCCACTTTAGGCATCATAAAAAAAGAAAATCTGAATACATAGAAAAACAATCGTGTTCTGCAGTTGAAGTTTCTCTCTTACGAGGAACTACAGCAACGAATGGCTAGCCTGGACGCGGAGATGGAGCGAGAGATCGACGAGCTGAGAAAAAGGTATCAGACGAAGAGACAGCCTATTCTCGATGCCATGGACACCAAACGAAAGCGTCAACAGAACTTCTAACACAATTTGGTTTCCTCTTTCACGCAACCGAGTGATGACGGGTAGACAAAGGGTGTACAATTGTATAAATGAATAGATTTTATTCGCGTCACGTCTCTGGTTTCATCAAAGAGAAGAACATTGCTCTCACACCGTAAAATAACTTACCTCATGAACGGCTAAGCGTGTGACAATCGTGAATGCTCACCCGCAAGGCACAATGCTGCTTCTCTTTATGAATCCGGGGTGTCATAGCTAGTAATAGCTGATAGCCTCACGTCACCAATGTAAATTATTTTACATGATTTAGGTGAAGAAGCAATCACTATACTTAATTTTTGTATTACGTTTACCTACATTTACTGTTAAATACATCTTATTCTTATAGAAATATTATAGGAGACCCTTGTAGGGTCGTTAGAAAATAAAAAGAAATGCAATAGGAGTGCAAAAGAATTGCATCATGTTTTACAATCGTTTTTATCGAGAAAGAAAATTTGATATTCACTTTGAAACGAAGTCGAGACATTGTATCGTAATGTTGCCCTAGCCATTTGCAATATAATTTTTACTAAATAATACTGCATTATGTTAAAAAAAAAAAAAAAGTCATCCATGTGAAATGTGCTGTCAGATGCACTTAAATAAGGTATTTGAGCAGTTTTTGAGAATAACTACCCTATTTAATCATGACAGTTCGAGATAAGCGAATAATGCTGTAAGATTTAATTTACTTTTTATTCTACTGCCATATATATAAGTAGACTCTCTACTCATCCGTCTACTAATACTAACTCTAGTTTACATCAGTTTCTCAAACGATTAGGTTTACCTTTCCCGAGTTTACAAACACTAATATGATCATGTGTAATTCTAAAGTAAGTGTTCTTTAATATGCAGCAATGGAAAAGTAATTGCTGCATGCTACTAAAATATTTCATAAACAAACTTACTAGTATTAGTCTTCCGTATTAGCGAGTATTCCAGTACGCTCTAATTTGCTTTATCGCAACGTGGAAATTGTTGAAACTCAAATTTATCAGATTCCATATTGATATTTTTAGAATTGTATAAAAGTTCGTACACGGCAATGCCTTGCAATAATTATTTCATGTGTAAAAAGCAGTAAAATTTTTCACCGCATATTTTTTTGCAATATCGTTACAGGATAGATACATTTGTATTGTGCCATAACGCATGTGGCAAAATAAACCATAGTGGAGTAATTCTTTGCTGACGTTGGGCTATTTTGCGAATAGCGGAAACATAGTGACACTTAACTGCTATAGCCACAACTGACCTTAATTTTCTCCTTCTAGAAAGTAATAATACAGAATAACAACATATTTTTGATATAGAAAGTATGCACATTGTCGGCAAAATAAGGTCCGAATTTGAGGCATATATATTCTCCATAACGCTAAACCTTGCAAAGCAAACATTAATAATATTTCACAAGCGATAAATAATTAAATTGCTCCACAAATGAAGTTACTCTCCAATATTGTTTTATATGAAATGCAATATATATCGTAAGCTTTTTTGGAGATTCTTTTAAATAATTTAAAATCGCATATTTAAATGTAATTGTATAAGTACGTTCGATTTTTTTAATATATCAAGATTGTAGTGATTTTATTAGATTCATTTTATGATTAATGCGCCATACATCTCAAAACACAATGTGTCGAAGATGTGTTTGTAAATTGCATACTTATGTAAAATTATAGATTTATAAAGTTTGTATTTTTACAATTCATGCTAAATGTGTAACATTTCATGCTTATGTTGTAAAATTTTTCTGTTTAATATGTGTATAATTTATTATATTATGTGTGTCTATTAACATTCTGCGTCATTTGTTTTGAAATTGGAGAAGAAAGGCGAACAATAACTTTGTAATAGCGAAAATGTTACAAAAGAGCACACTAACGCATTTTTTACACAATCACTCACTTAATATTAATAAGCGATCACTTTTCATACGAGGATTTATAATTACGTATTTTATAGGACAACGTAATAATCTGTTTTGTTTTTCCATTTTAAAGTGTGGTCTGGTAGTCATATTTAATCATGACAGTTTTATAACAACAATATTATTTTATATTTTTATTGTGTATTGTACTATCTATTACAGTGTTTGGCTGAAAAATATAGAGACTGAAGGCAGAAGTATATGTTTTCCGAGTGAATGATTTAGTAAAAACTATAGTCTGATAATAGAACGTAATAACATATAGAATGATTGCTATTTAACATTAAAGCGAAATAGTTAAATAGTTTTGTTTAAGATAATTAAAGCAAATATTAACGTGCTGCCTTTTCGATAATTTTGTTTAGCAATAATAAAATATTATGCAAACTATGCGCATTTGATTTTCTTTAGCTTGATTCAATATTAATGCCAACCCTGTTATTAAGTACATCATGTACAACCCCGCGTCTACAAATCACGCAAACTTTTTATCTAAATTTATTTTCAATATATGTTATACTGATGTTATCATTGAACGATATACAAAAATATAAAATACGTTTTATACAAAGTTAATAAATAGAAATGCATTTTAATCACATATTAATACAAAAGATATTGAATACTCATTATTCAACAATTATTTGTAAGTTTCGATAGTTAAACTTTAAATTCAAGAATATCTCAATAATTTGTGAAATATTTCAAAATATATCTCTTCAAATTTATTTAAATAAGGCGTGTCTTATTAGTTTTTTAAATACCGTTTCAATCTTCTTTAAAAATCGCTTCACTTATAAATCATCATCCCCTATCGTGCGAAAAACATTATTTTCCATGACATCAAAGTTTGTTGTGTGCGTCGTCCGGATTTTGTCAGCAACAGTTGACTCGTCTGATTTCTTCGATGTCGCAGCTGACCATTTGTTAGCAAGTTTTTTTATAATTGGTCCCGATTTAGGAGAATGATTATTATTAGCGTATTCTCGCAATGGTGATCCCATGGTGATGCAACTCTGGCCGTCCCTCGTGATGTATGTCCAAGACTTTCCATGTTCTGCCTATAAATATTATGTATTTTTATAGGTGAAAAGATTTAATTTATGAGTGAGCTAAAACAGTTTATGTAACCTGAGTTTTGCTCCCAACCACACATTTTTGTAACAACTCCTCTATCATAGCTTGCAGACAAACAGACATTAAAATTGCTTGCTCTGAGACAACTGTAATCCATTGTAATTCATTTTTAGCAATTAGATATTCAAAGGATAACTCCAAGGTGCAGTCGTTAATATCTTCTTGATGCTCCATTTTCTAAATGCACCATTAATAATGTTAATATTGATAATCTCTCGAGAACCAGCAAGTTTTCTCACTAAAATATATAATACTTACGTTTTGCAAAGTGCTAATACGCCAGCATCGCATTCGCGATACTTTAAACACAAACTCCTGCTCTTCTTCGGATGATAAAACGCGCAAGTTCAATTCATTTCCACCTATAGCAAGTAATATTCTCGAACCATGTTGGGGATAATCACAATAGCATGGCGCAAATTGTACGTAGCCATAGTATTTTAAATAACGTGCTACATTCACATACTGAAATAACAAACACGCAAGCGAAATTACTTAAAAGTTTCATCGATTTTTCGCAATAAACGTACTTCTTTCGTGTTCTCGGATCTTTGCAAATTTTCCAAGTGATGCTGCACTTCCTTGGTAACTGGAATCCACTTGCTGCGAATTTCCGCAGCCGTTTGAACATACAGTAAATTCAGAGCCACTGGATCGTTTAATAGCTCAAGATCGTACGTTGTATCCCAGTAACTTTTTCTGAGAACAATTACTGCACCCATAGAACTCATATATTTGTATGTTATAAATGGTGATTCAAAATCTTGTAATTTTCGCAATACTAAAAAAGACAGTGCATATATTAAAAGAAGTACAATATAAATATATGTATATTTCTAATAAATTTCATTATAAAAGTGCATATACTTACTTTTGATACTACCAGACAATTCATCTTGTATAATAATAAATAGTGCAAAATGAGAATAATATTTCTCTACTAACTTTATATCTTTATATATTTTCTACAGAAAAAAACAAGCATTTTAATAATTATATCATGCATCTATCTTTAAAATGTCTTTTCATATTAATTGATTAAGAATAATACCTTTAAAACTTCACCAGAGTGTTCATCCGTGGAAACGTTTAACGAAATTTTAAATCCATCCATAAGGAATATATCTAAAGTTTCGTTCTGAGACAGGCCACCTATAGTCTCTTGTTGAGCGTTTAATAAAAATCCATTTAGAATCTCGGAATTATTTACAGCTATATTCTGACCGATTGACTGAATATATTTTTCTAAAGCTAGCCGTCGTTCTTCTTGCTGACTGACAGTCAAAGGAAAGAGTTTCTTTGGAGGAAATATAGGTAGTGATGTGTCAAGATCCTTACACAATTGTACATGCAAATTGTGCAGTTGCTTATATCTCACAGTACAATGAAATAATCCATTGATGTGAATATTATAACTCTATAATTTGAAAGATATAAAATATTATATAAACATTTAACTAAATAAAACGAACAATAAAATATAATATGAACACTCACAATATATGCATTCCCAGCACCGTCAATAAATTCCTGAGTATCTGGTATAGAAAAATGCATCTTGATGTTTAGTGGAAGATAGAAATCATATCATCTAAAGCAAAGTTTATTATTTCTTTATATCTTCATCATCATAGCAGCATCTGTGAAGATGAAGCATTTGAAGTAAAATTTTTCAAATTTTTAGATTTGCTAAAATAAAAACTACATCTAATTTTCTATGTGCAAGCCATCGTTCACTATTGAGCAACGTTTCTGAATAAATAAGAGGCACTGATTCATTCCACGTCCGTTCAAATGTATTTTACATTAAAAAATAACTCAGATGTGGAAAGCAATGCTCTAATAATTTCGAAGCTATTATAGGTACACAACTTAACAAAACATCTCCCGGATAAGAACTTCATATTGACATTTCTCGTGCTATCACGCACGTTTCCGTACTCACATATTGCTGTACGACTTTCGTCGTTTGCGGCTCCACATATGTGACAGTGGACTTAATCGGCTATACACGCCCACTCGTGCATTATGTTTCACGCGATTATTATTACTGACACGCATTTGAATCTCCCGACGGGCCGTTGTTAGCCCGGTTAGCCCAGAATGGAGACGCGGCTCCATGAAATCGTAATGGAGAGCATATAACGGACACAATCAAACATTAAGCTCGAGAACATACTAGAGTATGGCACAGTCAGCACAGTGAACAGTGACGCTAGATTTGAGACGCAAGCAGCAAGCAGCAAGCAGCATGAGAGAGGGAATACTGCACACGTGCATAAGCCACGTACATGTGAGCTCCGCTAATCTACATATATTACATATATATATAACGCCAGAAAGGCGCCATTTTCGCCGGAATTTTATGAAATTGTAACAGGAACACATGATGACGTACTTACTCGTAACAGCGCTATCTATTGATTAGCTAAAGCAACATAATGACTGTACATGATGGTAAGTGTACCGACTGTACTTGAGTAAGCTCCTATATCATCATGTGTTCCTGATACTCCTGTTATAATTTCTTAAAATCTCGGCTCAAATGGAGCGTTTCTAAAATGGCCGTTCCAGCGAGTAAGCTGAATGTTTCTACATGCTTCTGGGTTACTTTTGACAGTGTTGGGATGCTCGTGAAATACTTAAATAATTAAAACGTCTCTTTTAAAATTTTTGCAAAGTTTTTTGTTGCAAAATTCAAAACGCCAATTGTTCAAGAAATTAAAAGTGTTTTTTAGGACGTTTTTAAGACATCCTAAAGATGTCTTTTTTTAGGACGTTCTGAAGATGTTTGTTTGTTTTTTTTTTTTAAGAATTGGTTCTTGAGAAGGAAATTGTATAAGGAAATTAATCAATCCGATTCCTTATACATATGCTTATGCGCTATGCATTGTTCGTCTGAATATATCCTTACTGCCATTACGGTTATAGTTTATGCCCGCGTTTCCATTCTGACATTCGTTCATTGTTCATTGCAAAATTCAAAACGCCAATTGTTCAAGAAATTAAAAGTGTTTTTAGGACGTTTTTAAGACATCCTAAAGATGTCTTTTTTTAGGACGTTCTGAAGATGTTTGTTTTTTTTTTTTTTAAGAATTGGTCCTTGAGAAGGAAATTGTATAAGGAAATTAATCAATCCGATTCCTTATACATATGCTTATGCGCTATGCATTGTTCGTCTGAATATATCCTTACTGCCATTACGGTTTAGTAGTTTATGCGGGGCCGCGTTTCCATTCTGACATCGTTCATTGTTCATCGGTATTCCTGTGCCCGATGCGTCGAATGTGATCGTGTGGTCAGGAATCGTTTGCTGCGATATTTTCTGTGAATTTAATACATGTTTTTGACAATCGTGTAATACCGTGACGAAATTTTGTATTTTATGAAAATAGCAATTGTTTACAATAGTGGAGTTATCGACAAATGTGCTGATTAATCAAATTATTTTGACTTCCAATTTCGTTGATATCTATTAATATTCAATGCTATATATTTCATTGAATGGACTCAAGATTTTATGACGGAGATTTGTAATACTCCAATTGTATGTTTAAATCTATCTTGATGGCAGTCAATTTTAGATTAATCTGATTTGTGCCACTTTTTTAGTCTATTATCGACACTTTTAGGTTAGATTATATCCTAGTAGAAATGGCGGATAAAGCTATGATGAAGGTACAATTTTTTACATATATTTTGTATTTATAAATCTATATTTATATTTATATTTGTTCCATATGTTTGACCTTATAATTTACAGCAAATTGCCGAGCAAAAGCTCAAGGCTTTCTCCATTGGCACAATGGGCAAGCGGCCGTTAAGTAAAAAAGAATTGGAAGAGCAACGTAAAAAAGAACAGGAGCAAGCGGCTGCTCAAGTAAATAGAATACTGCATATGACTATTGTTTTTTTTTTTACTTATCAACTATTCTGTAATATTGTGCTGTGTGTAGGCATTTGAAGAGTTTGTGGCAACATTTCAAGAAACACCTAGTAAAACAACTAGCAAGGTTTGGGTCAAGGCAGGGACATATGATGCAGGCAAGAGACGTAAGTATAGAATTTACAATTATGTGTAAATTCAATTATTTTTTATATAATTAATTAAAAAATTATTTTACAGAGGAGGACACGAGAGAGAAAGGAAAGCTTTATAAACCGCAATCAAAAATCTCGGAATTGGTTGACAACAGATCATCAGCTGAACAGGCTCAAGAATATGCAAGATTACTTGGATCGAATGAAAGAAAATTAGATAGGCTAGGCAAAAAGAAGAAAGAAGGTGAAAAGAAGAAGAGTAATCTTGAATTGTTCAAAGAAGAACTGAAAATGATACAAGAGGAACGTGAAGAAAGGCATAAGTATAAGGGTGTAGTGAAAACAGTAATATCTGCTCAATCTGAAGATCCAATGATGGCTGCTTTAAAATGCGTGGAAGGTATATATAATAATAGATAATTACTTTGGACATAGTTATTCGGTTATATTATTTGGCATGCCATAAAGTTTATATTGTAATAAAATGTGAGAGTATATATTTATTACAATAGCATTTAAATCTTTAGTATATATTATAACTGCAGTAGGTAATAAGTCCTCATTTCCGGATTCGCAAAAGGCAAATCTGCATAACTTCGTTGATGATCCCCGTCTATTAGCCCTGATATATGAGGGTAACCATTATCCTTCCATATCTTTTTCCTTGCCATCTTTTTTCGTCTTATGATTGCAGGAAATGTTGAAAAATTTTTGTCTTACAGATGGCTCGTTTGATAATGGCGATCCAAACACCACAAATTTATATCTGGGAAATTTGAATCCAAAAGTAAAATATCTTAACGTTATTGTTGTAGCATTAGTGCTGTAATACAATGCTGTGATACAATAATTATCCCAATTTCTTTTACAGATCACAGAACAGCAATTGATGGAAATATTTGGTAAATTTGGCCCACTAGCTAGTATAAAAATAATGTGGCCGCGTAGCGACGAAGAAAAAGCTAGACAAAGGAATTGCGGCTTTGTTGCATTCATGAGTCGTAAAGATGGCGAACGTGCGTTAAAAAATCTGAATGGTGAGAATATAATGTATAAAAGTACTTAATAGATATAAGTTGTTTATATTACATAAAAAGCTCTTTTTTTTTGCAGTGGGTTTGTTCAAGTATTTTGTTTTTCACAAACATTCTCTTAACGAATGCACAACCATTATATTTTTCTGCCTAGACATTCATTATTTTTTTAACTACCATAATTTGCAATTGATTTATGATGAGAATACTAAACGTGTTATCTCAATATGATTTAACAGGTCGCGACATAATGCAGTATGAAATGAAGTTGGGCTGGGGAAAAAGTGTACCGATTCCGCCTTATCCAATTTATATTCCGCCGGCTTTGATGGAGATCACGCAGCCACCGCCTCCGTCTGGTCTTCCATTTAACGCTCAACCACATCGTCGCGACAGACACAAGGTATACGAAACAAAGCATTTGAGAAGCGCAATTAATAAAATGCTCAGTTATTTGTTTAAACAATTTCGTTTCTTTCTTAACATTACCCTCGAGAACAATCTCGTTCCGAATATTTATTAATCGGTTGCATATTTTTCTTTATCGCAGAATTATATATGTTGATCTCGTTATTGTAGGATTTGAAAAGGTATCTTTTATCAAACAGTAGTTAGTAAGCAAGTGAGCGCGTGATAGACATATTATATTGAATAAAATTTAGTACACTATTTTTTGTTTAATTATTGATTCAACATTATTAATATATTCAACATTTTTGAATTGACTTGAATCGATTAGATTTGATAGGTGTGCGACATCAATACATTTGTTTTATAATGATCTAACAAAATATCAAATAAAATCGTTGCGTAATGAATAATAATGTACTTTTTTCCATGCGGTTGACGTAATAATACGTCACGAATAATGATTAATGATAAATTGTCATAAAAACATTTTTGCTAATTTACACTGGAATTGTATAACCATATTTGAAACATAATCTCAGATACCACGTATTCGCAACCTCCAGAGCGCGGACCCGCAGGAAAAGGAAAACTTTGAAAAGGTAAAATTATTCCTCTGCACCATTCAACACATTTAATAGCTTGATTTAGATATTTAAACTTAGTGAGCTAGTTTCTATTTCTCTTTTAATTGTCTTTCTTCTCTATTTTTACGGATAATTAAGAATTGTTATTTATACAAATTCGTATAAATATATGTATATATATAAAAAAAAAACTTGAAGGTAATGTTCTAAGTACATAAAATTGGTAAGTTCTTTATAGAGCACAAACGTTTCACTTGTAAAGAAAAGAAAAAAAAAAAAACCGTTGCACTAGTGATAAAGTAGGAACGAGTATACACCTGTTTTTTCGTTATGAATTCTTTCATAATTATTTAAAACACAAGTCTAATTAAGTTTACAAATTGTGTTAATTTGTTGGCGACCATTCGTGGATTACACATTTTGGCATTTGGGATCACCCTGTCGCCTATCACTGTTGCACTGTGGACTGTCAGGTTTTGCAGAATGCTGTTGTCAAAGTGGTTATACCAACAGAAAGGTATTTGTTGATTTTAATATTATGACAGATCTATAAGTAAGTATGTAAAACTATGAAGAATATTTGTGTGAGTCATGCTTCTGTTGAATGAGATATTTTGTATCAATGAGGGTCGATACAAATCCATACTTAATTGAGTCGTGCGTTATAGGAATTTAGTCATGTTAATACATAGAATGGTGGAATTTGTAATCCGAGAAGGACCGATGTTCGAAGCGATGATTATGAACAGGGAATTGAATAATCCAATGTTTAGGTACGTACATATCTTATCACATATATCTTATCACACGCACACATTCTTTATAAGATTGACTTCTTTTTGACTGAGCCGAACAATGTTTTTATGTTTAGATTTCTGTTTGAAAATTATTCTCCTGCGCACACTTATTACCGCTGGAAACTATACTCTATTTTACAAGGGGACGGGCAGAAGGAATGGCACATCGACGACTTTAGAATGTTCAAAGGCGGAAGTGTGTGGAGGCCACCGCCAATCAATCCGTGGACGCAGGGCATGCCAGACGAATTAATAGAAATGGAAGAAAGACAAGAGCCTAGAAGGGGTAGTCTTTCGAACAGGTAAAGAACAGTGCGAAATTATTATTCGCATAATGTGCGGGATACATTAAGCTACAACCGAACCCAATTGTCTACGAAGTGTCATAGCTGTGCGAGAAGTATATATATATGTTGATCTTTTCAAACGTGTTCTATTTCTTCATAGTCAGCGAGATCGTTTAGAAGATTTATTGCGAAACATATCACCTGAAAGAATAAAAGTTGCGGAAGCAATGGTATTTTGTATAGAACATGCCGAAGCAGCAGAGGAGATTTGTGATTGTATTTCAGAGTCATTGTCAATACTGCAAACTCCTGTGAATAAGAAAATAGCAAGATTATACTTGATATCTGATATATTGCACAACTGTGGAGTTAAAGTGACTAACGCCACTATTTATAGAAAGGCGTAAGTGATATTTGAAGAGAATTAAAAAGGTGCATAAAGATATATACAGTATTAATTTTATACCTATTCATCTTGCAGATTTGAGACACGTCTTCTGGATATTTTCAGCGAAGTTCATCAAGCGTATAAACAGTTTGACAGTAGACTGAAGGCGGAAGGATTCAAAGTTCGTGTTATGCGAATGTTCAGAGCATGGGAAGATTGGACTGTGTATCCGAGAGACTTTCTCGTCAAATTACAGAATACCTTCTTGGGGCTCGTCTTGGTAAGTTTAATCTATAAAATATCTGAAGATTCTCTCTCTTTGTGCAATGCAATATTATATATCCCTCTTTAAGATGGATGAACCTGAGCCAGAGAACGATGAGGATATCGACGGCGCGCCATTGTCCGATGTCGATGGCGATGGTACTGAAGATTTGGACGGAATACCCCTCGATGGTGCTGCTTTGCTGAAAGGTGCCATGAAGCATGGCCTCACGCCACAACCGACTCCAAATTATGACGATATCGATGGAGTGCCCAGTACGTATGCGTTCCCAAAATAAATGCATACATGTAGTTCCACGTACATAAAATATATTTATATGAATTGTCATACTTTTGCCACAGTGGATGAAGACATCGATGGAGTTCCAATGGACGACGACGACAGCGCAAACATGAGAAAAGACGATGAGAAAAAATCGGCAATGCCAGCTGGATTCGTTCCTTCGCGATGGGAAACTGTTGATCCTGATCAGGTTTCAAAATGCATTTCTTTCGTAAATTAAATAATAACATTTTCCTTCCGATCATGTATTTATGCATCGATTTTATTTAGGTGGAAGCGCAAGCGATGACCACCAGCAAGTGGGAAGAGTTGGGCCAAAATGAAGATTCCAATTCTCAAGATACCAGTATGGATTCCAGGTAAAACACACGCATGCCACGTGACAATTTTTATCTAACGGGTTTGTGAAAAAATTATTTTTCCACTAATCTCAATTTTGAAAACAAAATCACTTTCCCATCGATTTAATAAATATCAAAATGTCTATGCAAATTATTTTAACAGCGGCAGGGATTACAACGAAGAAAGACGAAACAGATTGCGTGAGATTGAAGTAAAGATTATGCAGTACCAAGATGAATTGGAAAGTGGCAGGAGAACGTTGAAGTCTGGTATGACGATACAAGCACAAGTGGAGCACTATAGAAAGAAGCTTATAAGAAAGGTAAAACTAACTTGATAAACATTTGTACTAACATGTGTAATAAAATTATAATAAATATACTTATACAGAGCGAGAGAGAAATGAAGGATATAAAGAGCGAAGAGCGAGATGATGACAAGCGAAGGGAGAAGAAGCGAAGTCGTAGCACGACGCCGGAATCTCCGACTCACAGCTACAGAGATCGAAGACGCTCGTCAAGCCCAAAAGTTGCAAGATATAGGTTAGTGTATTTTCTCAGATTCACACTTTTTTTTTTAAATCATGGGAACATATTAAGGCACAATTTTTAATACGACTTCCGATATTCTGTCTCGTATGGAATGCTGTTCACTTCGACATGTAACTTATTTGTGAAATAATGGCGCATTAAATGATTCTACTTATACTACTCTTTCTTGATTTACAGATCGCGCAGTAGGTCGCCTCGGTCCAAACGCAGGTCAAGATCACCGTACAAGAAACGTGTGCCAGTCACTCCATCTCCTCCTCGCATTCGGCGCACGCCATCGCCTTCTTTTTCTTCGAACAGAGGATCACGCAGATCGCCTGTTAACGAGCGTTGTGACAGGAAAAGACGTAGATCACCCTCCTTGTCGCCCCCGCCGCCTCCACGTACTTCCTCTAAACATAGAGCCTGTAGTCCGCCTTCTCCTTCCTCACGTAAGCACAGACACAAGCATAAATATTAAATCACCGTTATCAGAATTACTTTTTCCACAGGACTATTAAGACATTGTTTTAGATTACATAACATTTACTATATATCTTGCGATGCGTTACATTCGTAGACACGCATTAATATGACAATGAAAATAAGAAGTTAATCTCTCGATGATTGTTTCTTCTCGATATACCTAACTTGTCTATATTTTCAGGAAGTTTCAAGTAAATTTCTTATTGTTTAGTTTTATTAAAGTAAAACTTTTATCTTTTACACTGTAAGATATTTGTACACAATGTTTTCTGCTGAATACGATACTTAAAACAGCGCACATAACGTGCAATTCATTTAATACCTGAAATATTAAATACATTCTCGAAAGGAAAACGTATATGTATATACTAATTATAAAGTATGAAAAATAGAATGGTCTTCGTGAAATTTATGCAGAAAATTCTCATTATGCTCTTTAAGCTTTGAAATCTTCACGCTCTGAAAATTTTCAGTCTTGAGTGAAATAATCTTATATGTAATAAAAAAAAAAAATTACTTTTTTTGCGTTGTAAACATTTCGAATAAATCTTTATATAAAAAAATATATTTTATCTTTACATTTTTCAATCTTTTTAAAAAAGGCAGGGATATATTAATTGCTATGTATCATACTATGTTTTATCATAGTTTATTAACTTTTAAACAGTTGCGAGATATGATGATAAATTAAATTCATTTTAATGCATGCTATATCAGTCATTCTTATAAATGTCGAATGTCTTTGGCACATTTCATTTTTTGGTATATGTATATTATTAATTGAGCCTTAACAAAATCGAGATATTTCGAACTGTTACATTGTGCGCAACAAACGGAAAACAATTAAATAATAAATTAAAAATGAAGAATAAAGGAAGAATGATTCTCTCATATCATATTCTAATTTTTTTAACTACAAATCACACATCACGTTAATAATTTGCAATACAAATATAACATTATTTGTTGAGAAGTGGTAACAGTTTAGTTTGAGAAGAGAAGTGTTTATCAAAATTGACTTACTATAACACGTTATCTTAATTGTAAAATTCTTTATCAATTTGAAGTTCTACAGAATCATTTTCTTCATAGACAATTATGTCATCTATATTTGATATATTATTTAAAGCCTTATCACTATTGGATTGACTGCTGTCTGATTGCTTCGTTTCTATTTTTGTCTGTTGAATAGGTCTTTTTGCTTGAGATTCCACATGTAAGTCCTTAACTGCTTTAACACCTGTTTAGAAAGTAATAGTTTAGTGAGAATTACGCAAAACGATACATATATTTATTTAACATAATTCACAAACATTCTTAATGAACTTCTTACATAGCTGAAATCATTTAATGGATTAAATGAAAAGAATGATTATTGCGATTATAAGATCCTCCATGCTCATTTTAATCGTATCTTACATCTGCCAAATTTTAAATGATTTATAATTGAGAAATAGTGATGTTTAATAATTGTGATGGCAACAAAGTATTTTACAGAACTATAATACATACCAATTTCTATTATTTAATAAATATAAACGATATTGTGTTAAGTACTTTAAAATAAAAAAGAATATACACAGTATATATGTCTGAAAAATAACGGGATTGATGCTATATTAATTCAAACACTAATCGTGTGTATAAAAATCATTTATTTCAAAGCATGTCCCATCAATGCAGTGTCGAGTAGATCAATGCGTAAATAGCTTTCTGCAGGTCTGTTTTCGGAATCGCTTCGAGAATCCGTATCATGATTGTTCGGATGCCTAGCCACTAATTATCAGTACGTTTACACAAAAAAAAAAAATTAATCGCGTTATTTTTCAGACATATTGTGTATTAAAAGTTCTATTTCTATATGATACATACACACATACAAAAGCACGTACGCACGCACACGCATACACGCACGCATGCATTTAAAATATACATTGTATATTACTTAATTTATTATTTACGTTTCCACTGTGGAATTTCATCTTCCTCCTCTTCTTCTTCCTCTTCTTCCTCCTCCTCCTCCTCTTCCTCCTCCTCTTCTTCTTCCTCCTCAGCTTCACTGTCTTGTGGGGTGGGTAATTTTCCATATTTTGCTTCAAGCTTAGCTATTAATTCTGAATCATCAACATTCTCGATTTCCTCATCTTCTTCCTCCTCTTCTTCTTCTTCCTCCTCTTCCTCTTCCTCTTCTTCTTCCTTACCTTCATCTTCTTCTACTTGCTTTTTATTGCACTCTTCCACCCTGGAAACACGCTCGCCTGCTGATGTTTTTAATTCATAATCTTCTTCCTCTTCCTCAGATGATATTACTTTTGATTGATCCCGACTAGTATCGATTTCTAGTAGAAAAATTTAAAGAGATAAATCTGTGAAATATACAGTTTATCAATGAGATACACATATTATTAACTACACCTTCTTTAGCTGTGTTTCGAGTTGATTTTACTTGTGCTGCTTTATCTTGTGGAGTTAGTTTCTTTACGTCGGTCAAGGAAACATTTTCTTCTCGCAATTTATTGTATTTAGATTTCAAGTCTTCATAAGTTTTTACTTGTGCTTCTACAGATGCTTTGCTCCCTGCTTTCTCAGCTGATTTAATTACTTGCTTAATATGAGGGGGCGGAACTATTGTATTACGTCTTGATAGATCAGGCGTGTCAACTGAAAAATAGAGTCACTCATTATTCTACAATTGTGAATAAATTCAAAACAAGTATAATAAACTATTAATTCTAAAGTTATTTTTGAAACGTACTAAATAAATAAATAAATAAATTTAATTTAATTTAATTTATTTGTTTATAATAATTTATTATATGTTATAAATTTACTTCCACATTTATGTATTATAATTTTACTTATATCTAAATTACTTACCTGTTAAAAATCCCAATTTAATCCTTTCAATTGCAGAGCATATAATAATATATTGTTAGACAATTAATATCTAAGTAATCTTTTCTTTCTACTTACGTTAAATGCTATAAAAATGTGTGTCGATATAAGATAATGTGTTTAATAAAAAATTTACCATTGTTCCATCGTCTAACGAGAACAAAATGCGCAGCAACGACAAGTGCAACGCCAATCCCGAATTTCACAGCCACTGCAACCACCATATGTTATTTCTGATTGTTACTTTGTTCACTATAGAAAAGTAATTAATGTAAAAGCAGCGATATCTTTTTTTTTCTTTTATTCTTATATGTAGCTGATGCTTATATTATATTTATTCTTATGTTATATTATTTATCGAGTTAAACAAAAGAGCATGGAGGATCACATACATTTATAATTCACGTCATGTCATTATTTAAAAATTCTTTTGTCGCAAATTACGTTTACTCACCGCTAGTGGATTCTTCTTCAATCTCCTCTTCTTCGGGCTCATTATCTGCATCGTTTATGTCTTCTTCAGATTCTTCGCCTTCTATCTAGTTAAAAAGCATTGAACTTTTAACGACAAAAATGTCCTTAATATGAAGCAATTAACATTTGAAAAGAATTAGATTATAAATGTGATTGATTAGAATATATATAAAGATAATAATACGTACCTCTTCTAGAGGTTCAGCGCTATCGTCCATCTCGTTAACGCCAGGTATACCTGTGAACTCCTCAGATACGTCATTTTTCTCTTCCTCGGAATTATCGGTTATTTCTGTATCATCATCGAGCTCCACATCGAAATCATCCGGTATATTACTTTCTTCGTCATCTTCATCTCCATTTGTTTCATCAATTTCTTCCAATATACCGGTATCTTGGCCATCATCATCTTCTCCTTCATCAATACCTTCATCTTCTTCTTGATCCTCTTGACTTCCACCTTCTAAAGGCATCATTTTTATGAAAAAAAAATGTAAAACATTTTTATGTTTCGCAAATCACTTACCATCTGCCTCTTCGACTTCTGCACTATTTTCTTGTCCCTCTTCCTCTTCTTGTTCCTCCTCTTCCTCTTCTTCTTCTTGCTGTCCCTCTTCATCGTCTTCTTCTGTTTCTTCTATCTCTTCGTCTTCTTCTTCGCCAATTCCTTCATCCTCTTCAGCACTTTGTTCTATACTTTTTTCTTCTTCTCTTTCTTCTTTCTCAACTTCTGTCGATTCTTCCTCGTCGTGGCCTTCTTCATCCTTCGATTCCTCCTCTTCTGCTGCTTCTTCCTGGTCGTGCGATGCATCGTCGTGATCAGGCGATGTATCATCTACCCAGCCTTCAAATATACTCGCCCACTGCGATGACGCTACTGGTATATCAACTTAAAATATAAAATGTATCATCAAAATATTATATCAAAGTTTTTTCCTTAAATTTTAATTGCCATATATTTGATGGAAATATTTTTTTTTTTTATTTACCATCTGTAGTCCCTCTGTGTTCGAAGATTATTAAACCAATCAATCCAACGAGAGCCGCCAGTAAAACAAAAAATATAATTCGCGCACACCAATGTCCACCCGTGCTGCTTTCTTTATAAATATGAATAGTAACATTTTCGGTAGACGTATCGGCTGGACTAATCAAAGTAGGCGGTGGGGTGCCAGTATCTTCATCATCTAAACATAATATAACAAATTAAAGTGCTTGAATTATTAATAACGCTCTCATACATAATGCACAATTGAAACAAAATCGTGCCACTGAAAATACTGTTATTCTTTGAAAAAGTGTAAACAACAAGCGACATCAAATATAGTACATGCTCTAATTTTATATACAGTTTAGATATGTAAAATGATGAGAAAATATGATTCTTTCGGTTCAAAGTTTAGAATTGACATTTGTATAGAAATAAAAAATCCAATAATCATAAATATAAGTAATTCATTGTTGTAATTAAATTTTAATTGAGTCTTTTGATGAGTAAATTGGATATTATAAAACCTAGAAAATAGATGCAACACGTACACAAACAGAAAGATGCGTACAATTTATAGATAACTTAACGAGAAATGCTTTTAGACTGGATAATACAGTTTCATCTATTTTTGAAAGGTAGGTTGGCCTGAACTTCTAAAACCCACATTTTCTATCTTAAGTAACTTTGCCAAACTTTCTTGGAGCGCATGAAACATTTTACATATCTAATGAGAGCTGTACTTGTGAACAGTTTAATGTCGTATCAACTAGCAACTCAGTGCTCGTTTAATATCATCCGATATTGATCTAGGATTACTATTTGAAAAAAAAACGTGTGTATAATATTTCGACATCAATCAATGTTCCAAAGAACGATTCTAAGTATACAATATTAATCTTATGAAACGGTGAGACATAAAGATTGTACATTGTAATTAATGGTACAATTACGCATTGTGTATTCGAAATTGGAAATGGCAATTTAAGCGCGACAAGCGTTTGTTACTATAAATATATTTCTTATGACGGTCTTCACAAGATGGATATTTCAGATGAACGCGACTTATATAAAGTGAATCAAAATTGAGATAATATATATGTCATGCCTTGCATGATCGCCCAGCAAGCAAGCTACAATGCACGGATATTTTTGGAATCTAATGGAGGATCGTAAGAATAATATTGCATTATGTACACTCGCAACATTATCGTTCCGTATCAGGCCGTTGCGTTTCAGGACGGGACGTTGCAGCGATTAATAAATCCGCAAACATAAAAACACTCGAAATCGTGTAACGCGATGCGTCGCGCGCTTAAAGAGCGGAGAGCGAAGCGTAATTCTGATCGATATTTCCTGAAAACAAAAGTAGTGTTATGTTAAACTGCAACGCGTACTTATGACGATAAAAATAAAGAAAACAAACGTCGCTAAAAATATCGTACAGCCATGGGATTCGTGTTACGAAAGAGCGATGTCAAATGCGCTCGCATGTACTATCCAGTCTCTCTTTACCTTTTTTCCGCCGTTTTCCTTCCGCTTTCTTGGCTGCACATCGCCGGACATTCTTCGGGAGGTAAACGTTTCTTCGAGTGCCGTTGAGCGTCTCGAAGAATTTGAATTTTCAAACGTCGCACACTCCGCCGCACCACTCTACAAAAATTTGATTTACGGATGGTGGATCAATGCTGCGTGTGCGAAAAACCCTATGCGATTTCGTGACGTCATTAGCGCGTCATGTGCCATCTGTGAATATTTTCCATCATTCTTTAGATCATTGCACTGATCGATATTATCAATAACTTTAATCGATAAAACAAATTGACGAAACTCAGTTTTATCGATGTACATAAATTTTTAAATTGTATCAGTTGCTACTTATCAGCATTCTATCATATCAATAAATATTATTATACTTACTTGCATTTTAGTTTAATAAAAATTATATTAAGTTATTTTTTAGAAAACATTGCATATTATTATATTATTTTGTTCAGAATTATTTTACATTTTTGTAAACTATTATTTAAAGTGTATTTTTTCATATCCAAGTATTTTTGCATCAAAAATAATTTCTTATTATTTTTCATAGATATTATCTTTCTTCAATAATAGCTCATTATTATATATAATCAATATAAAATGTCAAATACATTAGATATTAGAGAAGTATGGGCCTCAATAAATTTAGAGACACTGACATCTAAAACAAATAAACATTAATTATATTAGAGGACATTTTATTTATTGCAGAAAACATATGTACAATATTAAAATATACGGAGGGTATATAATACAGAGCGTTAACACTAATATTCTTGATTTCAATTAAATAATCTATTATATCTCTCTAATGCTCTGCGGATTTAAGAGAAATATTTTTGGGTCCTCGACATATTTTAAGGCACGGTCTATGCTAAGGTTCTCTACAAGATAACAGTTACTTGGTGAACACAACGAAAGAGTATATAAAAGTGTTATTAAATTATTAATACAATAAAATTAATATAAATAATACCGTTCATAAGTAGAATTACCAAGTGTCTGCATTGAACTTCCAAAAACGCTACGAGATGATTCAATGCAGTATTGTAAGATTCTCCAAATAATATTTGATCATCTGTGAATCACATGTAATGATCTATCGTGGAACTTATTTTTCAATATTTCGAGTTTTCGTGCAAAAAAATTCCATAACAGATCTTTCTGATTGACACACAATAACGTAAGCATAAACTTTTTCATTCGCTGTTGCTAATGCGCAAGTTATATTAAATTTCTAATCTGGAAATGCAATGCAGAATTAACAATACTATTTAGAAGACGAGAGAGAACACAATGTTAAATCCTTAGAATGAAAACTTGCTGCAACTGTAACAATAAACAATCGATTTAACAACCGATTATATAAGCAACGTTACACCTTCATATTTTCAAGTACAAGGTACTTGGAACATTAACTTTAGATGAATTATAATTGACTCGATTGAGTTTCACTTTGAGGATGTTACTTGTATTTCTCTATACAATATAATCGTATGAAAGGAAAGAGGAATCTTCTATATAATAAACTAACATCATGTAAAATTGTTCATCAATTTGTGTCTAATACTTTTACTTAATAATTTACGCAACATTAGCTTCTCTGCATTGAATAGCAAGATAATTCTATACACACAAAGGCCTTTGCATGGATATGTTAAGTTTCCAAACTAGGTATCCTAATCGCTCAATATTTAGATAATTCAACTATTTCATAAACGATTTGATTTGTCTACGGATTCACTAAAATTATCATCTTAGATCTTAAGCCTAGCAAGTAGATAAAAATGTTGAATGGAGATCTATTTTCTACAAATGGAAAAGAGAATTCTGTACACTGTACATCTAATATTTGTAAATTGTATAATATCTGCGTTATATAATTATTGAATTGTAACGATAGCTGTACACTTTCTTCTTTAACAATTGGCTTTTCTTATTACTTTGTTATTGTGTCAGTTCACTACTAGAATGGAGGGATTGTAGTTATATAATATTAGTATGGCTTTTGTTTCACATACGAGATAACATTTCGAAACGTATAATTTCCGTAGTTTTCGCAATTTCGTGTATATATTATAAACCGCTGTAGTATAAGTATAATACAAAAGTAACATTTTCAGTTGAAGCCGAACAAATTGACATTTCTACATGTAATGTAATCATCGTTATACTTCATCAGATTATGAAAAACGTTTTTAGATATATACACGCGTGCACTCACACATTCTTACTCTCTCTCTCTCTTTCTTCCCATCTTTCTCTCCAATTTTATTTAAATAATTACAAATCATTGCAACAGAAACAAGATATTGTCAACACTTTTCAGACTTGCTCTGAAAAAATTATAAGAAACTAAATTTTTTACATAAATATATGTATAATGTGTGTGTATTTATCATTTTTATATTAATTGATTGCTTCACACAAAGAATTAGCTATATTAATAAAAAAGATTGGTACTTGACGCAAACGTTATGTATACATTGCATGTTAACATTTTCTAAAAAACGTTTTAAAAGAATAAAACAGTAATTGTTATCGATAGCAATCTACAATCATTATTAACTGTAGTTATCCAATTAAGGATAATATAGATGTATAGTCCTTTAATAAATGCCGAATATCTAAAAATATCTAAAAATCTAAAGATTATAAATTAATTATGATATATTTCGTAAAAAATTTGTAGCTTAGGTTATCATGAATGCTGATTACATACTATCACAGGAAATCGATCAAATATTCATTCAATATATAATCAATATATAATCAATTCTAATCATACAATATATGAACACCGTGAAAGCAAAACATTAAACTAATATTCACCAACAATTTAAAATTGCAAAGATCTTTTTGTTGCACATATTTTGTCTCCAGCAAAGATTAGCAGATCTAATTTTTCTATATCTTCAACAATTTTGAGTTTATGTAAAAGTATATATAGAGTACCCAGTAAACAAAATGTTAGCAGTATGCTAGCAGATTCGATTTGGCATCAACTGTCCATATTAAGTTTATGTTCTGCTAACTGAATCTGCTGACATAATCTGACAGCATATTGACGGGTCTGGCCTGAGCAGAGTCTATCACTAATTTGCTATCATATTCTGTTAGTAGACTGTGTCAGATTTTTACTGACGTTCTGCCAACAAAATTAGTAGGACATACTTTTGTAAAATGTATTTTTCGATAAATTTAGCTATCTGAGATAGTTTGTAAAATATAACATTATTAATATACATTCTGAAATAAATGTAAATTTAAATTGTTTTAACAAAAGAAAAAAAAAACTTAAAATGGTAGATGCAGTAAAAAATACTTTTATGTGTTTAAGTCTGTAAAAGCAAATTTACTCATTTTAGTGATAATAGATCTTTTCTATATTTTCCACTTTAACTGAATTTGCATATATAATATTATTGCAATAAATATATTTTAAAATTTTTAAAAATTTTAATTAAAAAATAATTAAATTTATTCAACGATAACAGGCATTTCTTCAATTTTGTCTTTTATATAAATTTGTAGTATAATGATATATATTATAAATATCGATTATTGAAATTGGATAATTAATAGAGAAATATGCAGAAATTGTGCTAAAATTTATGGAATTATGTATTAATCAAAGGTAACAATAATTATATTCAAGGTTAAATTAATTTTTCTATAATATAATAATTGTTATATAACATTACATAAACCTAACAATGAGTTTACATTAGCGAGAACTCGACTTTTCAAAGAATGAGATTACAAAATTGTGCAATTAACACAGCCAGTGTCATGTTTTATGCACATATATGTTTAATATATCGAAAAATGAGGTGAAAATAAATAAATAATAAATAGTAGAGATTTCTGTGGTGACAAAATGTTACGTTCTGCACAGCATGGTAACAAACCAAAAGGTACATTAAATTACATTCTGTTACACAACTTCCTCTTATTTATACAATATCCGTGAAATAAATTGAAGCAACTCATTGCAAAATGCAGACAACAGAGAAAAACTATCTCCAGCAGCAGACTTATTAATTTACATAATAAAAATAGACATAATCTTATTTATAATATAGATAAAAAAATAGCCTCACCTACAAAGAGGCGAGGCTGCACTGACTTTAAAAAAAAAAAAAAACCGACTAATGTAAATCCGTCGTAAATTTATCTTTTTAAAAATTTATAGGAACGTGCAACTTGTATTTGTACATCATAGATAAATTAATGATTGCCACGCTCACTCATTGAGTTGCAAGATATGTCAGGAGCATCATCTTTTAATCGTCTCGTCAACGTACATTCATCTAATGCTCTAGTGTTGTCATAATTACCCAATTTCCGCGACAATGTACCTGATAGATTAATACTATCTGCTGTCAATAGACTGGTGTTATCTAGCCTTTTATTATTTTCCATATTTTCGTTACCGTTTCTTTCCGATTTGTCAGATCTTAATGTATTCTTTAAGCTATGATCGAATTTTCTGAGATCATTTTGGATACTTTTAATAGTATCGCTGTTATTTTCATATCCCCGCAATAAGTTGCTCTCGTTTTCATACCTACGATTAATGGAGTCAGAATCAAGACACTTCCTGAACGTATCGTCGTATCTTTGACTGTCGACAATTCTTCTAGAGAATCCCGTGTCATAATGTTCCATCTCTATGCATCGTTGATTTAGACCGTCCATTTCGTACGTCCGCTTCGATAACTGATTATCAAATCCTGCTCTACTAGCTAAGTGGAGGTAGTTGTCATCACCAATGGGAGCTTGTCTACGAAAGTACAGTATTGTTCATGCTGCTTCATCTCATCACGATGCGTGAAAGAACTTTTTTAATCAAAATACAACAAAAGTGTACTACATACTTGCTGCCGTATTTGGTGTCGCGTGCCAGTCTTCTAAAATAGGCTCTATGTTCGCGCTGCAACGCGTACGCAGCTTCTCTTAGTGCGGTTAAAGTCTTGAAGCATGAAGGTACATCTTCGATAGGCGATCCTCCCTCCGGTATAACACACATATCACTAGCACCATAAACCGCCTGGCATTCACACGCATTCATCAATGTCTCGAGACGTGGCATATTTGTAAAAATCAACGAATGTATCCTCTGCAAATCACGATCTGGATCTAATTTTATTCGCATTCCAGCCTCTATACCTGGCGATACTTCACTGCACCCCAGTGCAGTTTCAGCAACTGCTCGGCAACTATCAGAGAAACATGGATATTTTATTTAATTAGACACACACGTTACACGCGCGCTATTTATTCTTTCAATTACAAAGAAACATATTAATACATATTCTAACTCTACCTAACAAGACTGAATATTTGAAAACTTCGAATATTTTCTACGAAAGTAATAAAAAAATACTTTTTTTAAGATAGGATTACATACCAAAGCCAGTGACCATTGATGTATGCACTTGGATGATATTTTTCTAAACGATTGCTGTTTGTTTGACATATTTTTGTAAGAATGTCAATCCACTCCTTTTCTTCCACACAATTACCAGCTTGGATATATAATGCCCTTTGCGGTTGAATAATTTGAAACATATTTTTCATTTTAAAAGAGTCCTCGTGTAGTCTCTCCACTGCCAAAATTTCCTCTAGTGATATTTTACACAAAGGTTCTTTACCTGTAAATTGTTTATGTATTTTTATATCTTTATTCTTTAAAAGAAAAAAAAAACACTCGCGTTATATCATAATATATTTACCTTTTGTTTTAGAATACGTTAAATCTTGTGTAGTAAGTCTAAAATATCTCTGCTTAAAATTCTTACGACCGAATCGTTTTCTGCCTTGTGCCCGTTTAATCATTACTCTGTAAAAAAACAATTGTAATTAAAATATCTTCTAGAAATATATCGATAGATAAATTCAAATTTATTCTGCGACAACACCAACCTCTTATCACAATCAGTGATGTGCATAAAGAGAAAGTAAATTCTATTAGAAATATACAAAGTTTTCAGTAATTTAGTTTTGATATTACACTTTTACAGTGCAATAATAGTGCGATATCTCAAAGAGCTTTTAACACTTATATTGTTTAAATGTATATTAATAAACGTACCCTTCTTTCAGTACCACTGATTGTTCTTGCAACATATCTGGGCACTGCTTGGTGACCCCGCTGCTATTACTACTAGTTGATATCAACTCCAGAAATTGCTTGACTGCTTGAATATGTCTTTCCGTATAAAATTCTCTGCAAAGACAAACGTTATATGCGATAAAACCGAAATAATTTGTTTTTTTTTTTAATACAATATATTAATTCTAATCTTTCTTAAAGTCGTTTGACATCTTACCTATATACACACTCCATATATTCTTCTTTACAAACACTCCCTGCGCCTCCTCTACAAGATACCAAATTCCCGAGACTTTGAATTGTCTTAGATATTAATGTTAATGTCCTATTAGTCTGCGAGTCCTATAATAACGTACATCGTAGCATGTAAACTTAGTGGAAAACTCTATTAATGTAAAATTTATAATAACATATGCTGTTTTTGAACTACTTACAATTTGTTCCGTAGTGATATCGAATAATCTTGGGCCCAGTATTGCAGGAGCGAAGAAACGTAAAAAAATAAATCCGCTGATCACCGAGTATCTCACTTCCTTATTTTTTGGAAAGTGAGTTGCGGCGAGTTCTCTTAAACACCAGAACATTTCGCACATTAAGGGCGGACATCTTATTCCCGATGTTGTTACAGCCGTGAATACCCTTTCAACGTATTCCTTCCAAGAAAACAGATCAATGTACCATTTGTCGATTTAAGGACACGCGATTCATTTGCGATTTAATACCTTTAAGTTCGCCAAATTTGTTTCTATCGTACTGCCATCCTTGACACGAGTTGGATCTATTTCACATGGTTTTCTTTCAAGAATGACTTGTTCCATTGCAGGTCTGAGAGTACTATGCAAGTAATGAAGACCAGCTAATTTCATGCCTTCGTCCATCATTTTGCTCACTAATGTATTACCGCGGAAAATTGTCGTCGGATCACTGAAACAAAATTGGATTTTGATAATCATTACTTACATGACAAGTTGTTAATGTTTGCACGACGTCTAAATTAAAATAAGATTACTTACGTCAATTTAGAAATTTCATGACTAGCAAGTGCTCGCATTACGGACACCAATTGTCCGTGATGCGCCAATACTCTAACTAATGGTTGTGCAGCTTCCATTTTACTAGCTACAATTTCACCCAATATGTAAACAGCCGACGACGTTATCGGTTGAACGTTGACGCTTTGTAATAATAGACTCTTAAGTTTATCATACATTTCGGATGGAAAGACATGATCAGCTGTGTAATGAATCTTCAAACGCAACGATCCCAAACCTGGTAACGTACCAGGCGGTGTTGAGTTACTCGGGATTTTACTTGGACGATGTTTCGCTGCTCTAGGTTGTAAAAAATACCTATGCGCAAATGAAATAATGTATCCCACTCCAGACTGAACGCGTGACGATTATGAAAAATGAGAGAAGCACACACCATGCAGTTGTTGTACTAGTTGGTTGCTTCTGCAATCCTTTCAGCGTGACTCGAACTTCGCCGAGGAACACCGGTTGCTCTCCCATGCCAGGGGACGCGTGCCACAAGCCAACAACCACTTCTCCAACCTCAGCTCCTTCGATAGAATAATGAGAGACATCCTTGTCCTTGGCTTCCATTAACTCTGGCTGCAATAGAAAGAAAATCAATTTCATGTACTATTTGTATACGCGAAAAAGTAATCTTAAGAAGTAATTTTCTCACCTCAAATACAAATGTTTCGTTAAAATATGGTGATGCTGTTTTTTTTTTAACTTTTGTGCGTTTTGATATTTGTTTACCATTACTATAGATGACTGTAACAGTTGCGAAGGGATCACAGCTACCATTTTTAATGGTTAGTTCACTACATTCTATTACTCTGCAATGCATAAAATCAATCATTACCAATAGAATCTTATTCTAGAATTAATTCCAACTTTTGACTTTATATGTGGATTGATACAGAATATACATGGTTTAATTATTGCTCACCTTACTGTAAGTTTAGGCTGAGCATGTTCAACTTGCGGTTGCAAAACAAGTTCCAAATGAGCTTTGCCTTGAACTTCAGAGTCAGCATCGACTGGTTTTAGAGGAAACCAATGCTCTTTATTATGATATGTTGCTAAATCTTCTCTCTTTATTGCTACCTTCCCCAAAATTTTATCCTGCTTTAAATGTCTATCCCGATCATATACATAAATGCCAAGATAACGAAATTTTCTGGGCACTTCAAATTGAAATTCCTCTCCGAAAAATGGGCTGCAAAGAATTTAAAATATGTGCTTGTAAATAATAGTGCATCTTAAATTGTACCTCAAGCAAAATAAATCTTTCAATGAAGCAAATACTTACTCAAGACGATACTTTAGTTGATACTTACTTAAGAGTTCTCTCCATAGTCGTCGTTCTGAATATTTCCTCTTGGTCCAATGACAGGGCGCAATAAACATCTCGTATACCTGGAGATCCATGACTTCGACTTTGAAGATTTTTTGCTTCTCCTGTATAAAAAAAAAAAAATGATAAGCAATATAATCAATCATATTTGAAAAGTAATTTTGAGACATTATGTTATGATATTTTTACGGTATATTTGTACCGTTCAGCTATATTACATTATTACAATCTCTTTCAATCAGCAAAAAACTATTCTTTGACAAAATATTAGAAAAACATCAATAAATAAATTAGCAAACATATATAAATTTTTTTTATTATCATGGCACATAAGTGTCATTTTTAGCATACATTAAATAATTATTATTTTTTATTAAGTCGTTGACTGTCAATAATAATTATTGTTATGTAAGGCAGTATATTTTTATTCTAATTATATTAATTAGCCACTTCACATTATATTAAACTGTTTATTTATAATGTTATCACGCAATAAAATATTTCAAAATAAACTCTCAAATTTTATTCTAACTTTTCCAAATACTATAAATTGTAACTTTTCTTACGTTAATGTCAATTATTATCACGTTAAGAAGCATTATTTATAAATATATTGAGATTGTTTTACGTGAGACGGTAGAAAAACAATTATTTGTTAGGTGCTGCTAGAGCAATTAGAAGATTGTAATTTTAAAAACTTGCAGAAACTCGTAAAACATTGACGAGTATGAGAAAACTATTTGTTCTTTATGCTTTACGCGCTCGATCACGGTCGGAAATCACTAGGAAAAACGCGCATCGGTTTCGCGGACATGATATCGAGACGAGATCGTGCATTCGACCGGAGGCAGGGCTGCCGGAGTTTTTGGTATATCCGTTCGCGATCACACGGTTTTCTCGCTGTACGATCGTGCGGCACACGCGCAGCATGCACGCACATATATGCACACGCGCGACTTCACACGCGCGATATACATACATACACATGCATACACACACACACACACGCACACACGTGTAGGAGGACAACGGCGCGTGGGAGTCGGGAATGTACGCGTCGTTCACTGGCGAATTTCGCGTGAAAATTGGACGTCGCCGTCAATCGCGTCCGTCGCCGACAGATTCGACGGATTCGTCGCATCGCGCGCACGTCGCCGTTTTGCAAGTCGATTTCGCGCGACGGCAGCAAAAGGTGGACTTGCAGTGTCGTAGGAGTCGAATTAGGTGACATCCTGAGCGCGGCACGGGCGAACTGCTCGGTGATCGCGCGTCCCGGTGAAATCGGACGTTCCCTACGGGATCCGCCGCGTACGGCGAGCGCGCGTCTTCACGCACGCGGAGGAACACTCGCACACGGCACGCACGCCCGCACTCGCCATGCGTATCATTCCTACCGATTTTGATCTTTAGCCTCTCTTCAACGCGGACTAGGCGCGTCTCCTCGGCCATGTTACCTCCATGACACTACTGAGTGACTACACGGTCGGAACGCGAGGCGGTGCGTTCATTCTGTGAATGGGTCTAAGGCAGGGGCGTAACGAGACGAGTCGGCGCCCACCGCTCCCTCTCCGTCGGCCACCGTCATCGGTGTTCGCCACCGTAATACGCTGCATCCCCTCCCGTTATCACGCGATGCCATTTACTTCCTTCTTACGTCTCTCTTACGAAGCACGCGCTTCATAGATATAGAAGAAAAGAGCGTATATAGAAGAGGCACTAGAAAATGAGTTACCTATTATGCTTATATTCATAATTTTCTTCTTAAATTAACAGTCAATTGTTACAAAATGCATCCAAGTACCACGCATTATCGTCGAGTATCGTCTTTAGTTTTTGATTAAATTGATTAAAGAAAGATAATGTGTGATAATATTTGTTTGAAATTCCATCTTATGGAAATCTGTAGCTCTCACACAAGTTTTACTTACTTAAACCAGAATTATTATTATTTGCCATAAATATTTTTATCATATATATTTTACCATATATATATATTTTAAATATATATTTATTGCCTTATACTTTTCGATTAAAGATTCTCGGATCAAACGCATGTCTGAACATTCGTAATTATTGATTAAAAAATTCGAAATTATTTCAGATAATTCATTAATTAGTTCAAGAGTTGGTTAATAAACGCATAAAGCTCAAATTTAAAGCAAATCTGGAAGATATTATGATGTGTATATTTGAGTGATATTTATATTATTATAAATTATTAAATAAATATATATATATTGATGTCTAATGTAAATATTAACAATAACTATTAATTATAAATGTAGCAATAATTACTCAAATAAAAGCTTTCGATTATGGAGCGGTACTGATAATTGTAACCGCAGATTATTTTCATTCATATCAATAACAATCAGAGTGCGTGGAACTTTGGTCAATGAATTCCTTTATCAATAAGCTTATTTCAACAACAAAGCATATGATATTTTGATTTCGATTTCGTGATACTATAAATACGTATTTCAATATTACAAAGATGATCTAAAATCGTTACTATGATATAGCGAGCGTAAATAATGCGAGTTAAAAAAATTAAATTTTGAATTAAGCTGATAATAATTTCCCAAAACTTGATTAACGAAGCAAAAGATAGGAATATGAAGTATCTTCTTGACCTATAAATTTAACCTTTTCGCCACCAAAATGCGGTGCCTCTCTATTGCGAGAATATTATTTCACTTTTACACAAAACTGATGAAATCAAATATAAAAAGTTAATTTTATCACGCTATAAATTGCTTAGCGCGTTTGATAGCTGAAAAAAATCAACGGTTACAAAAATAAGTTATCTTAATGACTGTATATCGCGAACATCTTTAGCAAATTATACATACAGTGATTATTCTCTTCTCTCTCTATCTCCCGCGTCGCTATTTTTTTCTCAGTCGTCCGCGCTGCTCAATGAGATCATTGCGCACCGCAGTATACACGCGCAAGACTTTTCCCGGACGATCCGGTGCGCTCATTCATTTCCTTACGTGACAATCCGCCAGCGGATTTTTGCATGCCTGTGGCACAACGACCGGTCGTTACGAGAATGACATGTACCCGGTGTCCAGTATGTAAAGGCACGTGCATACTCCTCCAGTCTCTCGCGTGTAGCATTATATGTATATGTATACGCGCAGGGTTAAACCGCCGCTTGCGTGATCCCTCCACCCTCTCTTCGTCTCTCTTTTCCTCTTTCCTTCCTTTCTTTCTCGCATGTAGCGGTGCCTATATTTTTTCCGTATCTTTAATGCGTTAAGTCTGTCTGCTACCCGTGTATGGAGCAGGCACGGCGTAAGAAAGAGAGAGAGAGGGAATGGACTTGTGTGTGCACGCGCACGTGTGTGCGATGCGTGTGCGTGCGTGAGTGCGTGGGGAGGAGAAGTATGTGTGCGCCCGCGCGCATCGTGCGAGCGAGTATTAGTTTACATTGATTAACCGCACGCATGTGTAAGTGGTGAGCCACTTCCTGATGGCGCAATGGCCTGCTTCCTCTCCCTCTTCGCTTCTCTTCGTTCTTCGCGCGATTCCACGGGCCATATCGTCATCTCTCCTTTCTTTCTTTCTTTCTTTTCTCTCGCACACGCGCGTCTCGTCTCTCCGATCTTCTCTCCCCCCTTTTTTCTCTCTATCTCTCCACCTTTTTCTCCCCTTTGCATTTATTAATACAATACATTGTAGTCTTCGCGAACTCTTCTTAGACACTCTTGTTGCATGCAATGAGACGGAGATTCAGAATAAGAAAAAAAAAAAAAAAAAAAAACGTAGAGCTTCATCTCCGACGCATCGGAAGTTGCATTTGAAAGGGCGATACGTGTGCGCTGGGAATTTTTCATCGCGAGAAAAGAATAACCGCGACTCGGCGGGACCTTTGCAATCTGGGTTAGTGATCCCCGTACGAGGGAAAAATTGAGAGGGATCTCTCTCGGCGAAGGAGCAGCTCGCGGATTGATAGGTCATTGAGAAACGTGAAAAAGAGAGAGGACTTTACACACATCGCTTGTGAACTTGCGATAATTTTGCTATCTTTCCCCTTTGTTATTTTGACGCGGGACGAACAAGATTGCACCACGCTACTCGCGATTAACGTATCAATATCGTATTGAAAGCGACGCATTGATTCCTTCTATCCGCGAAAGATCTTCGCAAAATCGATAATGACTGCGCACTCGCGGTCTAACGACGTGTACAAATGTGCGATAGAACAATTATTCTTTTCACCGTTGCGTTTCTTCTCTCTAACGACGCATCGCGTTATCTAAATATCCACTCCGAGAGATCCATAATTAATTTACCGTTAATTACGAGGGCTTGTGTATGTCCACAGAGCAGCCTCAATGTAACTAGCTTCGCACACATTCGCGAGACTTTCGCGAAATTTCTCATGTGAATGCAAGCGCTCTTCTCGCAACGCGCCGCGATAGACGATGCAATGTGGCGCGTAATTAACAAGTAGGAAATCATGTCCGCGTCTTTTAACGAAAAGACAAAAGAAAATTACGGGCTTTCGCCCGTTTCCCGTGCGCGCGCGTCTTATTGCCACATATTTCCACACGACGGACTGTGCAAATAGAGAAGCTTGGATTACGTAATTCAAAACTTATAGCTTTACATAATACTTCCGTTTTAATAAGGGGATATTACGCGGTCGCTGCATATGAGTAAAGCCAACCACTTTGACAGACAACCGTGTGTTACATGTACACTGAAATGCAGCTCGAGATGCAGGAAGAAGAAAGAAAATAAATGATAAAAATAAGCTAGAAATAGATTAGACCACGAAATTTATGGATTTTTGCGCTTTCCCAACCAACTGTCGTTTGTTCAGACGGCTATAAAAAGAAAGAGCGAGAGAATCTTGACAATTTCTATCTTTGCACATTCTAGAAAATCATAATAGGTTTAATTTAGACGAGAATTACTCCTATTTTATGCCTCAAGCAGTAAACGTACGTTTTCCATTTGGGAGTTGAAAAGAAAAATGTTTAGCGAAGCTATAAATAGAACATAGCAGTTTTAAATAAAAAGATATCAGTTAAGTGGAATCGAAAGACGCTATTCTGAGTATTTAAATTCAAAGTGAAGTGAGTATTAAAAGGTAAATATTTAAAGATTCCGGTTGAAAGAGAAAAGTTTAGACTCGAGAGAAGGAAGGAGGAGGCTCGGAAGCGCGAAAAAGTAAGTGGTAATCGCACATAAATACGGCAGCTGACCGATGTGGAGCATTATCAGCGATGTTTTATCAAAGACTACGCGACTCTGGCTGCGTTACTACTAGGTCGGCCCGATCGAGCGAGCGCGTGAATGGGACGGGTGGAGCGGTTACGAGGAAAAAATATGAATGAAGTCGTGGTAGTGACAATCGCGTACGGTTTACGTTGAGCGCGCATGCGTCCCCGGCCCCGTAATGCACGTAGCACGTGCATCGTTTCGTCCGTGCCATTCAGCGTGAGCAGCGTAAAACTATGCAAGGGGACGGGACGATCGAACGAAGGACGAGATCGATACGCAGCCACGACGCGATGAGTCAAAGATCGTACGTGCTACTATATACACTGTCAATATATGACGTACTCCTTCTTCCTGCGAGTTTATTTTTCTACGTAAAGCAAGCGAGCACGAAGAATGACTCTCGATGACTTTGTGAAATATATCCTCGTTGATCTCACAGCTATTTTTTTCTTCGACAGTCTCGTTGACGGTCCTTGGAAGGTGAGTTCCAAATGTTCTTATTATCGTGAATTTTCGACAATTCAGTACTTCTGAAGAGAATATTTCACTCTCGAGAGATGGCAATCTTTATTATTAACTCTATTCTAAGAGCCGATGTGTCGTCAAGATACGCGTCATAATGAGTAAGGTGATACGCGTAAAGAATATCGCATTACATTTTCTGAACGATCAACTAATTCAGTGAATCTGATTCGGTTTTGATGATTTTTTTCTTATTTAGTTCGAGTGCGTGTCTGCAGTTTGTTTGTAATGCATTTTCGACTACGATTATGCAAGGTACAAAGATTCGAAAAGTAAAGATATAAATAAGAAAAGAATATTTTACTACAAAATCAAAACACTCTTAATACATTTATTATTTTTTAATTATAACGGTGAATATATTTATTTAGCTTAGATACGAGTTTTTGTATTCCGATGTTATCGAATTTTTTTGCGCGCAAGCACTTCATTACATAGTTGCAAAGTTTCAATTTTTAGACTATCTCACTCACAGCTTAGAGCACCCATTATGAAACTTTTCTAAGTAGTTTCATAATAGCTGATCTCAATTTCTATTTGTTTTTGTTTTTAAAGAAACATCTGGAAAGAAGTTTGATAAAAGCGAAGAGATGAAAAATAAAATTACCATGTTGAAAGATAACTAAATGTACGTATATTAAGAATACTTTACTTGATTTCGTGGCAGATATAATTTTTCTTAATTTTTATATTACGTTCATATCTTTACTTTCAATCCTTTTACATCCATTGTGACATCTTCTTCATTCGCAATAAAAATGCAAGTCAATATTGAGCGACTTATTCGTTAGCTCGCAAGTATAGGTCACAAAGACACTCGCGCGCAGTGGGAAGGAGCAGTGCGCGCCGTGAGGAAAAACTAGCCGATGACGCGAGAGAGCATTGTGCGCTGTTAATGGCGCTCCACCGGATGTAGGAAACTAGGATTCGGGGCAGGGAGAAGTCTCAGAAAGAGTTCGGAATATATATGTTCTCCTATTTTCAGCCACGAAAGCCGGTAGCAGTTTTGTAGTTACGCGGACATGACGAACGCGGGATAATAGATTTGTATGCGCAAAATGGGCACGGAGTCAATTTTTCGTTTTTTTTTTTTAGATTATTTTAAATATATAATAAGTTCTAAAAATACTTATACTCGCGAAAGTTATTACAGCAATGCACGAACAAATCAAGAATAAGGAAAGCTCCCGGATGCTCGCCGTTATTTTGTGACATCATGATTTAGTAAAATTTCCCGTATTATTCACCTGCACTTAAAAAAAGAAATAAAAAAAGAAAAAATTCTATATTTTCTGTGAACAACTATTGGCTCTACAGACAAGCTGCAAATATATTCGCACGTGGTCACCGCAGTGTCAAGCTAATTTTCTTGGGAAAGATTTGGCCGAAGGACTGCTATCTGTACATTATTCGAAAGCAGCGTCAGGTCGTATTGTACACATTCGCGCGCCTAGAAATGCAATGAAAACAATTAAATTAAAATTAAAACGTCTTACTCTTGCGGATTTTCTTATATCGCACGACACAGATGCGCGATATTATTTTATACTACGCACACGCGTAAAATCTCGCGAAAATGACGCACGTACTATAGTGCGATAATATCGCGCGCATTGTGTATGTACGTACAGCCGCGTGCGTGGGTATTGAGTGCACTTCGCGCTCGTTATATCACCGGATCTTTGCGGACACATGCGAGCGACACGGAAATTGAACGCGACCGATGCGGCCTTTCCCACGATTAAGATGACTTATTATCTTCTGCGCTCGCGATGATTACGGTACGATGCGCGCGTCGTCTCGTACACATCGTGAAAATATAATTACTTCGTCATTACGATAGCACCGCGCGTAAATACTTGGTTAAACAAAGGTGTGCTCCACCGTGGAGATCTCAAGCCGCGGCGAAAATGATTTACGGCCTTTCGTAATTGTCGTCGCAATCGAAGATACCGTCGCGTTGGAAAAGTTTAATTGCCGTCGATCTTTACGGATGACGCGATCACACGCGCAATCCGGATCACGGATTCCTTTCTGTTTCGCGTTTTTTTTTTTTTTTTTGTCGGAGCTCCGCGCTTTTTTGTGGAGTTTTGTCCTCCGTCTGGTCGATCATCTTGACCTTTCGTCCCTACGGCGGCGTGCCACGTTTAACGGGGGTTCCGGATGTGGCCTGATCTCTATTCCCGGTTTTGTTCGATGGTTAAATTCTAAATATAAAGCCGCTGCGCTCGTCCGCGCGCGCGCGCGTGCTTGCACATCGAACGCATACGCGCGAACCTCGTCGTTTGGACTGCCCGGCAAAATGCTTGGCTCGCCTTACCTGGCACCGGAAATTATTCCGTCGATTCGAGCCAATTTTTTCGCTTACTTGTCCACATATACACATGTTCGAATTGAAGCAGAATATTCACCATTATTCGTGAATGGCGCGACGCTGCGTATGCGTAGATAAATACGCGCGCGCGAGCGATCAACTTATGCGATTCTCCCCTCCTCTCATTTTTTTTCTATCATTGATTATAGGTACTGTTTTTAAGTTCTAACAGTCTTACGTAATATTTGATATAGGCAAATAAATCCTTAAATGTATCGGAAAACTTAACATTCGTACAGTGGAATCGATACTTGTTATTCACTAGCGATATAATTAGAAAGAAAAATACATTGTTGCAGATCGCAAACAACGTAGAAAGCGGTAGCGAACTTATCGAGTAGCAAACAAGGGAGGAAGCCCATCCGTTCGGAGGGGTTTTCACAAAACCTCATTCAGTAGACAAATGAATGAGACAAAAAAAGCCGCGACCCATGGTGATTGTAATTAGCTTCCGTCGATATTATAAAATAAATGTCCCAGTGACCGGACATGTCCCAATCTCCGATCACATATTAAAACACTGATTATTTAATATTTACAAACATAAAGAAGTATCTTCGATCAATTTTGAAAACAAATTTCCAACATTTTTTGCGAATATTTAATTGACTTTCAATTAATAATCGTAATTTTGGTTTTATTTCTGTTCAATAAGTTTTAATCTTTGTTGTGTATACAAAAAAAATAAGAGAAAAATATTATATTAACAGAAAAAATTATACCTTTAATTAACTTTTAACTACTGAGACATTTACTTTATAATTCAATCATGCCTTTTTAATCGCGTCTTTTCCGATACTCACGCTCCGTTTCTATTGTTAAACAAATAATTATATACGCGAAAGAAAATGGTATACTTGTAGAATAGAATAGTGATGAGTCGACCAATATAAAATATGATTACATATCAAGATATATATAAAAAATAAACATTTACCCCAATAATATACCGATTTTTATGCGTAATTCTTTTGATCGTTCGCAGAGTTGACGCAATCGGAGAAAGAAATCAGTCGTCTGAGGCGCGTAATTGTGAGGCAGAACAATTGTACGAGTGGTTGAAGAACGGTTTCTAGATCGGAGGAAACCACGTTATTCTCACGCGAATACTACGAGCGTACGCGGTGATCGTGTCATTGATTGCTTTCCGCGGAAAAGCGAGCCGACGTTTCCCAACTACAGCGACTCGCACTATAATGAGAGAAAAGTTGCGAAATGGAGAAACTCCGTGAAAAAAAAAAGAGAGAGAAAGAAAGATGCCAAACGGTAAGCAAGGACCGCACGGGACCTGAGCGACAAAGCGATAATTGTGAGTGTCGTACACAGACCTCGTGAATATCTTAGAATTGCGTAAATAGAACAATTTTTTTTCGGAGCGCTATTGTTTCTCCGCCTTTGCAGAAAGCGACTTACCATAATCATTATCCAACTATCGCATTGGCCACCGCACCAGAGATTATGATTACCGCAAATTTACCTCTCTTTTGTACTCGAGACAGCTTTCACAAGATTGTAATGAATTGTGGTGAATAGCGCAATCTCACCATTTCTTGATTCTTTTGACACCTTAAAGCAAAAATAGTTTTATTGATTAAATCTGATTTACTTTCGTAATTCTAATACTTAGATACAACGCGTAAGAGTAGGATAACCTCTCGTCAAAGTATTGAAAATCATGCGAATATATTCAATGATTTATTTTAGTCGAGAGAGGCAGTGCGTGAAATGCGTATATACGTTACGCGATAATTACCTTCGCACCTGTTGCGTCTGTTCTTTCACAACAATAGAGGCTCCCAAGACTACCGAGCGGAATAAAAAGGAAGACTGAAATCGAGCGATCATTTAACAACAAGTTAATTTGTGCGGTACTGTTTTGCCACGCCTACACACGCACATAAGCGAGGAACGATCAAAGCCATGAGAGCCAAGAAAGTGGAAAAAAAAGGATCTCATTGTTCTTTGCATAGGTTTCCGTTCTCAGCACTGTTCGATTGTCTCCGGGCTGGGGAAGTGTAACCGTATCACAAACTGTAAACAATTCCTTGCAACCGTTTTCAAAAATGCTTATGAGAATGTTGACTACAAACAGATCTACTAACCTTAATAAATCCGCGTCACTAAAATAGTGTGACTTTTCGTTAGTTAAAAACACTTCATGCTTAACGTGCCTGTTTGCATTAAAAATTTATGTATGTCAAACGTATTTTTTATAATTATTGTAACAATATGTAATACGTACACTCTGTACAATGTGTTTTACATGAATTTGAAGTAACGTCTTTATGCACTTTATTGCAAAACGCCATGTACACGCGAATTAAAAGCACAAATACTGACATCTATTAGAGATTTGTAATATTATTTGTGATTATCGACAATTGATATAATCAATATCGATAATAAATGTGGTAATCTATGTAGTTGCTTCTATGTGTACATAGATGGTGCTAGTTTCAACAACCATTTTGCGAAAGTGTGTTTACAGTTTGCATAAGCTCGTACGAAGTATACTTTTGACGACTGCATGGATTATTAAGAAAATATGACAATAATTTACATTATCCTTTTTACAGTTTTTACTTGTGGTTTGTGTGACGAACAGTTTTGTTTGGCGGACGATACAGAATCCTGTAAAAATGAAGATGTTGATCAGAAATCGTCATCATTCTATACAAAAGGTATTGTTTGGGATCTCCAATTATTCATAAGTTCAGATTAAAATTAACTACAATATAAATAACTGCAATAAAAGACTCGGAAATAATACTAGAACGATAATGAGATCTTAAATACACATTACTTTATTAATTTTAATGAAACTTAATGAAAATGTATATTTTAGTAAAAATTTAGTGAAAGTATTTAGTAAAATAAAAATTTATTAATTAAAAAAGATTGTTCAATGCTAGAAGAAGTAATAAATTGTTAGAAGTGCTATTTTTTAAGATTAATCTCAATTTTTTCACTTCAAAAGTTGTTCTTTTAACAATCTATAAGTTTCATAATGTCAAATGTTTTTAAGTAACAAATTTTTATTTTACATATCAAACATCTACATATTTTTATCATTTATCAAGTTGCATTAAAAATGCATTCATGAGAATGATTGTATATTTTGCATTTTTATTGTCATCTCTAATATATCATTTGATTTTTGTTTTTAGCAAAAAATGAAAGATATCAGAAATATCTCACTGCAATTAAAGATGCAGAAGAAAACTATAAAGAATGCAATAATACAAAACATGAGTGCTTTAAAGATGTCATCATACGGGACTTAAAACCTTTTAAAAAAAAGGGTATAAGCGAAGAATTGATAGAAGCTGCTAAAACTAGGTATTTGTAATATCTTCTTATTACATTTGTAATATATTGATCTTATATCTTTTATTTAACTTAAATTTTATTGCAATTGTCACAATATTACAGAGGAACATTCTATCAAATAATTGGAGGTAAATTATATAGAGATAAAGACTGTTCGTTTCCAAGTAGATGTGCTGGAATCGAACATTTTCTACTAAAAGTAATTGGTAATTTATCAGATATGGATTTAGTAATAAACACCAGAGATTATCCTCAATCCGGTGAATATTTTGGAAATGCTCTGCCTGTTTTTTCATTTAGTAAGGTAAGGAATGATTCTGTTATGTATCTTAAAATTTTTAATAAATTTATCACAAATAAATTTATACAATTAAATTATATTTGTTTAATATAATGAAAGTGTTAAGCACAGTGCAAAATATATTTATAGACACCACAATATTATGATATTATGTATCCAGCATGGGCATTTTGGGAAGGTGGTCCAGCTATCTTATTATATCCTCGAGGTCTTGGCAGATGGGATCAACATCGAAAATCTTTAAATAAGGCAAGCTTGGAAACCCCATGGGAAAAGAAAAAAAGTGAAGGGTTCTTTCGTGGTTCTAGAACAAGTTCAGAACGCGATAACTTAGTTTTACTAAGCCGTAATAAACCTCATATCGTAGATGCTCAATATACTAAAAACCAGGCGTGGAAATCTGATAAGGTACAATTCTATTTTTTCATCTGTTTATATCAGCAAAACATTAGTATAAGTTTGAACTTTATTTCAGGATACTTTGCATAGAGCACCAGCATCAGAGGTATCTTTGGAATCACATTGTACATACAAATATTTATTTAATTACCGAGGTGTGGCAGCTTCATTTCGACACAAACATCTGTTTCTATGTCGATCGTTAGTCTTTCATGTCGGTGACGAATGGACTGAATTCTATTACTATGCCATGAAACCATGGATTCATTACATACCTGTTTCTAAAGATGCATCCCAAGAAGAGTTGGAGTAAGATATCAACATCTAATTATTATATATACACACTGTTGGTGTTTATTAAACATCAATTAATCTATCTTGTTTTATTATATTTTCAGGGATTTGATTGAATTTGCAAGACATAATGATGATTTAGTGAAAAAAATTGCCTATCGCGGAAGAGATTTTATATGGAACAATTTGCAAATGTCGGATATTACATATTTTTGGAAACGGCTTCTTAAAAATTATAGTAAACTTTTGACTTATCAACCAACATTAAAGAAAAATCTGATACATATTCAAAAAACTTAGTGTGTGAATGATATTATAATAATCTTATACAACTAATATTTTCCATTAGATAAGACAATACCATTCCATTAGATAAGACAAGACAGTATTATATGAAAATAAAATTATGTTGTAAAATTTATAAACAATCTTATTAATTATAAGATTTAGTATCCAATGTTTTATTCTTAAGGACTTTGCACACATAGTATGACTATTTACATATTGTTAATATTAGTTGTAATAATAGTTGTATATAAAATTATAAAGTATATTATCAGGGAAACTGTAATGGAAACGTTTATAGATATTTATACATTTATGAATCACACACAAACACACACATGTGCAAACAAGATACTAAATAGAAACAATATACAAAATTATTTTGTGTTATACATAATATATTTTAGGGTTCACGTTTGATAAAAAGATCTATAATACTCACGTGACACTTTCATAAATCAGCAAACATTGCTACATATCGCAATGTATCCTAATATTCTTCGTTCACTTTATAATTTAATCGAACAATCAATACAAAAATCAGTAAGTACTTTTCACATTTAAAATCTCTAAAAATAATGAATAAATAAATAACCAAATAAATAATACCAATAAACAAACAGTGTTGAAGTCCCTGCATTACGTCACTGTGTGAAATATGTCGCAAAGATTCACACGTTTTAGTAACTTTTATTTTTACAACGTGTTCAGCCATGCAAGTCATTTTCAAGCGATGCGTTCACATAACATACAGTTTAACAGTTAACTGGCAGGAACAGTAGTGCTCGTCGTAATTCTCTATTATATACTTAATTAACACTAGTTCGAGTCGCGTTAATGATCTGATAATTTGATGTGCAACTTTTACGTATTTGGTACGACAAATCAGTTCTGTTACTTTCTTGCACTTTTCGCACGCGTCTATTTCTGATTACCGTCTTCGTCAAATCTCGGAACGTAGCATATACTCGATGAATTCGCGCTTCGTCGAACGGATGAGGATAAGAGAATGTGGTTTTACGTAGTTATGACGAATTTCGTGATGACCGTCATGAAAAACAACTTGCAACGTTCTTTTCGATGAATTTGACAAACTCGCGAGTGCATCGGATTTCGTATTGGTGTGAATAGCCATTTTTTCCTTGTAGAATTCACATTGTAAAAGCGCGCGCATTTTCTCAAGTGGCGGTAAAATCCGCGCACAGTGATTGGACGGTATATCCTGAAACGCGCGAAATAGCGAGGATCAAACGCGAAAGTGCCAGTCGTTAGATGTCACTACAATTGTAATTTGTCATCATTGTTTGAAACTTTATTTCGTTTTCGTACGCGTGAATAAATTAAGGATTGGCACGTAACACCGGTCGATGGATCATGCCATCTTGATCACTCACTTTTTCCTGAATTTGGGATGTGACATTGTCGGGATACAACGTCTGGAAAAGGTAATTGTTTTTCATTAATGCGTACAATTGATCATCTTGAAATTTGTTAACAAATATTTTGTTATCACCGTTATCATCTTTTTACAGCGTATTTAGTATTATTTACGAATACAGTTCTCATTTTATATTAACAAACGATACAAATAATATGAATATCTTACATTAAACAAAAGAACAGCATAATTGTTAAATTTAACCTAAAATCAAAATTCTTAATTGTCAAATCATGGCTAACAAAGATGACTAACGAAACTATAATTATTAAACGTTTACAGATTACATCAAACTTGAGAAAACATCATCCTGTGGCAAAATTTTAGCTGCACTTAATATGTAAGTACAAACATATAAATTATTTTGCTATATATTTTGTAAATTTTCCAGTAAAATGCACACATGGAAGAACATAAAAAGTCGATAAAGGAAAACGTTATCAGTCATATGCATTTTCTTTTTATATCTAATGAATTGTGTAACAGAAAAAAAGAAAGATTGTGCAACTCACACACACAAAACCAGTGTTTGTCACATTTTGAAAGATCTAAATTTAGGTAGATGCCAAGAAAAAGATTGAGAAAGTAATTGTGCAATAAGAATATACATATGAGAGAAACTAAATTAACTTATTATATAAAATTAGCTAAGTTAATTAATTTTAAATAAACATTTGCTTGTATTTAGTAATTACCTAGCACGCCTTTATTAGCTGATTTTGCATCTAGATCACTAATTGCTGTTGATCTGAGAAAGACAGGTTTATCAACATTTTCCTAGTCAAAGATAATTGTTTTATGCATTAACATTTTTATAAAATTTAATTTTACGGGAACACAAGATATTCCGTAATTTGAAACATCTATGCAAAAGAAAACTAGAAAAAGTAGTATTATTAACATACTACATTACTGTTGAGTTATACTGAGCTCAATGTAACTTCTTAATATATTATGATAATAATAGTTAAAAAATTTCATTTAAAGTTTGTCGTACTTACTATCGCGTTGATGTGATCCGGTATACCCTGCCAGTTTTTAATAAGCTTAGCTTTTTAATTACTCGTCACTCGTCCGCGAGATTAATTTCCGTAATAATCGCGTGCTTAGTTTTTTTCTTAGCAAAGTTTTGTTATCAAATTTCAAGTTTTATTTTAGAACGAAACAAATGTGTGCAATTTTTTGGGAACTTTTGAATCGTTAGAGTATACACTTCTGCAAATTTGACCAACAATAATGTATTTGCATTTAATTCTTTGCAATTGGGTTTTCTATTAATTGAATAAATAAAACGATTTTATGCGTCCACACATTTCGCAAACTTTGCAATCTATTCCGGTCGAATCAGCGGAGACTTTTATGAATGAAAGTAGTAGGATGTGCTTGTGTTTTTCTATGCATGTGTCATAGACGCTGCTCTCTTTTTCTGTGCTTCGTGTGTGGTGTCTGCGCGTCATTGTATGCATAAGTCGGAGCATATACACATGGCACGGTTTAATGAATCAAGTGGCTTATCGCAAGTCCGATCATAATATGTCTCGCCAGTACTATATTGGCTGCTGTTGCGCTGAACAGCGGAGTTGTCGCATATTGATTGATGGCACGAGTCGCTAGAATTCAATTGTCAATGACTTCATAGTTTTCATAGTGGATGCTACTTGTCGATTGTCGAGCATCGGGAGCGATTTTTTAATTAATTGCAAATAAGTGAATCAACGCATTTACCGTCGCCTTCAGCGCATGCACAAGGGTCACGCGCAAAATCTTCGCTTTGTCATTTAAATCTCACTCTTTTTGTATAAACATTTAAATTCTTCATACACTAAAATTTTGAACATTTGTTAGTTTGGTAGCTAGAAATAGCGGAAACGACAATTATAAGCCTCCAGCACGGAAGAGCACGCGCACGCGATGATTGTTCGGGTATTTCTTGTGTAATCGGAAGTGGAAAGACGCACAGTACATTGGTGATTGCAATTATATTTGATGACTGTATGAATCGTATCGGATTATTATATCGAATGTGACCGTAGATCTCTTACTTACGTGTGACACATCGCGAAGATTAGATGTTGTTTCCAAATGTTTCCTTCTTTTTTTTTTAATTTCGACGCGCGGATTAGTTGCATATCGTGAAATTTAAATTTGCGCAGTAATTCGTACGTATCTCGTCACATTTGCCGTATCTCATTTCCAAAGATGCTGCTGTTTTCAATCCGCAATATTCGGTCGCGTGTAATTCGATTTTCGGATGCTAGATCGTAGATTTTCTTCTTACACAGCCTCGATGCTCCCGTTCGCTTCTTTTACACTTCTAGAGAACACTAAATACACATGTGTTTGAGATGGGACACTGTTGTGAATATATTTATGATAATTTCATACAACTAAATCTTTCATTAGATAAATATGAATGATGTATATGAATAAAATTAACAGAAAAGAAGACTAAACAGGTCTTTAATAAATTATTAATTAATGAGTAAAATTATGTTAGAAAATTTGTAATGAATTGTGATGAATATAACATATGTTGAAAATATCATGTTAAAATAAACATTATTTATTAGTTTATTTGTATTATAATGAAAAATATAATACAAAATAGAGATTTTATTGAAGACGTGACATAATGGCGCGACAAATTTTTAATGATTCATTAACATTTTAATATCAGTAGTAGCATAAAGAAAACCTTGTACAATTAAATTCGTGTAACCAATAATTTAATAGAACAATTTAGAGCAAGATTATGTGAAAAATTATCATTTTCACACTTAACTTTAGAGAACTCTTATTTAGTAGACTTTTATTTAGCTTTACAGATTTTTATTTAGTAAAAAGTACAAGGTCTTGTACTCTGATAACACTTTAAAAGCTAAGTAATCCTTAACAATTAAGTACTAATCAAACACTTACAACATCCTTAGTACAACACTTCTTGAAATGTAAGAAAATATAAAATAGATGTATTAACACTGTTTTAAATGTCTGTTAACATTGTATATAGTAAAGATTATTTTCTGATACGTATAATCTCTCCTTACTTTTCTCTTTTCTACCGGGAAAGTTAATGGTAAACATTTTTCAAAACGTATTGCAAAGTGTATTTTTGTTTTATAAGATTTAGTATCTAACATTTTATACATAAGGATTTCATATGCAAATTCTCACACATAGCACCATTCATGTCAGAGATCAGTCTGACAACTTGCAATATTTTTAATACTAGCTGCAATAGTTGTATATAAAATTATAAAGTAAAGAAGCTACATTATCAAAGAAAATAGCAATGGAAGCATTTATATAAAAATGGATTTCTGTTTTCAAACACACACAACGTCGCGTAGAGAAGGCGTAAACTAGATGCTTGCTTTGAAGTGTTAGAAAGCATTTGTAACGACCTGGCATGTAACATTCATTTTAGTATATAAATTACAAAAATATTTTCTAAGGCACTTGCGCATAAAACAACAATTATTTTATAGCATAATCGTAAAATAGCGATATGGTGACATGAGTACTATAGATATTTATATATATATATATATGGATCTCTTATGCAAATAATTAGACACTAAATAGAAATAATATACAAAATTACTTTGCGTTATGCATAGAATATTTTAGCACTCTCACGTTCGATAGAAGGATCTATAATACTCACGTGACACTTTCATAACTCAACAAACTATATATTGACAGCATTGTCAGTCAAATATCTAATTGCTACATTTAATTGTCATGTCGCAATGTCGTAGTATTATTCGCACACTTCATCACTTAATCGAACAATCAGTCCAGATATCAGTAAGTGCCTTTAACATTTAAAGTCTTTGCAAATAGTGGACACGCGAATAAATAGGCAGTGGTTGAAGTTCCTGCATTACGTTTCACTGCGTGAAAACATCTCACATGAAAATATACACGTTTTAGCGACTTTCGTTCTTATAACATATTTCTAAATGCGCAAATTCCAATGCACGGCTACAGCCGCGTGATCCGTTTTCAAGCGATGCGCTCACGTAACACGCAGTTTAACATTTTGACTGGCAGGAACACTGCTCGTCGTAATTCTCTATTATATTCTACTTAATTACCGGGAACACTAGTTCCTGAACCGCCGCGTTAATGACGATTCCGATCGCATTATTGGTGCGGCAAGGGTGTTTTTTTTTTGTTTTTTATTAATATATGCAACATCACGTATTCTCAGTTCTGTACGACAAATCAGCTCTGCCGACGTCTCTCTTGCACTTTGCGCGCGCGTCTATCCAGTTGCCGTCTTCGTCGAAACTCGGAGCGTGCACGAAGATATCGCGCTTCGTTGAATTGGAGGAGGATAAACGAATGTGGTTTTTACGTAGCTATGACGAACCTCGCGATAACCGCCGTCATGAAGCTGAGCACAATCTGCATCCTTTCCGATGGGTTCAACGAACTCGCGGGCGCACCGGAATCCGCGTGGTTCGACGATGTGACGAGCTCGTCGGTTCCTCCTGTCGAGTTCAAATTCAAAACGTAGAAGCGCGTGTACTTTCTCACGTGACGGTGAAAACCTGTGCACAGCGGATCGGATGGCGCGCCGCGTCAATCATTACGCATGCACGGCATCCTAAAACGCACGAAGCAGCGCGGACCAAACGAGGAGGTGTCGGTCGTCAGCTATCGCTGCTTGCTGCCCGCTTGCCGTTGTTGTTTGGAACTTTATTTGGTTTTTCTGCGCGTGAATAAATGGGGGTTTGGCACGTAATACCGGTCGATGGATCGTGTCACCTCGATCACTCACTTTTTCCCGAATTCGGGATGTACATTGTTGTCGTCTGGAAAAGGTGATTATTCCCGGTTAATGCGGGTGGTTGATTGTCTTTGCTCAAGAGACGAGTCTGTCCCCTTCTCGAGTTTTGTGATTAAGCATCGTTATTACCAGTACCATCTTCTCGCAGCGTATTTAGTACTATTTACGGATGCATAGTTTTTTACTTTATGTTAACAAATGATACATCGATGCGTTTACGTCATTTTTACGTCAAACAGGAAAATAATATAATTGCTGAATTTTTAACTAAAATCAAAATTTCTAATTGTCAAATCATTGCAAAAATCATGGCTGACGAAAGTACCATTATTAAATTTACAGATTACATCTAACTTGAGACTGCAGAGGAAGATCTTGTGACAAAATGTTCGCTGCGTCAAATATGTAAGTAACAAAATATAAATTATTTTGTAGACTTTTAAGTAAAACGCATCTATGAAAGGAAACATAGAGAGTGTCGATAGAAAAACTTATTAAGAACTTCGTGCATTTTCTTTTTAAACCCCGCTAATGAATTGTGTGACAAAAAAACAGAAAGATTGTGCAACTTAAAACCAGTGCATGCTACGTTTTCAGAAATCTAAATTTCGATAGACACACGAAAAATCTGAGATAAAGTATTCGTGCAGCAAGAATGTTTGTATGAGAGAAGACAAATTAACATTGTGCATGTGAAAAGTAGGTTCGGAAGTAAAACATAAAAAAAAAAAGAATTAAAAAAAACGCATAAAAATTAGAATTGAAGGGTTAGAGGGGGGACTTTCCGTGAGAGTCAGTATATTGTTAAAAGGAACAAGTTGAAACCACGTTTTTATGCTACATTAAGTTCCAAACAACGCAACTGTCAGTGACAGTGATTCCTCATGCACCTCCTCGTTTCGTGTACAGGTGCGCGCGTGTAATCTGTGCGTGTAATGTGTGCATAGATTTAATTAGAATAAGTACATGTTAGTGCAGTATTATTGGTAAAAACATGTAACTTTGATATCATTATCACATATGTGTTGATTAAGTTTAAAAAGTGATGATGCAAGACACAGAGAAAGGTTTAGCCACACAAATGGTGCATATATATATATAATATTTTACTTCTATGAATAAAAAAAATGGAAACAAAAATTACATCGGCTTCCGGCAGACGGAAGAGCGAAAACAGAGATAGATATGCAAAGGAAAAAAAAAAGATAAATGCAAAAACCATAACGTGTTAATGAAAGCCGTTCGTGTAGCGAGACAAGAACGAAAAAGAGATAATGCAAAAAGAAGTTAATTTCTAGAATATTTACTCTTGTCAAACTGGATGCGGCGACGATGACACACCGGCGACCTTTCACGCGATCACCATTTATTTTTTTTTTCAATCTCCGTATTCTCGGAAATAAAACTCTGCTCTCATCCTGGCTAATAAATACTCTGGGCTTATTGTCAGACATACCGCGAAATTATCAGTATGAAGATAATAGCTTCGCGCGGAAGAAGGAAGCATTACAAGTACAGTGCGCTCGTATGACGTAGGACTTCAAATAACAAATTTTCGATTATCCACGAGTGCATGATGACGCGATCGGACGATTAGCAGTTGAATTGATTAGAATAATGATACCGAATCATTACGTTACGATGTTAGTTTAAATCGTCTAATGCACGCCAATTATTATTTTAGTTTTGTAAAGTGCAAAACCAATTAATATAATTATTTGTACTTTTCAAACTTTAAATGTATCATTAGTTTTGTTAATGATGTTATTTATCACCGTGTTAGAGTTCTCTAAAAAGTAATGTGGATATTTCTACATATATATCAATGTGCAAGCATGTCTTTTTGTTTCAATTAATTTCACAACTTCCGCGCCGAACGCATATGGCTTTAATTATGACACGTTGGGTGTCAATGCTCGCGATACATTCCATTATGTAGTAAATACGCGCGTTGCGTCACATCCGATTTTTGCAATCTGATTCGATAAAATGCACGAGGCAAAGTCATTTTGTGATGTTCAGAGAAGACCTTGTTACATTCCAATTTAAATTTACTAATTTATGTTGACATTATTTTGTCTCATTTTTTGTATTTGTTATTAATCGACTTAAATTTGATATATATGTATACATTTTTTTTTTTAATTATTGCGTGCGTGTCTCTTCTCTCGCAGCCCTAGTATTATAATAGCCAGGTGCACGAGTCACCAAAGTTTTTAATTTCGCATTTCCTGCCTGCCTCTATATTAAGGGGTTATTTGTTTCCAGCTCGATTGTTTTCAGCGAAGTAGCACAGAGGACTACCTGGTATCCATTGTCGTAATAATTCGCGGATATTTGAAGGAAGCGTAATTCATCCGGATTCACGGAAACTTGTCCATCTCGATGTTCTCGGAACATTGTATTACTGAATTAACAACCAATAATTATAATAATAGTTCGCAGTCGATGGCATAAATGAAGAATGAAATTCGAAGACGAAGAAATTGTTTCGCGAATTCATTGCGAAGTTAAAACAATTAACACGCAGTATATTTTGGAATTAGCATTGCCGCAAACAATGGATACTTCGCAGTTTCCTCGAGATTAGGCAGGATTCAATAAAAATTTTGTACCTGCGTCTAAAATGATGTCCGCGACGTTGTCAAAACTACTGTAATCGTCGTATGTGTCAATGTCAGCCATGCCCAGATTGTTGCCAAATGCAAATGGCCACTTGTCATTACCTAGCGTCCCTCTGTTGGCGGACTTGCATCCGAACCACCAGTACGCGGTCGATCTTGGGAAGGCCGGTTCGTCGACATCCACCTAGCGAATCAGAAATAATTCTGTTGTGCAACGACATTTTGATAAAATCGTATTCTATGCGAACGGCATATTCCACAGTCTGAAGCGCAATTTAAGGTTCGCAGCACTTACGGAAAACGTTCGGTCGTTGAATCGATAGTACGCGTTGTCTTGGAAGAAATATGTGTAGCCCTTGTGAGTTACCGCCGCGTTGACGTGTTCCGGGATACCTTGCCAGTTCTTAATAAGCTTGGGATAGCTACTCCTCACCGGCGGCTTCGACGCCGGATCGAAGCGCCAGAATTTCGTGCCTTTGTAGAAGTAAATCTTGCCGTTGCCGGTCCACACAGTGGCCGCGTCGATGTGATCGGGGATGCCAGTGAAACCGTCGCTGATTTCCTTCGGATAATCGCCGTCCATGGTGGTGTTGATGTACCTCCAGTACTGTGTGCCCTGAAAGACGAAGTTTATTCAGTGAACAACAAGATTTTATTAATCGGCACGCGGCGCGAAAAGTGCAGATCGGTTTTTTGTTTCTAACTCTCGGCCGGATAAACAATCACCTTGAAAAAGTAAGTCTTGCCATTCCTGTATGTAAATGCAGCATCTATGTTCGACGGAAGCTCCTTCCACGTACTACTAATGCGTCGCGGATAGCCACTAGCCACACCATTGTCCGTCAATTTCCAATAATGTTTTCCTGGAAGACACATAAATTTAAATAATCGTTTTTCGCATCTTCAGCGAGATCCGAATGCGCGATGTCGCGCAATCGAAATTGCAATCGAAAGATTGCAACTCATGTAAATACCTTTGAACACAATTGTCTCGCCGTCCTTTGTGTTGAACATCGCGTCGACCTTCGGGTCTTTGCACAATTCGGGATCTTCTTCGGCGGGCGGCAACGGTCGCAGTGTTGTCGCGGAGCCTCGCGGTTTATTCGTTCTCTTCCCGTATAGTGCCTGAAATGATTTCTCTCTTTCGTATCGGATCGTACGTGTGTGTGAAGCTAATTTTTTCTCTCTCTTTTAAGCTGTGGCGTTTATGAATACGCGAAAATTTGCGTGGGCGCTTGAAAATATTGTTTTCGAGGGAATTTGAGGTCTTTGTACCTGAATAGCATCGACATCATCCCGATCTAGAATAAAATGCGGATCGTAACCGCGATAAAAGGGCGCCATGAGCGCGCTCTTGACGTCGCTATGACTCAAACCGAGGGAGTGGCCGAATTCGTGTGCCGCGACCTGAAAGAGATTGGTGCCGCGATAGCTCCTGATGGTCCATCGTTCGGAATCGTCGAAGTGAGCATCGCCGCCGTACACAGGGAAATATGCGTGTGCCAAAGTGCCGCCGGGTCCGTCGAAAGGATCGCCATCGCCGTGCTCGCCTACTTCAAATCTAATATCGATGTGAACCTGAACAGATTTCCGGACTTATGAAATATCGTTTATATTGCAAACACACACTACTGCTTAAAAGTTGAATGCATCTTACATTTTCAAGTGAATTAATCTTCTTTTATAGATGTAATTATAGTATTGAAAATAATTGACATAAAAATATATTATATAAGTTAATTTTATGATTGCATGTATTCGAAATGCTAGCAAGCAAAGCTGAATTTTTTTGTAAAACATTTAATTTTTGAATATTTCTAGTAGATGAAAATCTAAAATCACTTATTCTTCTGTGAAACGACAGTTTATAATCAATTTTTTTTCCAAAATGAAATATATGTGCTATTTTGGTGTACTGTTAATCCTAAGCTCCACTCAAAAAACAAAAAAAAAAGAAATATTAATATGAATAGAATAAAAGGTATCCAATTTTATCTAAAAGTTATAAATCTCCACTTTTAAGCGAGTAGATGTCATTGCATTTCGATTGTGATCCTACGTTTTCGTGTCCCGCTTTACGAGTGAACGTTAGATCGGTTTCGGTCGACCAAACGCCAAACGCTTTCGCGATTTCCAAGTCCACCTCTTGCTTGTTCAGACCAGTCGGATACTTGCTAATTTTGTACGTCAGATTCTTCGTACGCCATCCGGATCCTGCGGGAAAATATAATTGTTACACATAAAACGTACGAAACACGTGAAAGAATAATTGTTTTGTTTAAAAATATTGCGACTTTATCATGATTCACACGTATACGCATATACACACAGAGACCGTTGTTCCGCGGCTATTAAGTGCATCCGTTACACCGTCGCATGCCTGTTTAGCGCGATTCTGTATTACGTTGTGTTGCAATCCGCTGCATTGCGCGCACGATATTCCGACACATCCGCGGAATCTGCGATCGCCGTTGCTGTTGTTGTCGCTAGTTTGTTTATTACCCGTAAGAATAAAAATCGTGCTACGCGCATTATGCATTCATCGCGATTACAGAGCCGCGCTTTATGCAACAGTTGCGCACGTATACGCGACGATTATAATACCGTGCATCTCGTTATGCAACGATTCGTTCATTACTATGTGCGGGAGATCGGAAGGAATAAAATTCGAGGAATAAAACGGCTGAATACGTTGAATTATACAGCTCGGCATTAAGTTTTGCGGCGCGGACATTTCGTGGGATGCACGCATGGCCGAACTTAGCACCGAGGGTTCACTGAAACGTAAAGCGCACGTGCGCAGATTCAGAGTCATGGTTAAACCCGAAGCTGCACAATCGCTTATTCTGTCGATATAAGCGTTACGCGGAAGAATGTCTTTTAAAGTGACTCCTTTATTTTCCTTGAGGCGTGCCCAAAATTATCGGTACCGTTTGCACGCACGAGACAATGCGAATCGTCGAATGTGTTCTCCGACGATTATAAAGCGCTCGAAGATTCGCTTCGGATAAAAGCAAATATCGAAATCAGTTGTTATCTCGAAACGAAAATGCGACACTCGCATACGGGATGTATGAGTGCAAGGAGTTTTTTTAGTGCAAAGAAAATGATTTCGTTGGCTCGTTTGACCATTATGTAACGAATTAGGCGAAATGCAACAGTTAACTCGAGCTAATTCATACGGCTGATTTAAATGCATTTGGAACATCCGACGGACTGCTATCGCGATGTAGATCTACGTGACCCGTATAGGGTGACTCTATATCAACGACTCGTAACAGTCAGTGCGAGACTGCAGAGAGTCGGAATGCGTGATTCAGTCAGGACATCGAATGACATGTAATGCGCCAAATAATCCTTTTTGCATCGATGAATAAATCGCGGAAGATTTTTTTTCTCTTGTTATTTCGCGATGTTGTTATTAATACAATCAGCTTTCAGTCGTTTTATGTAAACATTTCCGCGATTTCCAATAGCGAATTTCTGTTGATTAGATAATCGATTGCGATAGTGGTCGAACGTAAAATTATGTCATATCCCGCGCAATTACGTCTGCAGTTTGCATTGCATTAAACTTTCTTGGATTAGTCGGCTGTCGATTATTCGTGACTTGATGCTAAATTGCTTTTGAATTGAGCCTTGTGCGTACTTTACTACTTTACTTACCTTGAAGAGCATATCTCTTCGATCTTCCGTCGGCGGCTGGTCCGACTTTGTCCTTAACGCCACATCTTGGTGTGGCCATAAGCTTAACAGTCTCATCGTTCAATTCGCCTGAAATAAGAACACGAAATTATTGTTGAACATTATGATTCACGTGTTTGTTGTAAGAAAATCACTTTTTAACGAAAATTAATTTGTCGTTTGCTGGCTCTTAATGATTTTTTTATTACTATCGAGTGATCGCGTGATAAAAGTAATTAAATTGTCGGATCCTCGAGTATATCGATTCTCGAGATATAGCCTGTTGCGGTGTGTATATTTTTTACAGCGAGTACGTCTGTGCGCGCCGCCACGCATACGTGCGTGTGCTTATTTCCGCACTCTGTGCACGTATTAATTTCTCATGCATGTATGCATAATATGCATACATAGTATGCCGGGAATACTCGTGCATATGTGCATACGCCGCCACCAGTTTCGTAGCGCAATCACGCGACTTGACACTTACAGACTCATCGTGCTTGTCGGTGCGAGAGATTTCAAGCGCAATATATAATAGGGATTGTTTCTTTTTCGGATTTTAACTGTGCAAAAGAGATGTGTCTCGTCCCGCGGAATAATTCGGCAACATTTTGCTTGTTGATTTTTATTTGACAGGTTTTATTAACGCTCTTTTATCCATTTTGCGCCTTTTATGCCAGAATTTGTCTATCACAAAAACAATTCTTGCCGCAGCAATCGTAATCAAATCGTGATGACACTTTCAGAAACAATGAAAATCACGTAATGACTGTAAAGATATTTGTTGTTTTTGCTTTTTTTTTTTACAAATTATATCCATTCGTGGCTGTGAAAAATACATTAACAGCGTAGATTATAGCCGATAAACACGTTTCATCTCGAATAATGCCGCCACCGATGGCCTACAATTTCACAGTTAGATCACTCTTCCGTTCACCTTCGGTTTTTATTGGGTTCCATAGCTTGTTCCGTCCTGGGCTCTCTTGTAATACCATTAATGATCGGCGCGAGTTGATTTATCTTTTTCACTTATTTTTTTCGCAGCTTTTGTACACGTTTCTTTAGAGTGTCGCGCCCGAGAAATGGAACGTGATGAAATGCAATTTCTCAATTAACTTGCAGCTATTGGGAAACTTTATTCGGACAATTTTTACTAATCGCTATCGCAACGCACAGTTTCTTTTTCGGGCCTCGAGATTTCTCGCAACTTTCCTAATTTCGCAATAACAATTTTTTGAAATACCTTCTGACGGACCCACTGTATGCAATGACTCACCGACGGAGCGCCAGTTTGATTTCGGTCGCGTTTCATTGAGTTCTGAATCATCGCTGCTCATCGTCATTAACGGTTCGCGTCGATAGGGAATCACTCGTTGTTATCGTATTTCAAACGGTGTTACACTGCATATGGACGTATTTCTAGAATTTCACACGCTGCTATTTTTTTTCTTTTTTTCCAATCACACTTATACGACACTGACTAAACGCATAATTCGTAATTCTCTCAGCGTGAGTCATCAATGACACGGACTCCATCAAACCGGTAATAAACGATAAATTGACATCGTGCAAAATTATGTAAATATATAATAATTAAAATTAAACTTAAGCGAATAACAAAAATCGATATATACCTGTTATGTTAATTCCGGCGAAAGCTTGGAATTCTTCTATCGCTGCCGTCAGCTTCTCCGAGCTCAGGAATGCACCACTTTCCGGATTTATCGGCGGCAGATAGCCATATTGCGACAGATAATTCTGCAACATTGAAAAAAGACACTTTTTAATACACATTTATTTCGGGTTAATTCATTGCACTGGCTGTTTGCGCCCGTCGCCAGACTCGATATTTCGGTAATCTCTTGAAGTGTGTATCTATTGTTTATTCGTTCAAGGTAAAGTTACCGTATCGCGAAATCGCAGACACAGAAAAATCCGCGCCTCGCTCCGCAAAGAATCGGCCTTTAAACTCTGTGTCATAATGCAGCCTTGACGTTTTACGAGCGACGAAGGCGAAGTAAACTAAAGATACGGAACTTTTCTTATCCGCGTGTGTAAATTTGCCGTGGCCTTCGGATTTGTCGGTTCTTTTTGGATCAATAGTATTGTATAATAATTACAGTTGCAATTGCACAGGTTATAAATTTGCGCACGCATGTTGACTGTGCCGTCGCACATGTTGCGCGCCGAGGTCTTCAATTTTTGCTAATGCACGCCTCTCTTATCGTTCATGCGACGTGAGAATACCGATCATACGTGACATGTTTCTAATTCATCATATAAAACGCAGCAGCTCGATGTTGCACGAGACGTGTTCTTTTCTTACAAAGCCGCGTGTTACAAACACGACGAGAGATCATCATTAGAGCCAATTCGAGTGACGTTATATTTGAAGTATAGATTAGCTCTTCAAGAATGACTCATCCATTATATCGAGCACAAGAAGGACCATCTATCTTTCTAGAGTGTGTTTTAGATAATATTGGAAGTCTTGCTGCAATCAGCTGTTTTCACAGCCTGATATTATTATATCATTGTGTAGAAGAGTTAACGAAAATCGATCTGCTGTCGCGTGTATTCTTTCCAAGCTGACGCTGTATTGATTTCCTTCGTGCAAGATTGCCTTTTTTGTCGCATAAACATATTCGTAATTACATGTCTCAGGCGAAATATTTCTGGATTGCGTCCGACGATATTATTGCAAGTCACTGTGTTTGCAAAGCGTAAAGTGCACGAGAATTATCAGTGCTATCCGCAAGATCGTAAATTAGACAGCAACGATCGAAACTGAGAACTGATAACGGTAAAATTTATTGTTATTTAATCACACTTACGCACCACCTAATTAATACTCCGTCGAATTACACGACACGAGTACCGAAATGTATTTATTGCCGAATCGTGCAAAGGGAAACGAGCGATTTGTCCGGCGATATTCTACACTTTATCTCGTTCGCATATTTTCAAAAACAAGCTTACTTTATGAATCCACACTGCACTTTGATAATCTTGAAAAATTTCTATTAGTGAAAGTAAAAGAGTAAAGGGACATTTAAGGAATCTAATCTTATGAAAAAAAAATTCTTTTACTTTTCGACTTTCCTAAACAAGCAGATGACAATCTCGCGGATACCATGATAAAATACGATTAGGCTTTGTTACTTGCGTGAAGTGGATCAGAAACGTGATCTGCAAGCGTGACTGTGAAATTACGAGGTGAGTCATTGTCGCCAGCGGGAGGACATAAAGAATATATTCACTCAGATATTTTCGCGGTAGCGATCTCCGACGCATCCCTGCCGTTCTGTGTAGCGGTGCAAAGTTTCCAAGCGCAGCCTTGAATCGCTGATTCATACGTTAGGGACGAAATTCGACTTTCACGAACAAACATCCACGTCGAAATTAATTTCCGTAATCATCGCGTGCTCAGCTTTCGATGCTCTTGTCTTAACAAAGTTTTGTTATCAAATAGTTTCAGTTTGATTTAAAAATGGGACAAACACGTGCAGTCTTTTGCGAACTTTCGAGCGTGCGCTTCCGCTAATATGAGCAACGATAGTGTGTATTTACATTTAATTCCTGGCAATCTTGTTTTCTGCCAATTGAATGAGTGGAGCGATTTAATGCGCCTACACGATTCGCAAATTTCGCAATCTATTTCGGGCAAGTCGGGCTTGTGGGGATTTTTATGAATGAACGTAAGTAGGGTGTGCTTGTACTCATGTGCGTGTGTCACGCGTGAATAGACACTGCTCCCTCTCTCTCTCTCTTTATGCTTCGTGTGCGGTGTCTGCGCCTGATTACACGTATAAGTCGAAGCACACACGGTACGGTTGAATCAGCCAAGTGGCTTTCCGCGAATCTGATCATGACTTGGCTCGCCAGCGCTACACCGGCTGCCGTTGCGCTGAATAGCGGAGTCGCATGTTCATTGATGGAGGCATAAGTGGAGGCGTCGCTGAAATTTAATCGCCAACGACTTCTGAGCGGATGCTGTCCGTCGATTGCCGGATATCGGAAGCGATTCTTCGCGAATTAACGCGCGTAGCCTTCGCCCTGTCGTATAAATATCGTTCTTCGTAACATTGAAATCCTTCATATATCTAAATTGTTCGTTGAATTTCGAACTGTCGACAGTTTGATAGCTGAAAATAACGGAGACAACAATTACAAGCCACGAGCACGGAAGAGCACGCGCACGCGATGATTATTCGGATGTTTCTTGTGTAATCGGAAGTGTGCGCGTGGAAAGATGCACGGATATACTAGTAGGAGCCTTGGCTACAATTATATTTGATGACTGCGTTGAATCGTGTCAGAGTACTTTGCCGAGTATAACCGTAGATCTCCGCAGTATGTATCATTGCAAGAAGTGAGCCACCCACGTGCATGACTATATCCATTAGAGCTTTAACTCAGCCTCAAGCTTGTTCTTCTCCTCCCGAAAGCTTCCTTCGCGACAAAGAGAAATGCTGTAGGTGCAATTAGAAAATAAATATTACACATATGCGCGGACGCGATTAGTAAGAATTGATTAGGTCATTCCTTCGACGTTATGTCACACCCGTTTTCCGTAAACACGATTAAGTCCTTGTTGCTTAATTGCATTATTGAGTGATGATCGTGTGGGATATTTCTAAAGTATCCTTGCATTACTATCTATGAATTCAATCGCTTTAAAAAAAGAAAACCACAAGACTCTTGTGTCATGAATTTCTCGCAGGCGCGTTGTACAGCGGGACGACGCGTTAAATGCGAAATGTTTTGTATTCAGGTTATCTTGATTTTGTTGTTCGTACGACACTTGTAAACACTTACGATAATGTTATTTCGATCATTTAGCTCACGCTGAATAATATTATTAGCTTGGTGAATTTGGAAATCGCGTTTATCATCGACAACAATTACGATATCGTCACGTGATTAAATATATATAAGGAGAAATAAATTTTTCCCATTTTTAATCCTTTCGGAGACTAATAAAGTACAAAAGACGTTCATAAAAATCTTGCTCGCTGTAAATGAAACTCTGTGCTCGTTTTCATGACCTGAAAACTAGGTCAATGGGATTTCGTGTTACTTCTAGGCGTATCGTGACCACTGTCTTCTGTCGCAGTTTGTAAGAGTTTCTAATCTCCGAACGCTATCTCGCTCTAGCAGCGTTGTAGAATTAAATCGCCTATATATGAAGTACGTTATTAATTTGTTATAGCATGAACTGGTTTAGTTCTAAGACAAAATGCTGATTATCAACTTAATTGAATTTAGCATTCCGTTCTTACATCGTTTATTTTTCTAAATAGATTTAAAAGTTTATTCTTACTAAACGTTGCTAAAACAGGTGAAAATATTTCGGTCTACTGTCGATTTCTGTGATTTGTAGATAGCAGGATAGCGCAAGGGCCAAATGTTTTATGCTAATGGAAATTTTAGCAATTCTATTTTCAACGAGTATGACGTCTCTGTCGAATATCGGTTAGAATCATGTCTGCAATATTACTGGTGTCGACAAATTCTGTCCGATCGATTCCGATTGTTTTCTTTATGATTATTGACGATAATGAATATCATTTTCGCGTAGCTACCGATTTTACTTCACGATTTCATCGAAAGTAAAAAGCAATTTGTGTCACACTTGAAGCGTACGCATGCGTGAACGAGTCTACATTGTCACGTTTATGTACATCCTCTATCTGATCGTGTTATCAATGATAACGGCGTTGTTACTTCGTTAGTCGTCCGTAGATGTCTGCTTTTTCTCAGCAACTAAATACGAATCTTGTAATAAAATTTACACACGATTTTCTGGCCGGTGCTCTTCTTCGTAATTATTACATTAATTTATTTGAATTAATTTTTAAATCGCACACTAAGTTCTTAAAACAAAGCCTATTTTTTTGACATAAGTTATAGATAAAATTTCCACCTGTTTATCGGCTACGATCAATATTTGATCATCTAATGTGAAAGCACGGATAGATATAGAGATAATGAACGAGTTTCAAAAGCCAATTCAGGCGTGATACTTGTTTCACGACAAAAGAAAATGCTTCTTTCAGTGCAGCGCGTTATAAGTAGGCGGATGCGAGTCGAAATTTCTTAATTCATGCATACAGAATATTATAAATTTTCTAATTTTCAAAAAATCACATCTATTTCTTGCATTCCTCCTGAATTATATATAACTTCACAGTTGTGTCTGCTATCTATAATATTTTCTTTGCTTTCGCATTTTTGCAACTCCACCTAGATAATGTTCCGAGCGATGACTCTTCAGATAAAATAAGACTTTCCTCTTATAAGAATTATATACTGATTTCTTACAATGAACAACTATATAACTAATTAACACTATTTGTTAATTAATAAATATCAAAGCGGTTGTTCAATTTACTTTGGCGCTTAGATTATAAATCTTGTGGTGATTTTTGTATTTTCTTATATTTTTCTGATAACCAAGAGACGTGTATGAATTTTGAGAGCACAGGATTCTAGACAAAGAGCAATTTTCTTCTAACACGCCATTTGATCGTAAGATTTTCAAGCTGTGATCGTAAAATAAAAGGAAGAAGTGCATATAAGTGTCGAGCAGCGCACCGGCCTTGAAGAGGTCTTTGTCAACGCGAACGCCATCAGTATTCCACGCTTTCGCATCTTCTTTCAAACGTTGTTTGAATATAAAAGATAATTCCGACTATCCATCGTTGCTTTGTACGATATATTTTCCCGTATGTAATCTCTCGCACAGTAGCCTTTATATTTCAGAAAAGTAGCATAAATTACATTTCGGAGGATAAATTTAAAGTGTTTGGTTTATTTCGGTACACTAAATTCCCAAGATAAAGTCTATTTTTTTCCATAAACTAACGATAAGATTTCTTATCAGCTATCCACAATAGTGATATTTTAACTAATATAATATCGAGTTTAATCTCTTCCATTTTCTTGGTTAGTTAAAACTAGAACTAAATTAATATGAAAAATATGACGTTTGTTAAATATCAAAAGAAATCGCGCATTTAAGGATTAATTGAAGCAATTTATTCTGTCGCGATGTTATCTTTATTATGATTCGCAGTTTTGTCACGTTGCATCGACAGAAAGGAGACTGATCTGATTGATTTATGCAACTGGAAAAGTATTAAGACTTTTTTTATGTAGAATATTATATCGATCACTTTATTACTTGCATTTCTTGTAGATCGATAGATAAATCGATCGATTGATTTTGTCTGGTTAAAAATTGAATTGGTCAATGAATTGAATTTATGTTTTGCAAAATAATTAATTTGAATGACAAGATTTTTATCGCGCTCAAACTGCGAAATCGGTAAACGATAAAAGTGAATGATTCATTGGGAAAAAAGTTAAAAATTGCTGATTCAACAACAAATGCGGAAATAAACTAGTTTGGTTCAGAAGTAACGCGACTGAATTGACGTTGTGTGTCAGATGAGTCATTTGGGTGCAAACGTCAGAAATGTGAATTTTTCCTGCTTTTTACCGATAAGATATATATACATTGTCGTTTCAAGTTTCAACAATTGCGTCAATGTAAGTTGATGTTATTGTGCGTAAACAATGGTGCGGTTAATAATTTAGATGCGCATTTTTCTTAAAAACGAAAAAACTCGAAAGACTTCGTCATCGAAATTTGCTCAGTCAACAAAATATTTGATGAACAAATGTTTAAATAAATGTAAACCAATCGAGATTGACAGTAAAGTACACTACAATTTGAATCCAAAGAACAATTTTTAAGAGCAGCTGTTGATTAGCATGTATTACATAATGGACGACGCACGTGCGAATTTCACGTGCTATCGGACTGTGCATAAATTGTGGGGAAGCGCTAGCGGAAATAGAAATAGCGGTTTCATTAAGAAATCACATAGCCACTTTGACACGTAATAATTATACCGCGTACGCGTTGAACTGTATCTCATGCGCAATTAGCATAAAAATAATGAAGGAACGAAACTGTCGATTTCAGCGAGCGGAATCGCTGCGCTTTTATCTAACAGTTCGAAGGCTTTACATTCATATTCTCTAAAATTCTTCGAACTTGTATGATTACGTATTGTGGAAGTTAAAAAGAACTATCTATGCCATTAGTAAATAATGTCATTGGTGACGCGTGTCTTATCAATAGGTGTCGTCGCATGTCTTCCATATGTACGGCGCCGCTAATCACCGCGCACCATAATTTTTTTTATCCTGCTCGTCCCATTCGTGCCCGATACGTAACCGATCGTTCGTGCTCGAGAACAAATTAGCGTGATCCAACTTGAGCGAGAAAATCGCGTCTCCGCTTTGTTTTTCGATTCGCTCCAACACGAAGAGCTGCGTGTACTTGACTCTCGAGAATACATTAATTTCCGCGCACGCCCGATCGCCAATCCCGTTATATTTACGATTATTTCGTATACGCAAGATGATCTTTGATTAACGGCATTCGCTATTTATATGCTTGTTGGATGGCGGAAGTTACTTGAAGGCTTCAATGCTAAAATTGCAAGTGCGATTTCCGAACTGATTTTTCGGCAAAGATTCTCTTCTTACGATCGGCGGGATCGAAAGAACGGCGATGCCGAGCGGATGGCTGCTAAGTCGGAACGCTCAGAGAGTGAAATGTCAGATTGAGCGACGGATGAGAATATCTATGATTGATTCGTTAATATTCCGATGGCGACCGGTCCGTGTTCGGACTATGGATCCGCGATGACGAAGGCCAATACATACGATCTTCTGTGCGATTTATTTCCGTGTTAAGGTACATACATTATTTACAATTTCCTAGTAGAGAAAAAGACGCGCGATGACTTAGCATCTTGCCGAGAAAATTATTGGAGCAACTGTTTGTCAGAATTAGCGGTAGAACTTTGCTTCAATCTCATGTTATTTTAATGATTCTTGAAGCGCAATTCAAAACATTTAAACAAGCAAGGTACTTTCCTTCCGAATGTGTAGATCTGTGCAGAAGTTAAAGCTTTGATATTTTAAGGCCTTAGATTTCAAGTGTTTTCACGTTTCGATATATATAGAAAAGTAATAAAAATTAAATAATCTATATGTAATAATTTTGTTTTTAAGAAAAATAATGAGAATTATTGTTGTTACTAATTTATTTCTGAGTTACTTTAGGTTTTAGATTATTCATGTTCACCTGTCAAGATATTTTCCTGCTTTAGTATGCGCATCGAGACAGTAATTACTGCCTGGTTATCTTTTTACAATCGTCGCATTAAAAAAAACGCATCTGCTGACGCGTAACTCGATGAAACGAATTATTATGCATTGTTACTTTTTGTGAATAATAGTCCAGGTTTCCACTTTGCTTCTTAAGTTGCTACGCATTTCTGAATTAATTGAAAAATAAACTCGAAATCTCAATACTGCAAATTTCAAATATTATTCATATTTATCAGCTAGCGAAATAAGTAAATGCAAGATATCGCGTTTTATACATTCAAGATAACATATGAGGGGAGGGGATCTTGCGATCACTTACATCTTTACATATTTGTTTATCTGCATTGATAATTACTTTATTATAGCGTCAATTATAGGTTGAAGTCTTAACGCAAAGCTCGTTAAATGTTAATGTCAATGTTAATGCACAATGTTAATGTCAAACGTGATTAAAATGAAAAACAAAAATTGATATAGCAAATCACGACAAATACTCCAAATACGTTTATAATAATTTATTAGTAATTTATAGTACTTTATTTTAAAAATAAGATTATTAATCAATTAATTTTTTAATTCCATATTTAAAAATATAAAAATAAAATCGTAAAATAAATATTTTATGAGATAAATATATTTTAGGACAGAATAAATAAAATTAAGAAATGTTATAACTCGAAAGCAAGCTAAAGTCGGACATAAGTTCGTCTACTTTATCATTTTTAAATATTGTATTCATCCTTTAAATATTTTCAACATATTACATTACATCTCGTACAGTTTTTAAAGCCAAGGACATTGCACGGAGAAAAAGAATTTTGCTATCGTAGCGAAATTTTCGTCGCTATGGCATATTAGATGTGATAGCGCGACAAAAATTTCAGCAAATAAAATTATTATTCGTAACAAATTTCTTTGCTGTTCGTATAATAACTAACATATTTTGCTATGATAGCGTAAAGTTTTCTGTGCCAGCAAATTCTTTTTTTTCTTCTACACATCGTTGAAGATAGCCCGGTGGCTGATATAATCAGTGTTCTCGATATCAGAATCAGATAAACGCTTTCCTTAGAATGTTGCTTGCGCCATCAGCGGAGCACGTATCCAATGCGAGTACGCACAATACGCGATCGCGCGTTACTCATATGTGACACATCGCAAGGATTAAATGTGGTCTCCGAATATTTCTTTTAAATGTCGGACTCGCCGCACGTCGCGAGATGTAAACACGAGACGGCGAATAAATTCAACTGTTACAAGACATCATCCACCCTTGACATATTAGAAAATAAAATTCACACTTACCGCAGCAGTGGTGTCGCTGATGACGACATCGGCTGGTGCCGCTTCCGCGTTCGCGTGCAAAGCGAGGAGCGCTATCGCCATTAGATAGCCGTCGGCATTTCGCCTCCACGAGAGAATTTTACCGTATCTCATCATGTTACCAACGATACTGCCGTATCGAATCCGCAATAATCAGTGGCGCGCGTTTCCACTTCCGGATCGCGCTGGATAAACCGCGGGGTTTCCCTCTGACACAGCGTCGGTGCTCCTGTTCGCCCGCTTCTTTCACAGAGAACACTGAATACACACGTGCTTGCAGAATGACACCCTCGAATTTGCAGAGCAGCGACGAGATCCACGCTAAAGTCAATCGATTTCAACCACCCTCCCGCTTTAAACTGTTTGTAGGACAGCGCGCTGCGAGGGTGTCGACAGGTTTCGCCCCCTTGTACTCGATTCTACTCGCAAAGGAAACGTCGTTTTCAGAGCGTAGGTTCCGGGTAGAGTTACCGGCTGGCAGGGTGGTCTAAAAACGTGGTTGCCACGACACTATCGATCTCGTAGTGTTTTCCTCACGCTAATACTTCGCCACAGGACTCCTTCGTTCTGTTGCATCGAGGGCGACTCTTACGTGGTGTGCGTGATATATATATATATATATGTATATATATATATGTGACACGCACCTCGTTCGATTTTCACCGATGGTAACCGACCACCTTTCGGTGATGTGCGATAAGTTCGACGAAACGATCGAGGAAATTGAGCGAAGGAATAGAGAAACACGCGGTGAGATCGATAATATACTAAAAGAATGGATCACTACGGTGGCCCGTGTTGAAAGGAAAGGAGGAACCGACGAAAAGCGCGCGCGGCTACGCGGAGCTAATATCGGAGTCCACCGCCACTCTGAATCATAATCAGTCCGCCACTGACTTTTATTGAGACCTCCCACCATACAGCCCCGCTTGATGGCCACGGTCGTCAGTCGCCCGCACCACGGGGCGCTCCTACACGTGCACGCACATGTGCGGAGTCGTTGTGTTCATGCGCAACGATTTGCTCTCAAATCGGATGCAAAAGATATTAGATAAATGCAGTGGCACAATCAGGTGCATTAATAGGGACCGGAAAACATTTCTTTATAATATTTAAAAAAACATATATAATTAATAGCGTTTGCGACCGAATTGATTTTGATCGATTCGGGAGCGATAAACTGTTACTTGGACCATCTTTGTCGATAAAAGATTTGAATTTATATCAAAATGGCGATTGATCGCTTTCAAATCGAAAACCGTTCAGTCGAAAACGCTATCGTTTAATGTGTTTCGCAAAAAAATAATACGAATCGTATTGCGAATATACGAATTTTATTTCTAGTCTCTCAACAAGATTTGCCCTGCAATTATTATTATATCTAGTTATAATTTATTACATTTTATATTCTTTCGATTTTTTACTCAAGATGAAACTGTAGAAGACCCCTGTGCCTCGTTACGTATCTCTCAGAAGTGGTCTATATTTTTAATCTTCGACAGATGATTGTGACAAATGTCAAGTCTCGATGATTCACGAGAAAAGATAAGACACTGTCGTGTTTCTTACATCTTTTTTTTCAGTCGCGTAAAAATAATGAACGAATTTACGATGAAAAGCAGAGCTCGATTTTCCTATTATTTTTCTCCTTGCATGATATTTTGAATTCGAATGCCTCTAGATTTTCATCTCTAAATGGAAACTTTTATGTCGGGAGGTTGTATAGACAACTTTGTGACTCATTCGGGATTTCGGTTGCCTTTCGTTCCCAAGAATACCTTTAGCTATACCGACGACCGCAAACGGATCCCAAACCGAGATTGATGCATGAATTGTCAATGAACCGCTATGCAAGATTAATGAAATTAGTCACACTAGATCTAATGCGATGTGGATGTTTTAGTTGCATAATAATTTAAAATGCTCATTATACGCGCGAATTAATATTCGATGTCTAACAAATTAATATATAATATTCATAGATAACGATCGCGAAATAGAGATTTTCGGCGTTGATTTGTCGGCATACACATGACCACAACGAATACAATAAAATGCTTTCCCCTTTAGTCATCTATGCTGGATGATGTATAGAATATTTATGTGCACTAATCAAAACCGCGAATTGTCAAAATTTCATTACAGAAACAATAGAGTATATCGAACGAATGAATAAGTGCGATTATCGCTTTGTGCAATTGAATTTTTTCATGAGCAAGTAAGTAATAGGTGTTATTCATATTTCCTTCCTTTTTCCTCTTTCTTTTAATGCAATCCATCCGATTTCGGCATTTGAATTCTAGTGTTTTCGATCTTTCTATTGCTTCATCTCGATTCTATTTTCATCGAATTGGCAGATTCTTCTTACATGAACAAAAGACTTTGTTCTTATCATTTCAGGCGAATGTAGTTGCCACGAGAACTATAAAATTTTACGTACAAAATGTTTTAACTTTTTATTAAAAAAAATCTGATTCTAAGACCTCTTTAGTTTCTTTGTAAGGGTTACTGCGTGTTTTTTTTTTTATATATTCGAACGAACAAGAATATCAATTCACATTTATTGTACGTGACGATAGGAGCATGCAGTTATTTTGCCTCGACTTCTACGGATCGGTAGAGTGTAAAGACGGATTATTACTTACATCCAAGAAACTTGCTTTATGGAACGTTAACGTGAAATATTACTCGTTTGCGTGTTGTTGATTTTTCTTAATATCTTGTACATCAAAGATAGAAAATTTTACTGCAGTTTTAACGTAGCATTGATTACTAACTCTTAAATGTAGCACTTCCAAAGAGTTGACACGTGCGCGCGCATATTCGCGCACATATGCTGTCAGTTGAAATATTTTTTTATCGTTTATAATAAATTCTATAAAGGGTTAAAGACACTTTTGTCCTTGAAGTCGGTCCTCGCGCTAGGCGTGCCTGCTTTTCAATAGAGAAGAGCCGAGGATGGGCTAAATCAGCTCGAGACGATCGCGCGGTTTCATGCCGCGCCCAAAAATTATATATTTTACTAGTCCTCATTTATCTTTCTTCTTTTTGTCGCGCTGCGCTATAATCCTAATCGTTTATCGATTCAGTTGACTCATTTGATCCCTTCGGTCGTTCATCTCGGTCTCGGTTCACCTGCTCAAGGTCATCGTCGCGCCGCAGGTCAATCCATTTCATTTTTAATGACTGAAAAGTAGCGGCAATGAATGCCGTGTAATGGTGAGAATTATAAATATTCGCATATAAACTTTTAACCGATGCTTTATCGGTTTATATCTGGATCTTTTTTTTTTTGCGACAACTATTTGCGGAGTTATAACTGGCTTGTTAATCATTTATGATGTTTCAAAATATTTTGTATATTTCATATTATAAACTTTGAATGAAGAAAGTAAACAAATCAACAAATTTATGTCACAGAAACTTTGACAATTTATGTTAATGTAATTCGACGAAGCGTATGAAGAAATAATACATAAACTGTAAGCAATAGTTAAAGTTCTTTTTTCAAGAAGTAGAATGGATTATACGCAGATTGCGGAAATTAACTGCTGGAAACTACTAATGAAATTACTTGCTCCGTGCGTTTATGAATGATTCATCGTCGCGCGATTCTTTGTAAAAAGGCGAACACTCGGAAGTATCATCCATCCGTGAAATCGCTTCAAGAAATGCTCTCTCATAATGATTTACGCTGGTAGTAAAACCTTAAATTTACGCAGACCTCTTAAATTTATGCAGTGCTCGAATGATAAAAAATGCTTCATAGATTTGCATTCGAATTTTAACTAAACCCGACAGAAGCGGCTCTACGACGAGCGATAAAAGATGCATTCTTTTAACAACTTTATAACGACAACATTTCCTGGCTCGAATGCAGACAGAAACATGATTGGAAATCTAATTCCGAAGTTGGCGTTGCATATAACACTTCTCTTGTCAGTATACGGAAATACCGACACTTGTTGCACGATAAATATTGAAGGGCGCTTTTCTTGTGGCCGATGAGTCAGCAATAGTTCAGCGATCGTTCGCGGCAAAACGAATGATCCATGTGTCGCCTGAAAACTCTTCAACATTGCCAAATCGTATCCGAAAACATGAGACGTAAAAGTGCAGTAATAAATTTTAGCAGCGAGTAGTTTTGTAAAAAGCAAGCGGAAATCCTGCTTTACATATTCAGGATCTAACAGTTTTTAAGATTGCGCCTAGCCTAAAAATAATCGCGAAGTTCGTGTGAGAAATCGGCATTCCCCAAATTTCTTATCGCTGCTGTTTTTTATCCTCTCGCGTGTATCGCGCTCGATCGTCCTTATATTACGTCGTTAACATGCAGGTTTCGCTCTCGAACGGCTCGCGGTAATAAATCATTTCTATGCGAAAATCGTTTGTGCAATTATGCGCAAGGTTCATGCGCGATGCACATGCATCGTATTATTTCCCTTTCCCGTTTGATTCACATGCTGCATGATGGACTGCCCGCAAAGGTCACCATGACGCCTGATAAATCTACGATGGAAGTATTATTGTGCCACCTTCCTATTAGACAAACAATCCTTTATATTCCGCCGTTGATACCGCGCGGCGTCTGAACATCCGTGACTTTGTATCCGCAAAGATCGCCTATCGTGAAGTGAATCATTCAATCAAGCGCGGATTCTTCCCATGATGGAAACTTACGTTAATTAATGGTAACACACGTCTTCAGTCTTCGCGGAATGAAAAAATTCCGTAGAGCTCAAAACCAAGAATACGATGTCAAACGGTTGTTGACTCAAGCCCGATCGCGCTGAGAAAGAAATAACACAATCGAACTTCTGCAGATGACAATCACGAGACGTGAATATCAATTAAACGCACAAGCGTTCTTTCAGTCTTCTCGGATCAATCGAATCGCTTGGACACGACGTTTACAGAGCATGTAATGTATAGGATCTCAAAAAAAAAGCGTGGATAATCGCATTTCCGTGCGATTCCGTGCATGTGATTCGAACGATGTTGTCACGTAACCACGTGCCTGCAGTTACTCGCCTCGCAAATTTGTACAGTCGAATGACGGAAGTCGAAATGACATTGTTCGAGCTACAGCTAGGAAATCGATGTCCACTGAGATTATTTCATGTGACATTTTGTTGCAAATTCCGCGTAAAGAAATAAGCGATTTCCCGTAGAAAATTCGAAAGAAACGTTTTTGATTTAACAATCGTCTTGTCGGACATGTAATGTGTCTCGAAATACACATACTATAACTCGAAAAAGACAAAGTAATTATGAAATGTGAAAAAATAAATCGATGATGTAAAATAAAATTTTTTTATACTACACTTTATTTTCAAGAAAATCGACATTTTTTTTATTGTAATGACTTTCATCAATCTTATTACATGTCAATTTGTCTTGTTAATAACTTAATTAATATTAAATAAATATCGAAAATAGAATATTTTATTTAATAAAGCAACGTAAAATGATTTAAGTTGAAAAAGTTGTATATAACATATTAAGATTTATTTTTATTTCAACTCACAATAAAATATTGAAGATCAATCAGACTTAAAAGAATACGTAAATACGTAATAATAATTTTCCAATTTTCAAAATCAATTTTCTTGAAAACAAAATTCAAGAATAAAAAAATATGTATTCTACATTATTTATTTATTTCTTCATGTTCCAAAAGATATTACGTCATTTCTTCTATCACTCTGATGTGACAGAAACGTAAAGATTGTATCGAGAAAACGCAATCGATTTCGCTACTTGATCACAATTATCATCGCTACACTCGTTACGTTACCAGTTTCCAATTCTACGCTTCGTTTCACGAATTTATCGCAATCGCCGGTTTGCAAACGATACACTATGTTTCATTCCGAGTCCGTACGCCGGCCTTTTGCGTCAAATGCATTAATTCTTTTCAATGACGTCGGATATTTTCGGCGGAAATATCGTAATTCAGCATACGCAAATATTTTCTCTCTCAGTCGCTAAAAATGTCCTCGAAGGGAATGCATCTTGTTTATCAGACGGAACCGACATTCCATAGTCTTCACGATTCCCACCATATTTTGTCATATCGCGGCTAGTAGAATAGGAATAGCAATGATTATATTGTTGTTACCGATGAGAAAAGAGAAACCACAGTGTGCAGCTCTGGTGCAAAGGTCCAGATGTTCAAATCGTAGAGCTTATCTGTCTTACATCCGCACTTCTACGTACGCGCGTGTCGATTGCGCTTGAAAACTTCGACGAACTATTTGCGTCCCAGTTTAACTCGGAGAGCGATAAGATTTTCGCTGAAATTAACAATCGTATGCGGTTACGCAGCTCGTAAAGCTTCGCGAAAACTGATCGCTGACAATAATAAATAAAAGAACCTCCGACCGAACGTTTTTCTCGTTTGCTCATAAAGAACTCGTATTCGCGAACAACGACGATGATTTGCATTCGCGCGCATTCTTATATCGCGCATCCGCCAAAAGAGACTGCGTTCGAATGCATAATATATTCTGGAGGCGGTAAGATACTTTAGATAATAAGATACTTAACTTTTTTATTTCGACGACATTGTGCCCGGGCCTTTCTTCTTTGTTACATTTCGATGCATTTAAGGTGCGGAAATATTACTGGGAATTATTCGGGGAAAAAAAAAAATAAAATTAGCAAAATTCGCTTTGTTTTAACGCGGTAATCTGTAAAAAGGTCTCAGAGACATCATTAAGGTGTGCATCTGCATCCACGCGGAATAAAGCGTTGTGCGGCGCGCGCTCTTTTGTCCACCTTTACGGTCCGTCGCGCATTACCGGTATGAATACGAGAAGAAAAAACAAAAATGGCGCTACGTATTTATACATTATATCGCATATATTATGTATACTTCATCTACGAAGACAAGAGCGGACGGAGACGGCAATCGGTGCTGACCATGGGCAAGTTCACTGATCCTATCGTCTTCGGCGAGTGTACGCTCTTTCATCGCATCGCGGCTTTGTGATGCAAAATGTACACGCTCGCGACTCGCTCGTGTCGAGAGAAAGAGGAAGAGAGAGAGAGAGAGAAAAGACGAAGGAAAGGAGAAAAAGGAGACGACTTGAAGTCTACCTTACACCCGAGAGAGAGAACATGGCCATGATGTGAAAGCAAACGAGGGGCCATGCGTTACATTTGAGTCTGTTCCGCGGCTGCTGCTGAATGTCAATGCCTGAGACGATTCCTAGAAGTGAAATAAACCAGGCTCCTCCGCGCGCATCCTGGACCTTTGTATGAGAAAGCGACATTAAACGGCGCATCGGTTTAAATTTAAAACAACATACTTTTGAAAAACCGAACCGCTTTCATTATTTCTATTTAATATGTGCCTTTAACGCGGGAATGATGTTTTCTTTCGAAAGATCGCGTCGACTGTTTTCGGATTACCATTTAAAAATCGCTGTTATTAACAATACATCGCATAGATTAATATGCGCTTCGTTATTTTATTTTCTGAAAGAAAAGAGAGAAATAAAAAATAGTTTTGATGACAGTAGTTTAACACTCCCACGTGATCATTTCTTCGGGTTAAACGAACATTTCGGCAGGACTGAAATAATTACGAACGATTGAAATAGATCAATAATCAAATGAATATCGTGCACGCTGCGCGGTTTACACGAAAATAAGTACACGGAATACAACGGCATTCGCGATGTTACTCACAGAACGTCACGATGCGTCAGCGACAGTCAGCGAATATTACAAGCATTTACCTCCTGCTCGAGGCAAATAACGACAGTCAGGGCCACTGAAGAGGCATATTAATTGCAGACATCTCTCATCGATAAGCCGGTCTTCTCCAGCTATAAGAGAAAAGACACGAGTGCATGCGCGCGCGCGCGCTTCTGTTTGCGATAGACGGGCTCTAGCTACCCTCTTCTTGTGCGCACATTTTCGAGGACAAAAAGAACCTTGGAAAGTTCTTCGGAGACTAGAATTACCGATGTATTACCGCAGGAGTCACCCTATTATATTTAAATTTGATGAGCACGGTATACATTTATTCGACTTGCCCGACTATATTCGTGACACATACATGTACCGTTCTCTTGCTTCCACGTAAATATATATATACATTCATCTTACATTAATATCGTTGGGACACGCGCGATTTTTTGTGGAATTTTCGTGGAATGCTACAGAGTTGAAGGAGAGGATCGGATGTGTTGCGTTGGAAAAATGCATTGTTCATAGTAAGTCCTATATTATCACACGTATCGAACGTACAGCGAAGCGTAAAATGCTAAAAACATATAATAACAATAATAATGATAATAATAATAATAACTAAATAGAATTTGTACGCGTCGGGCGTCCACTAAAATTAATCGTATTCAATTTAGAATATGCACATACGCTTTTAATTACACCTTAACCACAATTAATTAATTAATTTAACCGACAACATTGAATCACTTTATTACGTTTAATCCTTAACACAACTATTACTCTATGCGAGAAAAATAAAAATAATTCCCGTTCTAAATCACTCATTGACGACTATTTAATGTTGTGGAAAAATATCGTAAATCTGTCGTATACTTGTCGTTGTTGCTAAAAATTATTCTTAAATAATAAAACATAAAATAAAATTAGAACGCAGAACGCAGTTATAACATTCTCTCTCTCTCTCTCTACTGGAAATTATTACACTTAAATAATCTTAAAAATTAGCATCTCTTATAATAATAAAACAGCGGTGTTTTTAACAAAAATGAATGAGATAAATTAATCTTCGGGCTCACAAACGAATTCACAGCGGAGGTCCGAACAACCAAGTATATTCACACACAGACCATTAGAACATTAAATTATATTTTTATTATGTCCATAAAAATTAAAATGTGTACACACCTTATTGTTTAATTCATACCTATATCAGCTTCTATATGCACGTATATATGTGTATAAATATATATGTATATACATATACATACATCTACATATATATATATGTATATATGTATATATCGTAGTATGTATATTATTTAACAATAGAGGTATAGGAAGGTAATCTCAAGACGAAACGAGCTTATGAAATGAATATATGAATTTCTCTTCGCAGACGGGAGAGGAGGGGTGATACGGTGTCTTTTTTTAGCTTAGTTATAAGATATATATATATACATATATATATATGTATATGTATATATACGTATGTATATATATATGTTAATATTATTGATTGCTTATAAAATAATACTATTACACAGTAATCCTCCCTTGATTTTACGACACAGTTCTAGTGTATTCTTCATTAATAATAATTAACTCTTAGACGGCTTACGAGATCGAAAAGTACATTCTTGCTTTCGCGGCAAAAGATAATAATCGCGTAAGAATGCCTACTTGAATAGCTACAAAAAGGATGAATAGCTTTTACTCGAAGAAATTACATGGAATATATTCGCTAATTACATTTTTTTTATTTTACTCTTTTCCTCGCATGGACGCTAAAGCACGTATGCAACTAAGTGTGTACGCGATGTGACAGGATGTGCATGTATTTGCGCGTGTGCGATACGAGAAAATTGTGCGAGTGATACATCTCTGATGCTGCTCTAATCCTCGAGGATGCCGCGACCGCATCGAGAACCTTCTAGCTTCTAATCGAGAAATATACTAGCCAAGCGTTTTAATTTCAGCGTGAGAGGCAAAGAAACTGCGGCTTTGGGAAAAATATCCGCGAGATCCATCTCATCATTTATTTTAATTCAAACGACACTTTAGGAACATTCGCGTTACTTGCTTAATTTTTCACAAGACAAATTTTGGGAATCGTGTTAAGGTAGATGCGCTCGATTGTTTTATCTAAATCACATTGCTTTGCCGAAAACATTGCGAAGATGTTGGAAGCGTACCGATCTTTTTACGCGTTTGATGGATCGCGATCATTACATGCGAACACAGAAATGAAAGCATTTATGCAAGGATAGATATTAGCACCGGTGCGCAGAGAGGTATTCTACTACTCTTCAACCGCTATCTATTATTCTAAATATTGAAATTTAGATCGCGTTGGATCAACAACGCGTCTTGAATTGCTATGCACAATGCGAAATGTCGCCTATAAGCGCCTTCGTATTTTATGTATTATACACATATGGCCGATTCTCGCTTTCGTTCACAGATGTATCCTCGTGTCATGTACAATCGCTTTTCATACAATCGCTTATGCATGAGAATTTTTTTAAGAATTATATATTTGATTTCTATATATATTTAAAAATATATATATATGCGCCCAACAAATATATTAAAATTAATTATATTTTATGAGGATTTCTGTCGCTTGGAATTACATTTTCGTATTGCCAGAAATTTTCTATACCGATAGTATATGACGTCCAAAAGTTCTTATTGCGCTACTTCTGAAGTTTTGACGATTCTTCTCTTTGTAACTACAACTGTAATAATCCTCAATTATATCGTGAAGTATGTTCAAAGTTTAATTTTAATTTGAACAGCAAAGTGTTAATTAATGTCGCGCTACAGGATTATTAAATTATTTAAGATTTTTTACATTTCGTTCTACTGAATAATACGCAAAAGAAATTGCAACGGTCGAAGAAACGAAAGGAAATTACAAAGCGATAATTTATATATAAAACTGCAGAAACCTCTAAAAAGAAAGTAAGCATATATCAATGAGCATTACATTTGAATATGAATTATATGAATCACATTATATACCGTTACGACATTGACGATCAACATCCTACAAAGTTGCTTTTGTATAGTTTGGAGCTTTGTATAACACTTCGATCAAAGTGCATATTTCGGTGAATATGAGTCGGTTAAATACCTTTTTTTTTGTCTTTAATCACACAATGCAAAAATAGGCTTTCCTATTTCCGGTTATCTACAACCAGATCAAACGACACAGCATCCTATCGATCTACAAAGAATTCCCGAAATTCTTATCATCTAGTTATCAACTGTATCATTCATTATTTCTGGCAGAAGAAGCTCTACACTTACAACGTAAAATCGCCGATATCGACTGTAACTATTCGCTGATTCTTTCATTTCTATCTCGCTTTCTTGTGGCAAGTCTCTCTATTGCGCAATGTATTTAGCGTTATTAAGTAGACAGAAACAGTGTCGATTCCGGAGATTCTTAACTTTAAGCTAGGTATCCATTTGATCCATATAAGATTGATCGATTCAACAGATCGGAGCTACACGTCGACATCAAGTTTTTCAACGACGCAAGTTACTATGACTTTTACTTTCGAGATGTTGTTGATTCGAAAAGTGAATCCTCCCTATAGCTTAGTGGATGAGTCTATTTGATAACTGATTTTTAGTTAGACTTTCTCGGAAAGAAGGATAACTCTTCGCCCGTGGAGAAAGAGTTACGAAGTACTAGAGTTTAGCGTGGACTCGGCACAAACGTGGCGTCTCTAGCAAGTGGATTACTAGCTTCAAGCGGCGAGAGAGACAGCTGTGTATTCGATGTCAACTGCCAGTCTGACAGTCCTATTCAATTACATCGAGTTGAACGCGTAAGAATTTTTCGTCGTGAGTCTATCGTATGTATAGTGCCGTCGCGGTAAATGCGGTATCCATTTTAACGTGGCTAGAATAAATGAGGAACGGAGAGACGAAGCAAGTGTACACACACCTTGCTGATTTTCTCTTACATTACTGTGTCGGATGTACGTATGCGTGAGTACGAATAGGTGTCTCGTCTCACTCTTTCCTCGCACACATACTCTCGCCTGTTATTTCTCCCCCCTTTGTGTCTTTTTTCTTTTTTTCTTTTTTATACATTACATTAAAATATAACACCAATTTCGAGGCTTATGTTGTACATATACATGTGTTAGGTTTTATACTAATACGATCGTTCGAACAGTCTCATTTGTGTGAAGCGGTTTAGAAGAGTTCCGAATTCAATATTACATTTTCCCCGCACTTTTCGCTTAATTGACGATATTTAAGTGCGACCCCACTGATAAACGCGGTCGATAAGGTGCTTCGAGGAGTGAATCATCCCAAGTAAATATATTATTATAAGTAGCATTGCTAATTTGTATGTTGTGACAACGTTAATAATGCGTGTACGCAATGTACGCGACATAATGTAATAATAAATGCTAATGTTATCGGGCAGAAGAGTGTCTCCGGAAAACGTTTTCGAGACAAGAATTAAAATGCTGCGATAAATAATTATCTTTTCCGTTATAAAAATGATAATCTTCGATCGTCTTATCGACGCGATCCTCAAATTTGTTTGATGTACACAGTGCCTTTTATATTTTATCATTGTACTTCGAGATTTGCGATCAAAAAATAAATTATTCGAGCATTGCATCCTTTCGTTAGAGGCGCGCTCAGTAATCGCGCGAGGCAAACGTAATTTTGCGCAACTAATCGAAAGCTCGTTCGAGACATTTTTTGAGTTTCGCGATAGTTCGACTTGGAGTCACGAACAATGGAGCGTATAATTCGATGCTCGGCATCTTTTTAGCGTTAGGATAAAAATGAGGGAGCAGCGTGTACAGCAAAACATCAATTTGTTTCACAGCCATTTAGTTAGGAGATTTAAAATCGTGGACCCCTCCCCACGTGCGACTCTTTGGAACTTTTTAGACCGCGGCGTGCTATTCGTAGCAATCACGCGGAGTCAAATGTCAAACTCGGAAATCTTCCACAGAGACATTCGTAAAACCGATTGGTCGAAAATATTATATTCTAGAATCATTTAGGGTACAAAGTATAGTGTGAACGATTTATCTGTAGACAATTGTAACGGTAAAAATGGACATTGTCTTATTGCGGGATGGAATAGGCTGTGTAAGCTCTGTCAATGCTAAATGCTCTGCTGCAGCTTTTCGAAACCTAGTTTTCTTTTTTTCTCCCCCGACAACGTAATAATAAACACTTTAACGTTAACCCCTTATAAGGCTGTTGGTTAAAGAAGTTTTATTTCCTCGATTGTAGTGTTAGTACGTTTTTCAGTTTCTACTTAATTTATGGATGTGTTTGTTATAAAACTCTTTTCGAATGTTCTAATATATTAGTAAAAGTATCATCTGTTCTACTAATATATTGTTTATTGAATTGAAGGGCAAAACAATAATTTCAGTATAATTGTGTCTTATAAAGGGTTCAAGAGAACACAATTCACACAACATTGTTATTTATGAGATATCGAGATGTGCAATGGAAATCGTATATGACTTTCTCAGAGATTTTGAGTTACTTTCCTTTTTGTATCGTGCATCGTGTGCAAAGTAGAAAGAGCGAAATAAATCTTTGCTCCACAGGTGATATACGAGCTCCAATGCGTCGAAAGAAATGCAATGTGTCGATTGCATCGTACTAAAGCGCGAACCGAAAACGTTTAAGTGATCGAAATCAAAGAGTTTAACGTTTCAACGCCGGGCAGACATGTAGCATCACTGCGACGTGGAATCTTAAATTTGTGTCTCTTCCTCAATAATCTTGATTACCAAAAATGGACAGATGCCGCCGTTTGCAAGGTTTCCTCGTCGCGAAGACAATTGTCATTTACGTACACAAAACAAGGTGGATATTGTCCGCCGCGATAAGGAAACATTGCGCCGCAGCGATTATTATTATATTCAATAAATATTACATACAGTAATATATTCATTATTTGATAATATAAGTATTGTTCTAATTGGACAGGAGTTGTTTTCACAATTTGGGCGAACGTATGAGTAACCTTAATTATTAATCGCTTACTTTTTTGTTTTTTTTTTTTTCATATTTTTTTTCACCACACAATCTATTCCGTGAATTGAGAAAAAATTGTAACAGTCCTTGTTTGATTTCGCGCAGAACGCAAACGCATTACCTAGCAAATTTCAAAATAAAGTCAAGATTAATTCTTCAAGTGTGGAAAGAACACACCGTTATTCGATAATGAGCAGAAAAGATTCACGTTAAAGGATATGAAGCGTATATAAAAATTTCTACTAAGGTCCGCTAATATCTATACTGATAAAAAGTGAGACAACACCGGTAACAGAAACGTTTATCAAAAAGACGAATAAATATAGCTATGCAATGAATAAAACGAAGCGCAAGCTCTCATTTTTATATTGAATCTCCTACTATCTAAAATCTATAAACCTAATATTGCGACTCTATTAAAGATTGTATCTTTGGACTTGCAACGTGTCTCTTAAACAATTATACAATGGCATTTAAGAAACAGTTTGCAACTATCAAAAATGCAACGTACGCATTTGAAATGCAATGTATAAATTAAGATGTGTCATGTTCACGTAACAGGATAACGAAGACAGAAGATGTTATGTTACAATAAAAAGGAACTTAACAGATTGCGCTAAAAAATACAGTATATGAAACAATTGTATACATATAAAATCTTTAAATAATCTACACAACGCGGTAAAATATATATATTTATATATACGTATGTAAAATGAGTTGAGATGACATTTTTTTTTTTATCTGACCGTCGGGCACTTTTCCAACGTGTAAATTACCGTATGGTAATTTTGGAAAGTGTATCAACTAATAATTCGTAAAAACGCCAATAATTAATGATCTATTAACGCATCCATTGCATCAAACGCCAATGAATCAATCTTATAAATGCAAAGTACTATTATATGGAATATACAATATGGAATATGTACATCAAATTGTTGTTATCATGTATCTGAGATTGATATACCGAGGGCAAAAAAAGAGAAAAACGAAACGTCGCACTGACTTTTGATTATTTTAGAATGTAAATCGCGAAGTCCCGCTTTTTCTCCCCTTCTCGCGCGAAAACGTAAATGGTTCCGTAATACCAGTCGTAAAAGTAAAACTTGTGGAATGCTCGTAAATCAATGAATGTCGCAACTGACTTTTTCGACACATAGTAACAGCTTATGCATCGAACACTACCTTCGAAATAGCGAAATATATGCTCACACGCAGCATAATCCGAGTCGAGAACATTCCACGCTTCATGTGTGGTACATTAATGACCTAATATTTGAAATATTACCTTGTAATAATTAATAATCAATAGCTGCCCTAATGTCTAAAAGACTGAAACATTGCCGCTACACATATCTTAGGCATGTAGCAATTGAGATATTTTTTTTCATGTATAGTGGCTTTCAGTAACGCGAAGTAATGATGAAACGGTGTGTGATCCGCTTACTTGCGTGGAAAAGAACGTGTACCTGTTGTGGAGAGGCCTTCCCCTCGGCTGCGACTTCGGTGCAAGGAATGTAACCCTTCGCCTAGAAAACAATGTCTTTCCAATAAATATCACTTGGCGATGTATTAGGTGTAGAAATAAAGTTTGCGATTTCTGGAATTTTTAATTAAAAAAAAAAAAAAAAAAAAAAAAATTTAAAAAAGCTCAGTCATCGAAACATTCTTCATTGTTGATGGCTTTACACCATCTTTCAAACAGCTTGCAAATGTCGTCACGGTAAAAACTTGTCGGTTTTGAGACAAAAACGACGAGAAAAATAAATTCGCGTAATTAATTTGTTCTAAAATATTTAAAAATCGATTATTACATAATAGGTGTAAGATCACCTTTGCTAACGCTCCTGTGCATTGACGCGGATGGCGGTGGTGCTGATTCTTGCTTGGTGTAGCTTCTAAGCGCTCTTCCTCGCTTGTCTTGGATCAGCTTATCCACTTTAACGAATATGCCACATTTTGGCCGGCACGTGAAATATCTCTGACCGTTAACAGCACCATCGTTCTTGCCTGTGAATAGTGAAGCATTGTAGAAACGTGATGCTTAAAGTCTTGTTAAACGGAGTTTAAAGTTTATTGAGATAAGTGTTTCTTATCTGTACCGGTTGGAGCGTCGAGTTCGACTCCTATCCAGTTTCCAGATGCGAACTCTGTGAGGCCGACGTATGCTATAACTCCGGAATAGCTGTAGGGACGAACCAAAACTGATTCACCGACGACGACCCAGTCCGGTACAGGAGCTTCCACGCGCGTTAAGTCGTGTCTCGAACCGAACGCCGAATTTTTGTCGTTAACATCATCTGTTGCAAAAAAGAAATCTTTTTAGAGCGCGGCGAAAAAATTACATTATTTTGCGCACAGTCTCTCGAGAAATAAGTGTCAAAATACAGGACAGTTGCCGAAAGTAATTTAGCAGTACCGTCGATTCTCTCCGAAGAACTATTGTCGCCGTTTTCATACGGCATATTGGGTTGTAGCGTTTGTTCCAAATGTGCTGCAGCCTTACTCTCAGAAAGTTGTGGACGGACCATAGGAAACGAAGCTCTATGCTGCGAACTGGTAGGCCTTCCTGTACCGCTAGAAGTCTTTCTTCTTCGCACGACCTAAAAGATCATCCTCAAATTAACACATTATCAATAATGTCTTCACAAGTTCAAAGAACATTTTTCATTGTCGATAACTTCTTTATTTCCCTCTCTTTCTCTCCACTCTTCGCTCCGCAAAGCGAAGTTTGCATAAAATTTTTCATTTTACGCACAAGCGTGCAGCTCAACATCTGGTAAGCGAAGGGAGAAAGTAACAATACGATATGTTTGAGGTTATTTCAATACATCATTTCGTTCGAATTGCTCGTCTTTAAATGTAAAACTACTCGCCTTGCCGGGTGGCAGTTTGGTGTGTACGACCGAGGTTCCCTCCATGGAACTATCGTCTCCCGAATTGGACGTCTGGCTGATCTCCATCTCGCTTTTCCTCCTGTCGTCGAGAATCTGATCGTGCGCACCTTTCCTTTGAGCCTCAATGTGAATCACATTGCTACTAGTTTCGCTTTCGCTCTTCGTAGAAGAGACTGGACTGTCAATGTCAGTATCCCCGTACGCTTCCGTTTCCTCCTGATTTTTTCTAGTGTGTTCTGTAAGATAAACAAATTTTATATGTACACACCAGATCAATATTTCGTCCCAAATGGTTGTTTCACGTTGTCCCACAACTGACCCTCTATGCAAGCGCTTTGCGAAATGTTCAAGTTGTCCAACGTAGAGTTCACTTCGCCCAAATACTCTTCGGGCGTTTCCTCAACTAGGGAACTGTCCATTTTCTCGGGTCTCCTGCTGTCAAGCAGATTACGATATTCGAGATCCGGAGTTTCGTCCACGCTGATAGACTTGATGGAAATGGAGTCTTCTGAGGTCAGATTCGTCGTGGAGACGGCCTGGGAACCGTAACCGCTGCTACTCATACTTGGCGTGTTGATCTTCGTCGATTGCAACTCGACCAGAGAATCCAGTGTGCGTGAAGAAGTTAGCGGCTTTACCGGTTTCGGTGGGGCCTGAGCGCAATTGCGCGTCACACAGTTTCCATTTGTTAGTGCGATTATATCCGAGTTCACATTAATAAGTTGATGTAATAATATCGATATCGTCACCTTATTACGCTTCAATTTTTTTTTTTAGATAGATTTCTGTTTAGCGCTACCTGATATGCGTCGTATTCAGAATAATCGGCGTCGCTTTTCTCCTCGTCGTCATCGTTGATGGGAGTGGACGCTTGATTCCCCACATTCGACGTTTCTTCATGCAAGGTGGTCATACGAAGACCCAGCTTGCTACTGACCATGTTCGGGGACGCTACAATCAACACGATTAGTTGGATAAAAACGATAAAATATTTTTTTTCTCTCTCATTACAAGCATATACTGTGTGAAACCGAATTATCAGGGCCGATCTGGCCGCTGTAATAAAATTTTCATCGTATTATTATTTCTGCAAAGCTATTTGATTTTGTTGACATTCTTATTTTAACAGATATTGACGGATGCTGATGAGTTTTACAGAAATATTATATCAAAAGGTGCCAGGTCGGTTCTGAATCTGTATATAACAAAGATTCGTCCATGCTCTTCCTAAAAACAACGAAAAAATAATCTTACATATTCCACGTTTATCTATCTTTCGGTGTTGACAAACACCAATTAGACACATATTGACTTTTTAGGTTTTGTGAATAACCGGCTACTTTGGATAATTTATACGAAGAAATATAAGCAAAGAGGAAAACGTAGAATATGTAATCTAAAATGAAGAAATAAATTAGGGTGGTCGGGGTATCCATAAGGAATAAACATTTAACATATATGCACTTTTTTAGTGCAAACATAGCGATTCAATGGCGATTATGATGACAAACCGTCTGAAATAAAAAAGAAAACTACTACTCACTACTTTAATATACTACACTAACCACTAATAGTGGAAACAAAATAAGAAAATCGAGTGCACTACAAGTACGATCGAGTTCATTCTTTCAAACTTTTACGTCACATCGGAATTCCCTTTCAATTGCCGTTTACTTTAACTTAACGCTCTCACAAATCTTCTCCCAGAATCAATTGAAAGGATCAGTTTGAAAGGATGACCGACAACGAGTGTCACCTACACTTGGCAGAGGTAGATTGTTGAAGACGTGTCAATGAGTTGAGATTCAGGTTGAGATTCAGGAAAGTTGGTCTCGCTGAAAGGAGATAGATGAACTGATTATACTTCTTTTTCCTTCCCCCGATTAGTCAATGCTACTTTTTCCCATAATGGCGAGCTTGTCATATAAACTTCATAAACCTTTTACGAACTTATATACTGACAAATCATGCCTGCAGGCTACAAATAGGCTGGATAGTGAGACAAGTAAATAGATAACGTACATTATGCGCATTCTAGTATGGAAGTTTTCATCCAAGTGTAATAAATTACAACGCAATCCCATTAATTGAAACATCAATGTTTATGATACAGCGTTTCATGTAAGTCTCACTTCTTTTTCCTTTGCATTATGATACTCTATTTCTCAATAACTGTCTTAATAACTCGCCATTGCATTTGCAAATTCAAAATGCACGTATTTAAAGTGTGTCACGCGTAATCACCATTTTCTTTCTGACACTTTCTGACAAATATAGTGAATAACAAGAGATAAATATGAAATAAAAACCACGTAGTTTAACGACGTGCATAGTGAATTTCAAGATTAAATTCTCAGAGATGATTAGTTTAAAGTCGAAGATAATGATATGCAGCTCATTACAGCTCTGTGACAGTTATCTATCTTAGAATTTTAATACTGATATGATATAAACTATGATTTAACCATACATGCTGCACTACAGTTTAAATTGTAATGCCATGCAGAACTAAGATAAAACTTACGAAATTGTTTTATTTTTGTCTATGATTGTCTTTACACTTGTAGAAATGCATTCCTGACTTTAAACTAAATCTCTTCTCGTAAGAAAGATTTGGGGGAGATAGCTTATATTTATCATACAGTATTAGCGTGTAAATTCTTTCGAAAATATATTAAGTATCGGTTTTCACTCATCCCCCCCTCCATTTCTTGCTTACATACGAGAGGTTTATTTCGTTTCTTCATATCTTTCGATCACATTAAATCGACATCAATATTCCAGATTGAATTAAAGTAATGAAAATAAAACTAATAATTTATTAAGAGCATTGTGTGATGTAGCTATAAATTTGGATGATACAATTTCATATTCAGATACAGAATAATCCTCACCTAATGTACTGACTATAAAAAATATCTGTATACACATATATATTACAATAAGTTTTCTACTCTCTCTAGAGTATTGGTCAATAGCACACATTCACAAGTATGTGTAACAAAGATTGAAACATTGCAGCGTTCTTCGTGTACGCGTGTGATGCAAGAGTTCAATCTTCGATTACTTTACGTGTTTGAAATTAATTTGTTAAATGCAACGGAACTTATACGGGAGTGTGTTGTACATTTAACAAATTGTCGGAGGTATTATAGAAATCATCTCGATTCATCCGAACATTTATGAGAAGCAAGATTTCAAGAATCGGATTACGAATCGTGAAAATAGATATATGAAAATGAAAATGATCTCTATGCGATGACTTTGGTACAAACGGTGTGACGACAGGGCGTATATACGATTGCACGTTGGCATTGTTTCACACGCTAGCCGTGAACAGTGACATATCAAATAGTCACATAAAGTGTAAGAAAAATAAATAAAGGAAACTTGCTAATAGGCACACAAGAAATGCATTCACATGCAAACTAAATGAAGACTGAAACACAACCATTCGTGCAACAAAATTGCATTTAAACTTAAAATTAAAAAAATTTTTTATTAAAAATAATAGAAAAAATATGTCAGCGACCTTTAAAACCTTCTCGAAAATTGTTGACGCTGAATTTCTTCGGAGTCAAACTGAATTGAATAAACGACGCTTACGAAAACATACACGTGACCGTCAAAACGCATTCCCGTTCTGAACATTGCTATCACAAATAATCTCCGATGTACTAAGGCGAACTTGGAAATAAAAATACAGACAGACTCAACCACTCACGAGACATATGTACTAATTGTCATTGCCTGTGTGGCATCAATTAAATATCAAATCAAGACTCCATTTTACCTGAGTTCAGAATGGAGCCTTGCGTGGGCCGAAATAGTTGTAGAAGTAGTAGACGTAGTGTTAAACAGAGGAACAGATTAGTTGCGTACATTAATTAGTCGACATTCATTAATTTTGCTGTAGAGTTTATTACTTAAAGTTCGTTAGTGTTTCATTTATTGTAATAAGTGGTGGAGCGCGCTTAAATGTAGCTATTAAAACACTAGGCAGATCTGAGTAGATACATTTTTTTTTTACCATGCTCAACTCTCAAATCGCTATACCGTTCAAAATTATCACTTTTCACACAATCTCGACATGTGTATCAGTTTGGGAACACGTTTGCATTGAAGCTGTGTGAGTTATAAAGTTGAACATAGCTTAATGACATAACAATATGACAAAAGCTAGAATTATAATAATATAAAATTTCAATGTAATAATTATCAATAATCAAATTCAGATTACTAAATATTTTCAAATAATGAGCTTGGTAATTATCTTGGATGACAAGCAGTACCCTTTCATAGTATGTCAGATCTTTTACACATTCCATACTTTTTTTATTATCTTTCGTTTATAAGTGTTTAATAAAGTATTTATATTTTTACAATTTACGAGCAATAAAAAAAAAAGAAATCGCAGCACATATAAAAGGGTACATTATAATGATGGATGATATGAATTGAATTAAAAAAAAAAAAAAGATAAAAGGCTCTTTTATTATCCAAAATCAACACGTTTTATATCGAACGAAGAGAAAAAGTGGATCTTGAGACAATCAAAAACTAGGGTGGAATATAAAGTGACCGTCATAGCCAAAGTGAAATATTGAAAACACTGCATAAGCCACATTTCAGAAACAAACTGTTGATTTTTGATTGAATAAATCTTAAAAAAGCAAATCAAGACAGTGAAAAGTGGTTTCAACATAAAAATAAGAGTTCAATCTAAGACTAAAGTCCCTAAACACGATGCTGTTAAATTTATGTAAGCATTAATTTGGTTATATATAAATTTATATAAGCAAGAATTTAATATATATATAGTGACTTAAGCGAATTAAATATTGCATTCAATATACGAAATGAGTTTGCATATAAAAAATTGAAGTTCAAAATAAGTCCCGCTGAAAATCTATCGACTTTTTATCAGAAGTAATCCATTTCTCGGCAGCGTTTCAACGAGAAATTATTTTTCTTTGAAATATTTATGTCATTATATTTAAATGTTGGCATATCTCTGAGAAATCTATCTCGCGCGTAACACGAAATGGATTACTACGAATGATTATGCATGATTGCATGAATGAAGGCATGTGAATGGATGAACGGAGGCTTGTGTGTATCATGATATTCATATAATAACCTTCTCTTTCTATGATTTCATAAACGATCCTGTTTTCCGAGTGTATGTATTGGAAGCCATGAAGAAATATCTCATATTTTTCCTTATTAATGGCATAAATCGAATTTAAAATGTAGATAGATACGCATACACAGAATTAAGAAATCATAGAATATGTGTGTCTATACCTATGCATTAATAATTCGAATTGGAATCAATAATGAGCAAAAAATATTCTTACCTATTCCAAATGGTTTTGGCGGCGCAGCTATAAAGTTCTCGTCATTTCTTACGTGACCTATAGACGCGCGTCGCGGATGCGGCAGACCATTTATTTCCGTATTGAGATCGGTAACACTTTCCGAACGAGTAACATTCAGCGAGTCCATTGACGTATCAAATCTCATAATCTATAAAAATCCATGAAAATCTTTTTATTCGATGACTTCATACGACAAAATCAAAGATGCACAAATGTGGAAAAGGATTTGAAAAACAAAATTTCAAACAAAATGGCGTTTTGGTAAAACTTATTTGATGTCTAAAAAAGGACGTTACGATGCAGTGAAATCAATATGACGAATTTCGTAGAGGAAAACAATTAAATGAAAAGCAATACAGTGCGCTTCAAGATAATACCTGCGAGAAGTTTGGAACACTTGCAGTCTTTCGCATCAGTGGCTGTCCTTGTGCTTGTAACAATTCCTTTACAGCGACACTCTGCCGTAATCGATCCAATGTTAATATACTTTCGACGGCGGACACGCCGCGCGTATATTTTTCTACGGAGATAATGCGAAAGATTAATACGCAAGAAATTGAGAACAGTCGCAAGTCTTCATTTCATGATTTACCTATGTAAGTTTCCCCGTCGCATAAGCTGTTATCTTCCCCGCTAGCAGCGATTTGCGCTAAACTCTCGCGATCTTCCAGCTCTTCGCTCGCCTTTGGTATATTTGAGACCACCTCATAAGTGACGCCGGTTTGTATCAAGCAATCGGTTCGCACGATCCTCTTGAAAATTCTATCCGTGATACTTTGCCTCTTATATATATTTAAAGCTAATCTTTTACGCAGCACGAGATCCATTGGCGCTGGATGCGACAGGCGAACGGTGGTCTTCAAAATTAGAAACACTCTCTCGTTCGCTGAAAACGAAACGCGTAGCGTCGTAAAAATCGCCGTGCGCTTTTCGATTGTACGAAACGCGGGGAGCAATTAATTACCATCAGTCACTCTGTTGAGGTGCACGTTGTCGTGTATACTGGAATCCCAAGCAGCGATGGCACATACGTCTTTCTCTAAATGTCGAATGATCGGTAGATTATAAAACTTGTTTCCGTGTTCTTTGGGTAGGATCGAGTTCAGTCCCGTCACCGACACTTCCTCTCCCGATTGATGCGTTGAGAGATCATCAGCTGTACAAATGTGTTCGTCAAGATTAACAAATCAAACAAGCCGATCGATAATATTTCGAATGTGATCATTTTCTTTTTTGCAATACCGTTGAGATCGAGGAATAATACGGGGATGTGGGGTTCCATTCCTGTGGGAGGAGTCCAATCGGCGGGAGCGCCAGGGATACCGGAACCCGCCGCAGGAACTAGAACAGCGTTTCGTTCCTCTGTAAGACTCACCCACTGGTCGACGAGACTTTGTTCTCGCTCCATGTCTTGTTCCGTTTTATCTGCAACGATATGCACAAATCGTAGAGACGCCCGGAGCAACATAAATCGAACACGATGTCTGTACGTTGATGGTAATTTATCCGCACGTTACCTTGTTTGTTAATGAGCTTTTGAATCTGTTGATCGAGGTACTGTCTTCGTCTCATCAGAGCGTCGCTCCACTTTTCTCTCAATATACTCAAGTCTTCGTCTTGATAACTATCTAATGGGATTTGCAGTCGATTGCGTACGGACACGCTTCCAACGGCTATATTTAATATCGATTGGCAGATAATCGGTAAAGTTCCGGAATTTTGTACTGGTTTCACTCGGACTTGTATCCGACGTTGTTGGCCTTGTCGCAGCTGATAAATGCCACCTGGCAGAGTATAATTAACCAAAGATGAATATAATATCTAGTACAGTATTCCGAGTTACAAAAATACACAGAATTATACTATAATTTTTTACAATTACGTCTATCAGAGATTGTTTACATTTTGCTCACATGTTTACACAAGCTCGTTGCGCGCAGACAATGTGAGCTTGTAGATTATGAATTAAAATAAATTTAAAAATGATTAAAAATTCTCACCTGTACATGTATCTTGCTTCACTGCGACTTCGACGGGCGAATATTCGCCCTGCTCGTTCAATTCTTGTATCTCCACCCAGACTTCGATCTTTCTCGTTAATTCCGACCAACGGTCGGCGAGCGATCTAGCTTTCGCCAACTGCTGTTGTTCCACTTCCCATCCTGGTTTACTACGTGAGAAACCCGCGCTGCGATGGCCCCATACTTCTATACTCAATGCTCCCTCTACAAGTGCAAGCATGATAAACAAGTACACATCTAACTGAAATGGTTTCCCAATGTTTGTGCGAAATATCGCACGAACAAACGCTCAAATAAACATACCAGTGGCATGTTCCATAAATTCTTCCGTAATGGGTACAGTGAAGTCTTTTGTGTGCTCGAACTTGAATGCCAACGAGTCCCTTTGTCCGGTGCAATTCGGATTGGGTAGCTCTGCGTTGACCATAGGCGGAACCGCTATCGGTTCTGGATGGCCCCAAAACATATATTGGCAAAACACAAAATGGCTTAACGAGAGCGGTAAGCCGGTGGCCTGTTTTATCGTCACGCGACAAGTGATGTGGCTGGAGCCTCCGGTGTAGTCGTCCGGCTCGGAGGACGTCGAGTCTGCGGAGGATTCCGAGGCAGCCTCGCAGATCCGATCTTGTGGAAATTGCCCAGATATACGGCTTATTTCAACTTGCAGTCGACCAGCGACCTCTCCTTGCTGACTAATAATCGGTGTGTGATAATCTAATCGCACGTCGTGAAATAGTACTTCTAAGAAAATATTTGCAACGCCGATAAGATTGTAATTTTCCTGAGATTCGTAGAATGGATCTTGTGTTTTTCCTGGTATTTCGTCCTGCAAAAAGGGAAACAATTGCGTACACGCTTTCGTTTAAAGAATATTTCAAAGATAATGATGTATATGTTACCTTGATCGCTGGTAATCTCTGACAGTTGTGAGGGTCTTTCCGTTCCTCGTACATATCTCGCATATCGACTAACTTATTTTCTAGTTTTTCCATGGACCACACTTGACTTCCCATATTCGTCCTCTTCACTAAAATCGCGGGCTCGCTGACAAACGCGCCCCGCTGAAAGAATACACTCTACATATCGAAGAGTGCGAAAAAAAGCAAACAAAAAAAAGTTAACGCAAAAGAAAACAAACTAAAAGAACGAAAAATCAGTATCAAGCTAAATAATGCGTAATTAATATTAATCATAAAAACATAAGTGATAATCGATAAAACAATGTTTATGTGTAAAGATATAACAAAGAAATATAACGAATTATTTAATAAATTTCAAATAAACTTTAAAAAAACTTATTCAAATCGTGAAAAATGACATAAAGATAATGTATAATTTTCCGTATTAGTTTACCTTTCTATTCGGACTTAGATTATTCGGAGGAATCTGCAGAGTGACGCTAAACTTCGTCTGTTTGCCCATCTCCTCCGCGAGGAAATTAGCTTCCTGCACTAAAGAGTTGGCTTTTAGGATGTCCGTTTTTAGTTGACCCAAGCTACGCTTGAACATCTCGTCTCGCTCCTGTGCCCACTTTTCGACCCGCATTTGCGTTGTCGGCGTGCAAGCCGGCAGCTTGCCGCTTTGACTGCCTCTTAGAGGATCGTACGGTACGTACGGTGAATACGGCGTGGAGGGAGACAGAATGTTGCGCAATTGTTGAAACTGTCGTTCGTATTCCTGCCTCTGCTTTTCAAGCGCGACCTTCGACATATGTACATAATGAGTGCAAAACACGCGGAGTCATTACGATGCTTATTAAAGCGGCGTGATATATGCGTACCTGCTTATCTTCCTCGTGTTGCTTTTCCAGCCTCGCAATAGCTCTTTGAATCGGATCGTTGGAAAGTTCATTAAGCATAAGCTCCTCTCTGGCGAAGTTGTAGTCGATGTTCTGAGCGGGAGTTTGCGGCTCGCTATTGATCGCTGCGGGCAGGACAGAAACGATATAGAAATCTGCGTTACTCGACTCCTTTTCAGAAGCATCAGAGAACTGATGCTTCTCATCTTGAAATCGATACTCGCACCTGTGGCGCTCCTTGGACAATTCACTCTGAAGAAGTGATGATTCCCCCAAACGATCCTATCGCCGTGCTGTAGCGGGGTTTTGTCCACGACTTGCGTGCCGTTGACAAAGCACCGTGCGCCATTCAGCGGTATCATGTGTAGGCCCGATTCCTCTATCGTAATAACGCAATGTTCCGGTAGGATGCCCAGGCCGTGCAATTGAATGTCCTGTTCCGTTTTCGCCGAGCGACCGCCTATGAGCGTTCTCTCCTGAAATGCACAGTCAGCGATGGATTTCTCGACTGCACTTCTAACGAACTTTATCGATAACAGGCAACAATACCGATGCTGAATATGAACGCGCAGATTGGCGACGCAAAATTATTTACCTTGAGGTAATAAACCAGTAATTCGTTCATACTCGGATCGTCGTTCAAGTTGACCAAGTAATATTTGTTCTTTTCGACTTGAATACCGGACGCTTGTACGCTTATCCCCATTTTCTCCAGAGCCTGCTGCCTCTCGTGCTGCAATCTCTCGGTTTTCACCAGCTTCTCCTCCCACGTCTGTGACATCTCCTTCATCAGTCGTTCCGATTCTGATAGCTTCTCTGTGATATCTGTGCGTTGTTGACCGACGATGGAACCCTGAGTCCGATTAAAAGTCAGAATGACGCCGTTTTCGCACGATTATCTTTACATTAGATAATCAAGCAGCAAAAAATTCGCTTACTGTGGCGTGCAACAACATTTCCTTCAAGGTTTCAACCTCCTGCCGGAGTTCACGAATGATTCTGGCGTTGGGATCCTCGTTGACCACGGCGTGGTTGACTATCCTCTTCGCTCTGTCGGCGTATCGGAGAGTCGACAGCGTTTCTTCGTAATTGTCGGCGGCTGGCGATATAGTGGCCACCATAACTGTTTTGCTATTGCCGCCGAGATTATCCTACGCATTTGGAAAAGTGTGTCCGATTAGTGCGGAAAGTACAGAAGCGTGTCTCAGGGCACATCGTCAAGATGCGAACAATACCTTCAAGAGCCACGTAAGGACAGAATCTCTGTACGGCACGAAATTGTCCTTCTTCTTGTTGCTGCCATTTTGATCCGCCAGCTTCGAAATGACTAGACCCAATGTCGTTAGAGACCTGCGAATCGAAACGCGTGATATTTCGCAACTTCTCGACTCGTCGAGAGGAAAAAAAAGCAAATTTTCACGACGCCAGGATATTTACTTGTTAATATTGCTTCCCTCTTTAAGCCTATCACCTACTGCTCCGGTTTTCACAGCCCTTTCGCTCCCAGCCAAATCCACCAAGCTCATCCGCGAGACCTTCTCTCCGCTGACCCCGCTCTTCGAGTCCGTTAGGGTCTGCGTGAGAATCACCGAGAACACGGCGTGCGAGCGGGAGCTCTCGGAATTCATGTTCGTCGCCGCGACTGTCCGCGACTTGTTGCCTTCCGCCATAAGGTTGTCGATGTCCTGCAAATCAAGATCGTTCGGAGAGATTGGTCATAAGTACAGAAACTGTGAGGGAGAAAAAGGGGCGAGCAGCCACCTGGAAGGAAGTGACCGCCAACTGGCTGAGTCCATCCACGTACGGCCCCAGGACATTGTGCTCCCTGACTTTGAGCGATTGCTTGTTCGGCTTCGGGTCCAGGAGATCGTGCACCTTTTCGTTGTAAATCTCCATATACGAAACCTCGACTTTGTACGTGAGCTCGAAGCTCTGCTGCTTCGCAATCATGTCGAAGAGGTTGTCGCATAACCGTGGTATTATCCCTTTGTTATCACCGCTGCCCATCATCGTGTAAGACTTCCCGGAGCCTGTAAGAAGCACGCCATGCGTGAAGTCCCAATAAACGATTAAGATCAATATTTACTCATTTATAGACCAGATTATTATAGAATGATAATTAGCTAAACTACTGGTTGTAATGTATTCGCAAATACAAAAAGATTGAAGTTTTAAGTAATTTTTTATCTTTTTATGTAAAATATTCATATAAATGTTGCGTATTTCTTAAAAATTTTATAGCATTCTGCATGAATCGACAAATATTGCGTTTTGTAATAAGTAGAATAATTTAATTTCTAATAAGTATTTCGTATTGTTTACGCAGCACATTTTTTTACACAACATGAAAAAATCGTGATATATGCAGAATTTGATACTACAAACGAATATTTCCGCGTTAATTAAACCGCACTTTACCAGACAAAGCAGTAAAGTTTTATTTAAAAAGTCTGAAATTATTTATTAAACAGCCTAATATTTACTTATAAAAGGTTTCCATTGAGCATATAAAAAGCCAAAGGCACAGATAAGATCCACTTGGCGAAATGCGTGCCAGTCTCTAAATATGTAATTCTGTTTTTTTTTTTGCAAAACGCTCATTTCCGCCAGCGTGCATCCTATTAATATTTTTTTCTGCTGTCTGAGTCAACGTCTCCTTCCGCGGAAAATCAATCGCAGCCGGTTATCGATGTTTACAATGGATTAATAGCATTATTTGTCGCACTCTGCTTGTTTAAGTGTTGCGTCGTTTTTAACGCTCCCACTCTTTAAACGCGGACATTCGTAGGACACTGAACTGGCCGCGAACAACGATTTAAAGTAGAGCTCCACTCAATACGTACCGGTTTGTCCATAGGCAAATATACACGCGTTGTAACCCTGAAATGCATTGTCTAAAATATCACGACCCAGGGCGTCGAAAACAACCTCTTGACATGCGAAACTTTCCGTTCCAGGATCCAGGGAGTAAAAGCAGTGATCGAAAGCGAAGGTCTTCGGCTTGTTCCTGCAACAATAATATGGAAGTTCGTCGTTATGGGTGAGTATAGTATTGAATTGCACGATTTAAACATATTCATATGTCGAGAAATGAAAAGAACATGAAAAGAACATTTTTGCCGAAAGAATCTAAAAATTATGCCAAGTATAGATCTGAAGATAAATTTTGTTGGACGATCAAAATTCATCACTCTTTTTCAAATCGCAGCAAAAAATTCTGACGATTCATCAACCAAGATTATAAATTTTTCAGCAAAAGTGTTCTTTCCGTGCATGTTCTGGTGAAAATCAAAGCAGTTTTCCTGTCTGGATTAGCAAAAGTAGTTTACTTTATGCTGTCGGCAAAAATTATCATGAGCACGTCATTATTGATTCAGTGAAGCTCTAACTTCAATGAATTATTGGCGCGTTTTATCTCAGAAAAGAAAAAAAGAAGTGAAAATCTGCTGTCTTATTATACTTCAATCGAGAAATATGTGAAAGAAACATAATACAATATTTATGTATTATGGAAATATATTATACTGCGTAGTGTATATTGCTAACAAAATTTATTCCACATATAGAATAAAATTGAGTACAATTTTGTGTCGCAGAAAAAAATTGTACTAAAAACATGACTTGTCCGTGAATCACGTATACGATAGTAATTTAATGATTGCACACTGCGTGACGTTAGACGAAAGATTGTGTCACTATGCAAACTTTGTTTATGCGCACTGCTACGAACGATGACATGTGCAAAAATATTGATTGCGAATTAGTACGACAATAACAATTATTTTTTTTTAGTGTCACTAAACGTGCAATCATCATCTGTCAGACATGTGAGTCACGAATCAACAGTTATCTAAAGATTCTAGTCAACTTTAAGTTTTCATATTTCAAAAATTGTTTAGAATAAAAAATTGCAAAAGACTTTTATCATTTAATTTTTCGAGAGCTGTAGTATTTTTTTTTTTTTTTCTAAATTTGGGACAAATTTTGGGGCACTGTATATTACAAATCCTATCATAATCATATCATAATCACTTGGAAAAATTCGTGCGGTAATTTATAACTCGTGTAAACGCGGGCAACTTATCGCGCTAGTGATATGAGGACAAATAATGATTCGCGCATCGATCGAATTGCAGAATGTCGTGTCCGAGTATGAGTCACGCACAGTAAGTGTGCACGGATTCGAGGATACAAATGGGAGATTGCAGATACAAAAATGATGCCTGATTCTATTATATTGGACTTATTAATTGATAAATTAGCATCAATCGCTTTCCGAACACTTTAGCACTTTATTTCCGCGTAACGTGTCGCACAGATTTCGTTCAATCGCAGCTGACAAGTGGCAATTAATTACGGACGCAATTATCACTAGAATCACATGCCAATTTGAGCAATTTCGCATACTAGTCTTCAAACGCAACGTGTCGCGAGCCGCGGCACGAAAACTGGTGCGAAACGCGGTATCGTGATCGCGACAACAGCCGACTCGTTATAGGCACCTCTTAATTGGAAGGAAGAAGAAGCCGACTGACCATCGCGTGACCGTCTGTGTTACCCCTTTCGAAATTACGCTCAGTATACGGCCTCCCTCTTTTCGCCCAGTTTTCAGGTGACCTTCAACACGCGAGGCTCTGCGGCTTGCCGGCGGTGATTGAACATTAAAAGCGACGCACCGGTTTAATGCTCGCGTCTGATCAAATTGCAATTGCAAATAAATTACCGCGATCTCGTATCTTCAGAAATCTCGCTTCGAAATCACCAGATCACCCAGTGACGATAAGTTGAACAACTTACGAGAGACTTTGACATTATACACTGTAATATTGATCCGCAGCGTGTTCTACTTGGAAAAGCTGAATATCTTAGAAAATTTTTTTCTACTTAGAAAAAAAAAAAAAAAAACGGAATTCTCAACGACTTCTACCGATACTTAGAAGATTTTTCTGGAAATAGAACGCAAAAATGCAGAATCACGAAAATGCAGTGTGAGTGCAGTTTCGCACGAGACGAGCTGTTCGCTGTTACATTCGTGAGAGCAATCTCTCGTTGCACGAGACTTCTCGTGTATTCTTATATAATTAAAAGTGAAATAGCAATTGTTGCATGCGATGTTCTTCACCTGAGGACCGAACGGGGAAAATTCCCGAGAAGCCCGCCGCATATGCATGGCATTCTCCGAACTTTGAAAAAGTTGACCTACATAACGGCCTCGTTTAAATGCCTTACTCAAATAAATTCGCTTTTCTTGCGGGACGTACGTTCGCCTCGAGCCTTATCGCACGGTTTTACCCCGTGTAGCCAAGGCGCAGTCGGGACGTTCTACTTTCCATTAATGGCCCGACAATACGTCCTCGTAGTAGCTGCTGTCTCAAATGCGCGAGACGAATGAATTTTAATGATAAGCACGTGCGGAGAGTATCGGGAAATTTGCCATTCCAGATCGTGATCGGCTGCGGGGGCTTCGAAAGAAAAAAAAAAAATAATAATTTAAAAATAGTAACGTTTTATCTCTCTCTCTCTCTGTTGTCGAAGACTTTGACTTTGTTCGATCGCCGGCAGCTTGGTTTTCACTGAACGGCGATCGATAGACGACAAACTCCACATGCCTAACTCTACCGTCTGAGTATTATGGGATACGTATAGTAGGGCGACGACTGTATATGGCCGCGTGATACCCTGGATTACGGCACGAACAATGTAAAAACGACGGCGGGCGCGTTTATTGCGCACCGTCGAGCAATATGAAAGTAGTGCGCGTTCGTATATTTGATAGCATCGCGATCGATCGCCATACATTTGTATCAATTCTTTATCTAAGACGCGATGAGGGCCATCACGTGCATTAATGATAAAGAATCGGAGTAATCTGTGCGCGTGGAATGTTTCACGAGCTGAGAATGTGATCGTCGAAAGCGCCTATCGAAGCGCGGAACTAGCCTCGAATAATCTCAAATCAATCGACAAGCTTGATTGAAAAATCTTGGAAGTCCTTCTTAATTCACGCATACGTATACAGTCTACGGGAATCCCTTTTTATTACACGGTTAACGCGCAGAATGTAGACAAGACAAAATTAAATTCCTTGCCACACATATTACGGTGAAGCGGGCTTTCCTTATAATTCTCAAACATTCCACTCCTGCGCCGTTAAATAAAGTTTCATACAGTAACATGCGGGAAGAATTTTCTAAATGCAAGAGCAAGCAGAAATAATAGGAGGACGATTTCTCCTTTCCTTTTTTCTCGAATTACCTTATATGTACATATGGAATCGTCCATCTCCTTCCTTCTGTTTTATTAAAATCCTTTGAGGCGCGACTCGTGAACCAGGATTAGACTCTCTAGTTGAAATTCAAGCTCAAGCCGCGCTCTTGATCTCGTGATATTAAAGGATTGCTATAGACGGACGCCGGTGGCCGACGAAAAGAGAGAAATATTTGCGATTCTTCCTTCTCGAGACACGTCTTTAATTTGGAACAAATATTTTGCAACACATCATAGCGCCTGATTTTTCTTTTATCCACGCACACGCCCACACACAATTACACTAATCTCGAGAAAAACAGTTTGAGATCGCGCAGGCACGTGTAAAAGTGCCTTTACATTCATCATCAAGTTTTTATCTTTTTACTTCCGTCTCTTTATTTCCCATCGCAAACCGAATCGCATGAATGTTCATAATAGCTCCTTTCCACGAGTGGCGTGATGTTAACAAAAAGAACAAAAAAGAAACACGGAAAAATCGCACGCGGAGAAAGAGAATAAAGGTAAATCATTTACACGAGCCTTGTATGAAAGGCACGTGACATCTCCTTTGTTCGCAAATTCAACCGCGATCTTCAGCTCCGCGGGTCTTCTCGGCGCGGAAATGGGGACGTATTCAGCGTCAAGTTATTCGGGCTCGTCATTTCAGACTAAGAAAGACTTTCTCCGAGGTTTTGCGCGGAACAGGGAAACGAAAATAACTCCACTTAACCAGGAGAATTCGCTTAAACGGTCGGCATTCTCGAAGCTGCACTTTCAACGTTTATTCGCCGCGACACGAAAGTTGAGATATTTAGGACTCTAATCAACGCTCAATTGATTTGGACCGCACAATGGCTTTTATCTAGGCGACTCGCATACGCACAGACGCTTCCAATGCGACGATCCGTAATCGTTTTGTACAAATGTCTACGTCGAATCGATTTCGATTACGTCGGTTCACAATACAAAAACCGCAATCGAACACTAACAATGCTTTGTAAAACCGAGCAAGGATAATAACCCCTCCTTTCGCGCATCGGCATGGAAATAAATCGAGCGTGACTGATCTAACGAAAAGCTCGTGCAATTTCCACTTTTTGCTCACGATAATTAGCACGCACACAACGAGCGGGCGCGCTCGCGCGCGCGTGGCCGGTGATTTTTTACGCAATAATCAGATAAACGTACGCAGGTTTTTCCGACCTACATTCTCGCTGTTTCGTCGCGCAGCGTCGAGCTTGCACGATCGCCGGAAAATCAACTTTAATTCCGTTAGGTTTGGATCTCTGGAAAATTGCATTGGCGTTTAAGTGCGCGATAAAAATGCCCTCTAAATACCGCAAAGTGAAGAAAAATCAGCTTTCCCTCCAATGTGATTTGTATATTTTCGTTCGCTGCAACGTAATAACGTAGTGCGACGTACAACTTGCACGCACGTAGACACATCTGCGGATATCTGGCAACGGGACTGAGAACTGGAGCAAAATCCAGCCTGAAGTACGAAGCGTATGATTATTTTGTGCGCACATATGAATTTCCGTGTCTTGTTTCATCCGAACCGAGTATTATTTAGCGTTTAGCGTGACGCACGCCGGTTACGCATGACAGACGGTGCGTGCGTCTGTGAATTTTCCTCGAGCGAGGAAAAAACCAACAGAGAAAAAGCGCGTGATCCGCAATGCGTAACAGACAGATACACTGATACTTCAATTATCATTGCCTTCAAATAAGCGCCTTCAGAAGCACTGAATAAACTGCGAAATTGCAACGTACGTCGATATTTCTCTCAAGACTGTTGATATATCGCGTACAGCTATATGTTTCTACACTCAAAAAAATGATCTTGCAATAATAGCTAAAATTTTCTAGGTGTAAAAAATTAACTAAAACAGATAAATGATTAGCAACTGTTGTGATATTGCATATGTAATTACTTAATCAGTTTAGATGACAGAAACAGAATATATATCTGTATTGTTTGTGAACTTTAAAAAGAAAGTTTCTCTAAAGCGCCTATCTATATAAGATCAATCACGTGTTAGATCATGCAATGAATAACATTTAGCAATGGTACCTAAATTTTTCAGAAGCTATTGCTAGAACATTACTGCTATAAATTCTATATGTGACAAACAATGTTTTTACAGATACGAAAAATAACGATACATTTTTGTTGCGATATCTAGAAATCTACATCAGCGAAATATTTTTTTGAGTGTAAAAGAAACGCTCTTCGACGAAAATAAACTGCGAGATTTCGTTGAAAAACAAAAATCTCCAGAATGGAAAATACAATACAATCTCATCGCCAGTAAAGAATCGTGTCATAAATAAATGTTACGGATTAACCGGTTTATTCCTCAAACGAAATTTATGTCGTACGATCATGCTTATTACAATGTATTAATCTCGCGTATAGTCCGCAACGCTGCGAAAAAGAACCGCTGGAACATCCTGTTAGCCTATAATTCTGCTGGATATAGAATCGTATAGAAGCAAGCGTTTAATAAGTTCCAGATGCATAGATACGCAAGGACGGAAGACGAGGTGAAGACCTTCGCGCAATTCATTGTCCATACATATTGACGTGAGCGAGGGGAGGCTCTTAGTGTCGCTTGAACGCGACCCGTTTGTAAATAAAACACTGCGAACGATGAGTTTGCCGTTCCGCACTTTGCAGCTATTAGCGATGAATAACAAACGTACTCTAAAAGATTAATTTCGTTATTTGAAAACAATCGTAATTGCCACACGCGTCATCCTCCGCGGAAGCTAGATTCGCGGACTGTTTTCAAAGGAGGTTTTTAAAGAAAGGGGAAATTTTATTCCCAATTTCACGCGAAGATCCGTGAAAGAAGACAATGGGCCACCCACGCTTTACCTTTCTCACTGTCGAAGGGGCTTAAAAAATTACGGAATAAAGACAAAGCGCGAGCGAGGGATACGCAAAAGGTGAGAGAGTCAACAAAGCTGTACGTCGGAATAAATTACTTAGTTTTCCGACTATCATTCAGCAGCCTGCTTCGCTTTTCAAGTATCTTTCCTTCTTCCCTCCCCCCCTCATTCCCCTCTCGTACTTGACACGCGTGTTAAGTGCGGCAAATCCGCTACATAATAATCCTCTTAGACGTGCAGCACGAGCCTGTCCTCGGGATGGGGAGGGCTAATCGATCGTGTCTCGCGCCGTACATCTCCCTCGGCATGTTAATGAGTCACGCCGGTCCGATCGCCGGCCGAACGATCGGGAAAATCACTCGAGGAGAAAGTTGACAATTATTCGTAGGAAATGATGCTCTTTTCTCTTCCGCGTCGCTTCGTAACCTCCTGCTTTCGCGAGGACCGAGGACCGTTTCGGCCGCTCCGATTTAAAGCTCACATCCGCCTCGAGAATCCAATCAATTAACGGACGGCCGAAGCAAAGAATGTATACGGAATATATAGGAGGGCATTCGAAGGGGTTAACGTACACCGAGCGCGAGGTCGAACGCCCGAGCTGGCCGGTGAGAGAAGCGAGAGATGAAAACAGCCCCGGCGATATTGGCACGGATCCACGCGTCTTTATCGCCGACGACTGCCAGTGATGTGACAAACGGAATCGCAGTCGGCGATTCCGCAGGATACGCCGCGGCTCCCGGGAGTCTCCGCCGTGCGGCAATAAAGGCGACATTATTGGCATGGCGCGGCCATTACCGAGCGCATTCCGAGATATTACCGGCGAACATAGACGCACGACGAGACGTATGGAAATTGGAGAATCAATAAAATCACAATACACATGATGGATTAAGTCAGAAGCTTTTACAATTCTCCGCAGCTCGACAATTCAACAACATCGTGGATAATTCAAGGCAGTTGCAACGCGGTGCGGAATTCGGAATGCGTCCGATTCCCCGCAGACGTTACACTCGTAACTTTAATGCGAGAGACTTGGCAATTTTCTCGCGCAAAAACCAGCGGTTTCTTTCAGCGTCGACGGTGGTGAATGCATAGAGAGATGACTCACAAAGAAACTATACATCCGAGAAATTATCTGAAAGAAGGCTCCGTGTATACACTATGCGCCCTTTCACAACTGTGTTTTACTTCGATCACTTTTGATTATAAAATAATGCCTACTCTCGGGATCTATAAGTCGCATCTTGTTTCTCTTCGAGAATTTAATAACATTCCGCGTGCAATTTTCGCTGCTTTGATTGCAAATCGTTTCGATAATTCACGGTATACTTGTCGCATGTAGCAGTTAATTTGTGTTAATAAACACAAATAATATTCCATCGCGCAGATTCCTGACAATATCCGTGACAATAACGTGATAATATGGTATCATCATCTGCCGAGATTGTTCGTAATGCGAGCGGCAACTCAACCAATTGAATCAATGACAATCAAGCGATTATTTAAAAATATATATTTGTAGTATATCAAGCGCAATTAAAGTTGCAAATAAATAAAATTCATTTAACAGGTTGCGCAATAAAATTGATGAATTGGTGGACCGCAGCATGAACCTTGCTATTTTTCTGTTTTTCGAAATTGCGATTAGCAGCTAACGTAATTACTTCGCGAAAACTTTATTGTAAGAGTTGGCGCATTCACAAAAGAAGTCCGAATAACATTCGAAAGATTAGCTGTGTGTTACGAGGACGTTGAAAGGTCGATAGTGTTCGCGACGATTTCGGGGAAGCGTACGGAAGCGCTTGATCGGACGAATCATTGTTATATAATTGTTGATTGGCCCAGAAAACCATTCGCACGTGCACAAAAGAATCCGTGAATAAGTTTTTAATTTTCTTAAATCGCATAAAGTTCCACGTTCCGTTCTTACGTTTCAATCTGCGCGCGAAATTGATACGCGACGGATATAGGAAGAAGCATATCGATACACGCGCGCGATTACGCGACTATGCGTCAAGTATACCGTGACCTTTCATCGATTTCGACGGCACGCGTATAATTCGCACGCATAATACGAGGAACGAATAAAAAAATCTGCGTGGACAATAAAAGCCATAAAGCTTCCCTACGTATGACGATACTATCGCCATTGCGGTATCATTGTGTTGTAAAAATAGCGTGACATTTCATCGATCGTGTAACAGACTTGTAAAAACGTCGCGGCCGCGCCGCGGACGCAGCAACACGAAAACAGGTTCAAGTTTCGATCCTCCGCGGCATCCTACGCACAAGAGGAAATATGATTGTCCTATTCGGTATCAAGCAGATACCGGGAGTGCAGACAAATCCGTAATCGAATGCGATTTTCATTGTGACATAACGTAACATTTAATCTCGATGCACTTTAATCAGCGTTCCACATCTCGTGCAAAAATAATTGCACGGAAAGTGTTTGGTGAATGAAACGAAGGACACTTTTACGACGTGTCAACGTGATTCGGATTTATTTTACGCTAACATCGCTCGAAGCATCGAACTTTGCTGCGTAGAAAATATTATCTGAACGCGATAAGACCGTGTGGTTTGATTATCTGGTAAGCGAAGGCACCTTTGATGTTATCAATTAATATACGATGTTATCACCTTCGAACGCGGTTTAACGAAAAGCCGTTCGACTTATTCTTTAAAGCATCACTGCATTGCTCGCAGAATCGCGTACATCGCGCATTATACGTCGCTTCAGCGTGTCCGTATGACAAAAATAAAAATGTCATGCAGAGACCCGTATTATCTGTGGACGATTCTACATCGTGTTCTGTCATCGCGCGTATCATGTTGAAAAATGTGAATAGGACAGGCGAAAGATCGAAAATTGCTCACCGATCGATCTTGTCCATCGTGGTGGGGTGCTGCAGGATAGTTTGCTGCCCCGTCATCTCGACGACGCATTGCGTACCGAGTTCCAGCTCTGTAATGAGAAAAGATATCAATCAAGAGATTGATGCTTGAGGTTGCTATAAACTCCAGAACTTGGACTATTTTCAGATTCTATCTCGAGCTAAATTACTATAGTTTAGATGAATTTCTATTTTTTTCCCAATCGCGCATGGCATCACTGATGCCCTGCACTTTCGATTACACAATTTTGCATTATATCTTCGTGCAATAATTATTGATCGAAACATTTAGACATATTTAAATAGCTTATTAAAAAATATCTTAATTAATTCGAAACTTAATTCAAAAGTTTTTAACCAGGTTTTACAGTTTCTAGAAATGTAAATAAAGTGCACTGATGCTTAGCGTATTTATTCATTATTATATACGGTAATTGAATTGTGCCAACTGACAATAATTTAAACATTGGACTGGGATCTATCTTGTTTATTATCAAACGTAATTATCCAATACTTCTATAATTGTATCTCTTTTTTAATTATAAAAGTTTGATCGATGTTTCATTAAACGCATGACGCGCCGGGACAGCAACTTATTAACTATGGAACATATCGTTGTAAACATGATGACACTCGACGCAATAAGACAATCGCTCAACAATTACAAAGTTTGGTAATAGAATGAGGCAGAATGTGTGCGTGTGTGCGGCGCAGCTATAAATCATAGTTGCAGTTTGCGTCAGAATCAGTAAGTTTGCGTAAGTTAATTATTAAGTCAATTCGTAAAGATCGAAAAAGTGAGTAAAGCAAAAGTCCTTCATTTATTTCAATGATTGAACTTTCGCATACAAGCAGAGAGATAATTGTTGTTAAGAGTCTTGTTTATTTCAAATGAATTATTGATTACGAATTTATTTCAAAACATGAATTATTTGCGCTGCGTGTTCGTGCAATAACAGCTAATCTTTCTTTCTGTTTTTGTTTCTTTTTTTTTTGTATAAAACATTTATAAAGAAAAGTTCTAACTGGAATATGAAAATGAAAGTGCTATGCTCTGCTACTTCTTATTTAAATAGTTTAACGGGGTCAGTTTATGCTAGAGATCATCTCTCTCTTTCTCTCTCCGGTGAATTTTTTGTGATCATTTTATTGTATCATTATTTCTTGCATTTTGGCGATTATAAAACAACCAGTCGAAGGATTAAAAGCGTTGAAAATCAAAGTCAGAATTGTGTACTACAATTTTTTATTTTCCGAAACCAGAAGAATCATAGTTTCCAGTGATATTCTAGATAATAAATATGCAGCAATAAATATCTGCGAAAACATCATAAATTTCAAGACCAACTGGCGGAACCTTCTGTATCTGTCAACCGCATGCACTTTCTGCAAATTCTTTCTTTCTCTCTTTTTGGACGAAGATCTGAAGAAACAATATGTTCAACTCTTGTCCTGTGCATCATGATTTCTCATCGTTAATTCAGTCCAAATATAAAGTAGAGAGGACAGCATTCGGCTTTCTTTCATCGCTTCTATTATCCCTCTAACGCGCGTCGCGCGCGTAATATAACGCGCGACGACATAAAATCGTTAAACCCGATCAACGGCGGAGAAATTACTACTAATAATAATTCTATGATGAATTAAGGAATTAAGACGAGAGAAAGGGATGATTCATAAAACTAACGGAAAGTAAATGGCGATAGCTTTTTAGTATCCTGAAATGTGACGTCATAACGAGACTCCTGACACCATGCCGTAACAAAATATTACACGTCGAACGTTTGAAGAAAAATATAGTAATATAAAAAACAATACTGTTCAAATAGATGCACGATTTTGATGCTTAGATCGATGCTGATTTAGCATGTAAAATTTCATTGTATTTTATACGTATCTATTATTTATTTTAATATCGCACTCTGCCGAAATGATTCTTAGAATTACTGCACAGTTGTGTTCGCGAAAATTTATGAAGCATCAGAGTATCTCGTAGCTATGTCGTTTATTATCAGAGAGAAAAACTGAAAGTGCAATGCATGCCCTACTTTCTAGGAATATGTTATTGTATTTTTTTTATACGCATGTGTTTTTTTTTATCGCACGCGTATCACGTTATAATAGCGTCTTTATATTATTTTTAAGACAAAAGCAGTTGGCCTCGATAAGTCAGTGTAGTTATTTATGCAAGCGTAATTTATAAACAATCGCAATTAAGGCTTTGAAAATTTGCGGAAAGCGATTTGTGTGGATTGTTAACTGTCGAAAAGGCGTATTGGACAACGCGAGCTACTGAAAACCGCGCCGAACTCTATCGAGTTGTACAAATTGAATCTTACAAGTGTGAAAATTCGACGATTAACACATCGCAAAGAGAAGGGTAATTACGCAATCTTATCGTCAAATCGTTATTTCTATCTTGTGATTCACGATTAGAATTAGCATCGAATCAAGCATCATTTTGTTTTGCAATCTTGTTCTTCTTTTTTCTAAATCAAAAATGCGCGCGAGGATGTAAAGTGCTACGCGTAATGCACGTTTAAATACGATTATACGATCAGGAGATTAGCGTACGAAGCAATTATTTATGTTTCATTATCATTCCGGATTGAATATCGCATAGTGCATCTTACAGCGATTCGCACGCGATGTAATCTAAATTGTGTTATGTCAAACACTGAATCGACATTTCCGCGATGTTGTAAGCGATAGTTCAATAATCATTCGGATAAATGTGTCCCGGTTAGACTGTTAAAGCGAACAAGTGATATATGTGCCTCAATACTCGACCTTGCAATTGGAGAGCGAATCCTCGTCCGACGATTTGGGAAACACGTTTTCCCCCCGATCGATATTTCAAGATAACAGACTAGTGTCAACGAAGTCTGGTGTTTTGCTCGATTACGCTTTCGCGCTTCATCATACATTTTGCACATCTTTATTTTGTTTGCAAGGCTCTTGTTTTCTTTTTTTTTCTAAATCAAATGCAATCGCAATGTAATGCCCAGTCTAGAAGGACGATCCTACTTGTGGCTCATCCGAGTGAACAGTTTGATGGGTGAAAATTACACTAAAGTTGGTTTTCGATCATATCAATCTATTATTAATTGGATAAAAAAAATTATTTGGTACGGTTGATACGATTAAAAGCCAACTTCAGTATAGTATATATATATGTTTTTAACCTGTTAAACTGTCCACTCGGAGATAAGGACATAAGAATCACGTCTTTACAAACTTTACAAATGCGCTTAAAAATCACGATCATTGTAATATCATGTCGATCAGATTTCTATACGTTGACAAACCGCGCCTAACACTTGGGAGCTGTGCAGACCTTCGGACTCGGCTAATTGCACAAAAGTCATCGCGTTCGGTTTCGCGCAAACGCTACGCGTCGTTCTGAAATCTCTACGGACCGTCGTTTAATTATACAGATAACATTGAATGTTATCGCAAACTCGAGTCATATGGTTATGTTTAGCGCTTAATAGAGAGTGTGAGAGATTTATGTTCTTTTTTTAAACATATTTACGACAGTATGTTTGAAAAACAACGAGATAGATATTACATTAATTCATTGATTAAATGTAAAAAAAAATCGTTCGTTTTATTCAAAAGTCCATCAACGCGTGAATTGATTTTTAAAGATCTGTTTTTGGAATAGTCTCGAGAATCCTTGTCACGGCTGCTTGAATAAGTGTTATGTCATCATAGTGAGGTCTCTTTCATTGGAATTTTCAATTTTGGAAAAAAAAGTCGCAGAAATCAAGGTGAACAGTGAATCATTGCTACTTGTTTTAAACCAAAAGCTCACATATGACCTCGATATTCTATTAGCGAATGCGACAGAAATCAAGAGCAAATCTTTGTGCAAATTATTGCGTAAAACATTGTAAATTTTTACACGCCAAATTCCTCGGAATTTGCATAGTCATATTCGATTGTCGATGTTTGACGGACACGAGATTTTCTATCGTTTTCGGATGCTTCGACCGTTCTTCATCTTCCCTATCATCTTTAAATCTTGCAAACCACTCGAAAATTCGTGTACGAAATAGATAATCGTTTCCGTAAACTTGTGTCAAGATTTAATAGGTTTGCGCCGCGAATTTTAAAACAGAACTTGGCTTGTTGCTTCGTTGCATTATCGTGACACAAGGTGCTGCACACTAGCTTAGTCAATTCTACCGCTATAATTCGTATGACAGATGTTTGACACTCATAAAAAATACCAATACCTGTCAAAGTAAATATGAAAATGCCAGTAATTGTCAGTAGATGGCGCTTATCAAAGAATTAAAAAAAAATTATCCCGTTATTATACATTCTGTAGCGTTAATTAAAAATTTTTTTCTTTTTTTTTTTATAGTACATTATCTTCGATTCTAGGAACACAAAACGGAAATCACACGGTTATGTTACGTTTAACGCTAAGCATGCAGCTAGACGATGCACTTGTATTATGAACAAAGAATCGCTGATGAGCTGGTAAATCGTGTTAAAAATTGCGCGGAGCATTGTTGAATTTTCACGGCTCAATGAGGAGATGCTCTTCGATCTCATCTAGCGACTCAGTAACATTGCGAAGTGTGCGTCATCATATTTGCTCGAGGCTTTTGATACGACCCAATAAAATTGGAGAAGACAGCAAACAGTTAAGACCAGGTGAAAACACCGTGTCGCTGTCACAATGTCTATATGTCGTAGCACCGCGACAGGGAAGCCGAAGGTCAATCGCATATTATCGTGGAG